TTCCCTGTCCCCAGTAGCATAGGCCCAACCGCTGGTGGGCAGGCAGGGGAGGCTCAGGCACCTGGCCATACCTCTGAAGAAAGTCCCTGGAGCAGGCCGGCTCCCATACCGTAGCACCACTCCACTTCCAGGCTGCACACGGCGCTGCCTTACCACCAGTGTGTTGGTCTTGGAGCTGAAAGTCATGCCAGACAGCCTCCAGCACATCTTCCGCCATGTGAGCCGACTCCAAAGCAGCAACAGCTCCCCTAGGAAGAAGCAGAAAAGTGAGGGCCCAGTCTCCCCACTCCTGGGCTGTAGCAGTGGCCCCAGGGTCAGCTGAATTTGCATCTTTGCTCTCCCTCTTAGTGGCTCTGTGACTGTAAGTAGGGGGCATTTACTGAAGCTCTCTAGCCTGAGGTTCCACATCTGTAAAACAGGGATAAGCACGCCCCAGCCATGAGACGGCCATGAAAATGAAAAACGAGAACGCATATGGAGCACCCATGTGCTGGAGTCACACTGGCACACCACAGGCCCATAATGGGCAGCAGTTGCTTACAGTAGCCAAGGACCTACCTGCACTGCAGTTGAGGGAGCTCTGGAGAACTTGGAGGGTCACCACCTCACCCAAGGGCCGCCCAATTGCCACCACACAGTCTGCCTGCCCCAGACCTCGCATGTCAATGGTTCCCAAGGGCTCCAGGTGTTGCCTGCCACAGACACCTGCAGAGACAACAGGAGAAGCATGGTAAGCAGAGCTTTCCCCGCTCTGCAGGAGGCTGGAGTGGGATGGCCCAGCAGGAAGCCTCCCCAAGTCCTGGAGGGGGCTGTATGGGTTACAGCATTGTTGCCACCCAAGGCTCCAGTAAGAGAGAAGCAGTGCAATGCGTGGGCTTTGGGTCACATGGCTCCCGGCACTGCAACCTTCAGGTTACTTGCTGGGGTCAGAGATAAAAAAGCATTTCCCTTTGCCAGATAGGAAGGGGGTCCCCCAACCCCAAGGGCCCATGGCCCAGTGCACCAATACTTGTCCTGGCTCTCTCAGATGGAGATACCTTTGTCCCCCATTCCTGCGACCAGCCTCCCCAACAGAAAGCAGGAAGAAACCTGACGAAACTTTGCCAGGTTTTCCTGGGGCCCCAGAGGCTGGGGGTCTAGGGAGAGGAGGCGGGCTCAGGCCCAGGGCTGCTGCCACTGTAGAGAATCACCAGCAACGGCAGCCGTGGTCTGTCTAGGAACCGTGGCTTCCTCATGAGGCAGCAGGCTGAAGGTCCCCTTCTCCACACAGGGCCTAGCCCAGCAGCCCCGTACTGTGGCTGGCTTGGGCAAGTGCCAGCAGAAGTTGGCTGGCACTGGTGCGTGGGCCTGGTGTCCGAGGCAGGTGTCACGGCGGTGCTGGATGCCCTCACCACAGGAGACAGAGCACTGCCAGGAGAAAGGGGAAGTAGTAGTAATGACCCTGCCCAGAGGGTGCTGAGGACAACAGTGACCACAGGCCAATGTGGTCTGGTATCATTCTTGTACAACCTGGAAGGTGGGCAGGTGTCTCCATTCTGTCGATTAGGAGATTGACACTGAGAGTCTCCCTCGTGTGAGTCACATATATGGCAGGAACTAAGATTCAACCCCAATTTCCAGCCATCACTCTCACAGCCTCTGCCCTTCCTAGCCTTAGAGGGGGGACCAGGTGCTCCTTGAGGTGATCTCCACCCACACCCATCAGACCCTCGTGCCAACTCTCATCTCCATCCAACCCAAATGCCCAGGGTCCTTCTGAGGTCCATGGGCCAGGGCTACAAAGCAGGCCCCTAAGGACTGTGATTTATCTTGTCTGTTTTACCTCTGTGTTCCCCACCACCATGGGTAAGTTCCTCCTGAGAACTATTTATCTTAGTTTTTCCAGTGTCCTGCGAGGAGAACACTGACCATCTGTGGCACTGAGCTGTTAGCCTTCCACCTTCCAGCATCTGCAGACCCCAGGCCTCTCACAGCCTCACTGCCTCAGGTCTCCAGGCCTTGCAATGCCTTCCCCAACAGTCTTCCCCTCCTTTCAGGGCACCACAGTGAATCAGTGTACAAGCACTCACAGCTGGTACCCTCCCCGGCCCCAGTAGGGAGTCCGAGCACCAGCCGAGAGCCCTTACCTCTGTCCAGGAGCTGACGTGCCACCGATAGATGCAGTCTGCCATGAGACAGGGGACACTACCCTGGGGCCTCACCAGAGCTGCACAAGACACCTCATCCACCTCAGTGTCCTGACCTTGGTCAAGCTGCACACAGGCCACTGAGCGTATAGCAATGCCAAGGCCACAGCTGGCTGAGCATGGGCCAAGAGACGTGACTTTCCACCTGCAGGAAGAGAAGACCCCAGAGGGAGCTAGGCCGCTGAGAAGACAGGGTTGTACCTGTGGGCTCTGCCTCACCCTTATCTCCTCATCCAGACAGGTTCCAGGACCAGGAGAGAGGGGAGATTCAGCCACTAAACCATCCTATAGGACTCCCTGGAATAGGCTAGGTTCTGAAGGGCTGTGCAGGAAAGAGACCTCTTGTCCTCTTTATCGCCTAACACCCATTACCCCACAGAGCTTCTTGCTGGCCAAGTGACAGTATGGTAAACTATGCCCCAGGGTAATGGATTTCAACATACCATCTCCTGGGAGGAAAGGAAGGCAGAGAACTGTTCCACTCTCAACCCTGCTTCTGTTAACTTGGAATCGCTCAGCAAATAGAAAGGGCCGGCATTTTTCAGAACCCAGATGTGGACCAGACAGCCTGCACGGGAGCCTGGGATCTTGACTGCAGCACTGTACTTGCCTCCTTACCTGCCATACTGCCCCTCAAACCCATCCCCTCCATGGACCCAGGGCTGTTCTACGGCCCGGGGCAATGCCCTCCAGCTCAGCACCACTGACATCTGGCATCCAGAACAGCATGCTCCTTTCTCCTGGGGCCTGTCCTGTGCACTAGAGGGTGTATAGCTGCACCCCTAGCCTCTGCCAACAGGCGGCCAACAGCAAATGCTACCACCCATTTGAAACCATTCAAATATCTCCTGATGTTCCCAAAGTGCCAGTGCTCTGGGACACTGCCTCGGGGAGCCATTGTCCTGGAAGGAAGAGAGGACACGAAAGACGCAGGTGTTGGGTAGTAGCAAATGTTGTGCATAGAAACGCAGTGGCACTGAGTTGCGGGGTGGACTGTGCGGGCCACTCTGGTCAGCGCCAGGGAGGCCTCTCTCTGTGCTGGTCAGAGTGGAGCCTGGGGAGAACTGCACAGAGCCTTGAGGGCACACAGAGAAGACCTTGGGCAGTGAGTAGCTAGGTGCAGAAGGCCTGAGGCAGGAAGATCCCTGGAATGTTCTGGAGCAGTGAAGAGAGCAGAGTGGCCACAATACCCAAGGGGTAGTAGAGTTCATTTGTGCACACACTGTCTGTGAAAATGCCACATCACCTCCAAATGTGATTGGAAAGAAACAGTGCACGGCCAAAGGACATCAGAAAGCAAGTCACTGGTGCTGAGTGGTTTCTAAAGCATAAGATTTAAAATAGATGTGAAGAAGGGAAAAACTCAGAGAAAAACTGGGAGAAAGCCTAGACACAGGTTCTAAACACGCAAGAATTTAGGATATGACAAAGCCATCTGGATGAGGCCATCTGCGGTGGTGGCTCTGTTGTCCCTGCTGGAACCAGCATCCTGCTCTCCCCAGGCTCCATATAAATATTGCCTCCCCTGTCACCCACCCTGGCCTCCCCACAGCTGCAGGACCAAATGCCCACCTGCATTGCCCTCAGCTCCTGCACCCAGCTCAGCCTGCCAGGTGGCCCTGTTTCCTTCAGACTGTCTCTGCACCAGTGCTCAGTCCTGTAATCCCCAGGGCACCTGCTTGGTGTCTGCACACTGGACAAGTCCCCCACCCATCCCCTCTCCTCACCTGGGGGGGCAGGGCTCAGGGTTGCAGGTCTCCTGGGGTTCTGGGCGAGACAGTCCCTGGCACTGGTTGTCAGGCAGGATTTCCTCTTCATTGTCCTCCCCATGGGCCCGGGCACAATACAGGACCCTCCGAACAAGCCCTCCCCCACAGCTCACACTGCAGGCTGCCAGCTTGTACCGCCACCTGGGAGGTCAAAGAGCCCCATAGCTAGGAACCCAAAGAACCAGGTCTCCCCTTCACTCCTCCAGACTTGGAAGAGAGGAGTCAGGGAAGTGCCTAGAGCACTTCTCTCCCCAGGGGTTCCCCTTATGTCTCTATCAAGAGGCTCAGCACAATGGACAGAGCATTCATTGGGCCACTTTACAGAAGAGGAGCTGAGGGCAAACAGCAGACATCGTTGAGGCAATGGGGAGAGGGCTCAGGGCTCCATAGGACCCTACAAAGGTGTCGAACAGAAGTCCCAGCATCAGTCCCACAAAGAACCCACCTGCCAGCCCTGCCAACCTTCCTTCCAACCCTGGTTTGCTACACTGACCAAACGCCACCCATCAAACTGTGTATCCCCCTGTCTGTCTTATTCATTGTCCACTGCCTGCCCCATTGCCCCCAACATCAGCTCCAAGAGGCCAAGACATTTGCCTACCTTGTTCACTGCTGTTTCCCCTTGGTTCTTGAATTACACCTGGTCATATCAGATGCTCGGTAAAGAGCAGGTGATAAAAAAATAAATGGACCACACATGGTCGGTCACCCACAGCGTCCCAGGTCCTATGTGATGCACTTTACACACAGGATCATTTCCTTAACCCTTCACTTCCTGGGGGAACCAAGATGACTGGCTCCTGCCACTGAGGACTTTGAGGATTAGGAGGCTGGGCCTGGCAATGATAGCAGAACTCAGATGCAGACTCAGGCCTGTCTCCTGGGCAAGAGGCTCACCTGGCCGGACAGGGCTCCAGGTTGCAGTCCTCAAAGGGACTGGGCCGGGGCACTGGCCAGCACTTGGCATGAGGCAGAGGGACAGGGCGGCCTTGGTTCATCCTTACACAGCGCACAGCCAGTGGCACCCGTCCCCCTCCACAGGTCACTGGGCATGGTGCCAAGGCTCGGGCCTCCCATCTGCAAGAAGGCCAGAGCTCCGTAGGAGGCTATACCCCCACCCTGCACTGTGCATCAGTCTCCTTCCCCTGCAGTTTCCCTTCCTCACTCACTGAGCAGGGCATGGGCCAGCCTGGCAGACCTCCTGCCGGCTCCCAGGCTTGCTGGCCAAGTCACACAGCTCATCCTGGAGAGGTGTCTGGAGGACAGAGTCCATGCATAAGAAACGAAGCTCCATCAAGCCTGCAAGAAAGAAGCAGGGACCCCCTCAACCCAAAAGATGAACTCAGCAAGAACCATAGCACCTGGTTCATTGGTCAGCTCTAGCAGAAAAGCCCACGGGATGTTGAATCCTGGCTCTGTCTCTTACTCTTACCAGTCCTGTGTGCCCTTGGACAAGTGACTTAACCTATCTGAGCCTCACACGTTTCTGTATGATGGTGCCTACCTTACAGTCATTTATAAAGATTATTATTTCTTTATTTTAATTTTTGCAATACTGGGGACTGAACTCAGAGCCTGATGCTTGCTAGGCAGGCACTCTACCACTTGAGCATTTAAAGATATTTAAAGGAGCTGTGAAGTGTCTTATGCATAGTAGGCAGTCCACAAACAGAAGCAGGTACAGTTATTGGGAGGCATGGTAAGAATGTCTATAAGAATGTCTCCTAGCCAGGCACCAGTGACTCACACCTAGAATCCTAGCTACTCAGGGGGCAGAGATCAGGAGGATCATGCTTTGAAGCCAACCTGGGCAAATGGTTTATGAGACCCTATCTCCAAAAATCCCTTCACAAAAAAGTGCTGGTGGAGTGGCTCAAGGTGAGGCCCCTGAGTTCAAACCCCAATATCACCCAAAAAAAAAAAGAAGTCTCCTACTGTGTATTGGGACTGGTTTCCTCCATCTCCTTCAAGAATATCCTCAAAAGGAATCTCTCTGGTCTTGATTCTACACATGCTGAGGTTTGATTAAGCAAGTGCTTAGGGCTTTGGTATAAGAACACTATATCTTCTAACACCCTTTATGACGGCTACTATAGAAACAAAACTTTGGGGGTGAGTTCAACCAAGATATATCGTGAGAACTTTTATAAATGTCACAATGTACTCCCAGTACAACAACAACAACAAAAGAAAGTTTTTAAGCCAGGCATCAGAGGCTCACACCTATAATCCTAGCTGCTTGGGAGACTGAGATCAGCAGGATCTTGGTTTGAGTTCAGCCTGGGAAAATAGTTTGCAAGACCCCATCTCCAAAAATAACCAGAGCAAAATGGACTAGAGGTGTGGCTCAAGCAGTAGAGAGCCTGCTTTGCAAACATGAGGTCCCGGGTTCAAAATCTCAGTCCCACAAAAAAAAAAATTGAAAAACAAAAGGACACTACATGTCTTAAAACTGTGTCCTGCTTTGGTGGGCAGTTTGGGCCCATTTCTTGTAGCTCTGCTAGACCACAAAGGACACATTCTTGGTGCCAGTCTGGCAGAAGTCATTATCTTTCCCCATTTTTCGACCAATAAGTGAATGTATTTAGAACAGCTTCAGGCATTTCATGGGTCTCCTAGCATATTCCATGCTAGTATGTGGTTGGAAGTTTTTGTAAGCCATCTGAACACTCAGCTCTAGAACACAGGTGGATAAAATGGTAAGGATGAGTGCTGATCTCAGGAGTGTCCTGGGAACCTCACCTTGCCCACAGGAGACAGAACATGGCCCCACTGTAGGAGTCCACACATGTGCAGCCTGAGCCCCCGGCCTGGCACTGCCCATTGGGGATGGAGCCTCCTCCCGTGGAGATGTGGCATCCAGCTGCAGAGAGAGAGAGTGGCAAACAGGTGAGTCTGGGATTCCCACCTCCATCCCAAGCACCAAGCTCCCCTGCCCCACCCTGTGGAGTTCAGCAGCAGAAAGCAGCTGAGCACATGGGTTGCTGCTCTCTGGGGGGCCTGCCTCCTGCCCCCAGTGATGCCCTCCCACGAGTCCCATGTTGACCTTTGCAGGCTACTCGTCAGTGTAAGTGTTTCTGTGAGATGGGGCCAAGAGTTGGGGTTCAGGTGTGGGTCTGCAAGCATGCCTAGCCTTGGAACCTCCAACGCTTGAGGGGCCAAGACTGGCCAGCTCTTGAGAGCCCCTGGATGCTAGGTGGGCCACCTTTCTCTGCTCAGCAGCTAATAAAATCACTCTCAGATCTTTGTCTTCTCTCAGCCTGTTCTGCCCCTTCCAGAAGTGCTCTAAGTGTGTTCTCTGACAGACAAGCCCTTGGACATTGTTCTGCAGAAGAATGTCCCTATGATCTGCAGGACAATGGCAACTTATGTTCCTTGTTCTTCCAGCTAGGTAAGGAGCCAGGAGCCCTGGCCACCCTCATGCCCAGGCCACTCACCTGACCCCAGCCTGGAGGACACACCATCCTGTTACAGGGCTCCAGAGTGGGCGGCATCTCATCTGTGGAGCAGGGACCCGTAGTTGCTGGTGCCTCCAGACAACCTGCCCCTGCCTACATGTCGTGTTCCGAGAGTCCAGGCCTGCTCCACAGGTTGACATGCGTGGGCCAGGGTCTGTCACCTCCCACCTGAGGACAGCACAGTACGGTCATCAGGCCCTGCCTCGCCATGCAGCTATAGATGCTCCTGGGGAAAGGCGGATTCCCTCTACCTAGGGCCCAATGCCATTGCTTTAGGAAGAAGCAACACTCAAGGGGTTTTTTCCTGAACTGCTAAACTAACTGACTCCTTAATCAGACTTTAGGTTTTCCTAGCCAGGAACCAGCTGCTCAGTGGCCAGGCACTCTGCCTGGTGCCGGGATGCAGGGAGTCAGAGCCTAATCCTCCTGCCTTCCAGAGGTCAAGGCCCCACCCAACAGTAACACACCCCATGTACCATCTCAGGGACTAAGAAACAGGTGCCACATGGAATTTACAGCTCCAGTTCCAGGGCAGCAAATGGGCAGTCCTGAGCAGCAATGCTCCCAAGAATCCAGGCAGGCATTCTACCACTTGAGCCATGCCCCCAGCACAAGATTATTTTGGCCCCAAATAACCTTTTGGGTTTTTTTTGCATTATTAGGGTTTCAACTGACGTCCTTACCCTTGGTAGGACATTTTATTAGGATGTCCTACCACTTGAGCCATGCCTTCAGCCCTAGAAGGATATTGAAGCTGGATCAGGCATTGGCAAGTGAGAGTGGTAAATGCTTTGTCTGCTATGGTTGAGAGAGTAGAAAGGAACCAGGGCAATGGGTAAGCAACCACTGACGACAGATAACAAGACTTGAGCCCAGAGTGGGAGGAGACTCACCCTGGTCACTCAGCTATTTGGTGGCAACACAAAATAATAAGTCATAGTCAGTCTGTACACTGAGATCCAGTATAGTGGGACAGCAGGCCTGTAATCCCAGCTACTTAGAAGGCAGAAATAGGGGGATTACCATTTGAGACCATTCCAGGCAAAAAAAAAAATTAGCAAGACCCTATCTCAAAGAACAAACTGGGCGCTGGGAGCATGACTCAGTTGGTAGAGGGCCTGCTTTCCTGCCTGCTTAGCAAGTGAGAAGCCCTTAGTTCAAATCACAGCACACACACACACACACACACACACACACACACACGCAAAAGCTGAGCTTGGTGTCTCATGCCTATAATCCCAGCTATGCAGGAGGCATAGGTAAGAGGATCACATTATGAGGCTGGCCTGGACAAAAAGTGTAAGACTTTATCTGAAAAATAACTAAGGCAAAAAGGGCTGGAGATGCACCTCAAGTAGGCAAGTGTAAGATATTGAATCCAAACCCAGCCCTGCCAAAAAATTAAAAAATGGATAAGAGATGCAGCCATGTGGACACCATGGGAGAGATGACCGTGATGACAAAGTGACACCTATTTCACACTCAGTGTCACTCATCTCACAGCCCCAGTGAGCAGGGCTTCACCCTGCTTCACAGCAGGTCTGGGAGTTTAGAGAGACGTGAGTAGCCAGGGCCTCTTGGGCAGTGAGGAAGTCTGAAGGTGGCACTCATAAACCTCCAGACACCACTGACTGGACAAAGCTCTCAGGAGGAGGGGACATCCAGCAGGCCGAAGTGGGACTCAGCACAGGGACAAGTCCTGCCAGGGAGGCCCTGCCACCACCCTCACCCCACTCCCCATGCTTGCCTGGCTGGGCAGGGCTGGGAGTTGCAGGTTTGCACCTCTACCACCGGCTGCTGGGCCACTGCTCTACACCGGGCTGAGGGCAGTGTCCTCAGAAGGCCACCCTGGGCCTCTACACAGCGCACCAGCCGCTCCCGTAGGCCTCCCCCACAGGAAGCACTGCATGGACCAAAGTCTCCAGCTGCCCAGCTGTGGAAGAGAGGGAGAGTATCAGGCCTGGGCCAGGTCCCCAGGCTGGCTTGGGGACAAAGTGGGAGAGGAGACAGGCAGGTCTATCCAACTAACTCTGGCTGATACACTTCTCCTTAAGAACTGCCCTGACACACCAAGTCTGAGGACAGGTATACAATAGTGCTCTTAAGATGCCACCCAGCCCTGCACCCAGCAAGGACAGCCTTATTCCTAAAGTACACTCCTACCAACTGCCCCTACCAGGGGCTAGTAGAGTCCCAGTGCTTCCCACCAGGACCTCCCTGAGTCTCCCCACTCCTATCCCCATGGGCCAGTCATCGCCATTTTGCAATGAGCACCTGAGTTCAGAGAGGCCTCAGGCTGCCCAGACAAGATGGCAGGTGTTGGATCAAGCTGACATGTCACCATGTGTAACCCCAGAGCTGACTGAGAGCATGCCCAGCCCTCCCAACCCATGTGGGCCCACAAGTCAGAGTGCCTGCCCAGCTCTGTACTTACTGTGGAGAGCAGGGTACAGAGATGCATGGCTCTGGCCATGCAGTTGGCTGTGGGCTCCCTTGGCATTGGGCAGTCTCAACCCACTTGTTCTGGGCCTGGTCCAAGCAGTTGTAGGTCACCCAGCGCAGTCCTGGGAGGGCAGAGCAAAGGCTTGGTCACCTCTTTGTGGGAGCGAGTGGAGCAGTGGGCAAGCCCTGCCCTGGGTCTCACCTGCCCCACAGCTCACAGAACAGGGCCCACGCATGGCAGCCCACACCCAGGCCACCCGCTGCTTAGGCTGGAAGTAGGTGAAGGTAATGTCTGGGCGGGTAAGGTCCCCGTATTCCTCCCCATACCGCCTGAAAACCTGCATGGGGACAGAGGAGAGCTTGGGCCCTGTTCAGTGGGCTCGCTGGGGTCGCTGCCATGGTCACCTGCCCCTGAAAGCCTTCCTCTGGCTCCATAGGGACATCATGGCAGATGGGACTGAGCCTCAAGGAGCTCTGGGTGGACTGGGGCAGGGCAGGTAATACCAAGGAATTAGTTTGTGATGGAGCATTATGGGAGCATGGAGCAGGGCCCCTAGGTTGATGGGTGAGGGGTGGGGTGGGGAGAGAAACTGCAGTGGAGGAGGTCAGGAGCAGTGGCAGGGGAACCTGGGGATCCAGCAGAGGGAGCCTGGGCAAGGGCCTAGGGTGAGACCAGCCAGCATGTGCTTCTACAGTGAAAGCTGGGGCCCATGGGGCCAGCAGGAAGGACCAGGATCCTAGGAGTCTTGTGGTCACCTGGTAGCCTGGCTTGACCCTCAGAGCTGGGAAGGATTTCAGCAGGGCACCTGAGCCTATTTATATTCCAGCAGATTAGGCCCAAGGAAGGGGCCATTTGGGAGCCAGAGCCCAGAGAAGGCCCTACAATGCCCCACAGTCACACAGCGTCCACCCCTGTGCCCACATCTGGCCAGCCATCACAGGACCCCATGGATTCCAAAGGGGGTTCTCAGGCTCTTTGCATCCAGGGAAGTTCTCTTTGAGTGCATCAGAGAGGGCCCTGCACACTGCAGAGGATGCTGGTGAGCTACTGGGCAACCAGCATTGGGGCCAATGTCCCTGGGCACAGTGAAGGGGTGAAATGAGCCACGTGGAGAGGCAAGAAAGAGAAAACCACTGCTAGGGGGCTGCTCTAGCCTGGGTCCTTCTGGGGAAGCCCTGCTGTCTCTGCAGCAGGGGCTGCAGAGACTGGGCCCCTCTCCAAACATCTTCCATGGCTGTTTCGGCTTCAGTCCACTCCTCCAGGTGCCTTCCTCATTAGGACACACACAGGGACACATGCATGAGTGTGTCATGAAGTACACACCTACATGACCAAGGCCTTCCAGGGTCCCACGTGTGCCCCAAAGAAGCAGCAGAAGCCATGGCCCATCCCGAGCTTCCCCTATGCCTTACTCCCAACACTCTCCAGCAGATGCTTGGACTCCTTGCTCCATCCACACTCCCAGAAGGGAGGACTGTTTGTGTCCAGTCCTTCAGTTCCTTTGCCCTTTCCTAGGGGCCTACCCTCTTGCCCACTCTCAGAACTTCACCTGTGGGCTCTGGACACAGGCTAAGCCTGTGAGCAACTCCTGTCTGTATTCGCCTAGCACAGGGCCCAATGCATAGTCGGTCCCATAAAAGACTACTGTAAGAATAAATGAGTGAGTGACCAGAGTTGGAGCCACTACAAGATGCCCTGCTGGCTGCCCCCATCCAGCCTGCCTGGTGACCTGGATCTCCATCTCTTCCTGGGCAGGTCCCTGGATGTGGATTTCCTCGAGGTGGGGCAGCTGATCCTCTGTTAGAGCCACTCTGTATTCCATCCGGCTGTCCTCCAGGAGCGATGGGTAGGTGGTGTTGGGGAAGATGCTGGCCTTCCCAGCCACAATGTAGTGCCCTTGGATCCTCACCGCTGTGAGAACAAGGCTGTCAGCACTGTGAAGCTGGTACTGCCTTTCCTCATAGGTCAGTGGTTCACCAAGTAGGCACCACCTTTCACAAAGGGCCAAGTAAGGGGGCAAAGAAGAGCTTTTGGCCAACAGGGTATAATCCCCACAGCCATGTGCCTGGCTCCTCCAGGGTCCCCAGCACTGCCCTAAGGAGCTGGTCCTCCCAGCATCTCAGTCAGGTGGTCTCCATATTGAGACACCACCCCCCATACACACACACACACACACACACACAGTGGATGCATACTTCTTCCGTATTCACACACATCACACCCTGACAGCTTCCCACAGCCATGGCTCCATGCCTCCTACTGGAACCTGGTGAGGGCTGTGACCCCTGTCCCCATAAAATGTACTCACACACAGAACTTCACACACAGACTCAAGGACCCAGAGTTAGCACCCCTTCCAAAGGTTTAACAGTCAGTAGTAGGTACCCCCAGGAAATAAAAACCCACCATGGTGGCACCGAATAGTACAGAAGCATAGCTTCCCCAAAGAGAGGTCTGGCCTCTGTCCTTGGCTTCTGAGAGGAAGTGGGAAGTCTCACGAGATATAGTATCTCAGTTCAGGGTTGGGGGCAGGCCTCACCAGAGCTGAGGGGGTCTGGCACACCTAGTAGGCCTAAGGCAGAGGCTGGCCATGCCAGTAAGACAGCCACATAACCTAGGGTGGAGATTTGGGTTGCCTGGAACTAGATTATTCTCATCAATCAGTCGATCAATCCCACCTGGGAAAGGAAGCCCACTATGAACTCTGAACACTAGCTGGGGAGCTTCCTGGGCTGGCCATACTCTGTAAGCATGTCATCCCTTGATGCTGGAAGGCACCACACTCCCGGCTCATGGGACCTTCAAGTTTGGACTTCTCCCAGATGCAGCCCTAGGCCTTTTCTTTAGACAATTTTAACCTGCATCCTCCCCTGACCCCTGGGATAAGGGTAATTGTGAGTATAGCAGCTCTCAGTGGGTTTTGGAAGACTTCCTGGTGAATTAGCAAACTAAACTAGTTTGAAGAACCCCTGAACTTATAGTTGGTGTCAGAAGTGAAGGCATTTTGTGGACCAAGATGTGTGGCTTAGCATAGGTGTGAGGTCCCCTGTTCAAACTCACCTAAGTGTGTGAAGAGAGGCCTGCGGTTGATGATGTGCACACTGGTCATGTTGGGAGTGACCATCAGGAATGTGACATATTCTAGGGAGAAGCAAAGCATGAGGGCCTCGTGGGCCTCACAATCACCTGCACCATAGTCAAAGTGAGCCAATCCCAGCTGGACAGAAAAAAACTTATCCATGCTGTGGGCTGGTCCAGCAGCAGTGAGTCCCCGATCACAAGGAAACACCAGGCTGGAGGGTCACCTGCAAGGGCACTGCCCTGGCCAGGAGTAGGGATCAGACCTCAGGTTTGCAGCCAGTGGGCAGGCCGGGGAAGACAGGGCTCAAGTCCTCCACTGACCATGGAACACTGATGCTGGCAAATTATTTTTGATTTATTAGCTGACACCAGTGACTCACGTCTGTAATCCTAGCGACTCAAGAAGCAGAGATCAGGAGGATCGCAGTTCAAAGCCAGCCTGGGCAAATAGTTCATGTGACCCTACCTCGAAAAAAACTAACACAAAAAGGGCTGGCGGAGTGGCTCAAGGTGAAGGCCCTGAGTTTAAGCCCCAGTACTGAAAAAAAAATTGTTTTTTATTTACAAATAGACCAAAGTCGAAGATAGCCCCAGTGTGACACTCCTGCCATCCACAGCATCCCTCCCCTTGGATCTCCTGAAGGAGAGAAGAAGTGGCCTGCCACAGATTGTGCAAGGCCCATATTTTTCTGCACCACAGCTATAGTGAGTGAGTTACTGAGGTGCCACCTATCTTCACAGCTACAACATTGCCGAAGTCTGAACCTGCCTTGGAAGGGTGGCAAATTGGAAGAAAGACAGGCTGAGACCTGCTGAGTGAGTGTGCAGGCCCTGCGGCCAAAGAAGCCAGTGCCAAGTCTCTAGGTGCTGGGTTCCTGCAGGCTGGCAGGAAGCCCAGCCTCCACCTGTGGGAGGCCCCTACCTCTGGGTCTCCCAGCTGTGAAAGAGCCATTCTGAGGGCTGCACGTGCTGTTGTCCCCTCCGCAAACCTGGCACACATCCCGTACCTGCTGGGAGTCCATCCTGCCATCACAGCCAAATGTCTGTGAAAAGGTGGCAGCAGAAGGCTGGTGTCATCAGAGGCTCTGCTCTCCTGACACCACAGCCCTGATGGTTCTGAGGTTCTGGGATTCCCACAGGCTACTGCAGCATCTCTGCAGCATCTTGTCCTGCTGTCTACACAGGACAAGAGCCCGCAGGGTTCACATGACTAGGCTGAGGTCACAACACAGATGAAATCTAGACTGACTCTAGTTCCGGCCAGCTTCTAGTGCCACTCTCCTGCAGACCAAAGTGTAGTGCCATTGCAGCCTATACCCTTGACCCTTCTCCCTGCACCCCAAACCTGCCCCACTGCACCCAAAGACTTGGTCCCCTATACCCTGGACCTGCCTCCTGCCCCTGTCCCCTGTATTCCAGACCTGCCCTCTGCACCCACAGACCAACCCCCTAAGCAGAATAGGCAGGCCTTGGGGCCACAGGGGCTGGAGAGGCACAGGGCTGTCCACACGCCTACCCTGCAGCTGCCAGACACACATAGGTTCAGAGTCCCATCCTCCTGAGGGATACTTGGCACACAGCGGGTCCCATCCAGGAAACTATCTCCACGCCTCACAATGAAGCTTTCTCCAACAGCTCGGCACATGTGCCGGCACAGGGTGTCCCCTGGGAAGGTAAAGAGATAAGGACTCCTGACGTGAGGAGGTGGGCAGGAGGGCACTGAACTGGGCTGAGAAGCCTGTCTTATTGCCCTAAATCCTTCTAGCAACTCCAGAGAGAGACACTGATACTGTCTCCACCTCAGGAGGGAAAACTGAGACAGAGATGGGACCTCATTGCTTATCTGCTGGGAGGCCAGGCCACACCAGGCTATGATCCACAATCTATGGGACACCACAGTCTGAGCCCCAGTCCTGCTCCAACCAGCACTGGAATGATGGTGGCTGACCTCAGGGACTCTGCCCAGCAGAGGGTCTCCAAGGCCTGGCTCCTCTGAGCTCCCCAGCCTACCTTGACTGTACTGCACGGCAGCACTCCAGCGGTAAAAAGAGGCACTACCAGGAGAGAGGCTCAAAGGCTGGCCATCTGTCTGGGCACACTGCTCAGACATGAACTCCAGCTGGGTCTTCTCACAAGCCTGGGGAGAGGAGGTAGAGGACAGGAACAAGTGGGGCCCGTGCCACTGGGAACCCTGTGTGAAGGGGCAAGATGTGGAAGTGACCCAGTCCCAGGCTGTGCCTTAGCTCCCTGTTCTGAAGCCTGGGATTGACAGAGCACCTGCTTCTGTCTTCTGATGGGAAAATGACAATTTGTAAAGGACACAGAGCAATGGCAAGCAGGGAAGCTGCTCTTGGGACCCCTGGGTCCAAGGCCTGAACCTGAGGAAACAGGGCTGATCTGTTTATTCACATCAAAGGTGCATCCAGGGACAGGCAATTAGAGAACTGTAGCTGTTCAGAAGCAGGGAGCTTCTCTGTCATCCCATGCTCCAGGTGAAGACTCTCCTCTGGAGGTCTGAGGAGGCCTTGGGCACCTGCCTGGAGAGGCAGGGAAGGAGGGCCTCAGTACATACAGGACATCATACAGCCAGGGCCAGACCCAAATCCAGGGCCATCCAAAACAGGAGGCAGATTTTAACTCAATGTAAAAGGAATCATTTCTACCACTTGGTGCCAAGGATGGCTAGAACTGGGAAAAGGGAAATAACAAGCACTGGGTAGGATGTGGAGAAACTGGAGTCAGACGGAGGTGGTGTCAAACAGTTGGCTTTATGCGACGTGGATTTCAGCTCAATGAATAAATTATTGCTCATGCTCTACAGTGGGCGGCACCCACAGGGGCAGTTCTCGTTGCAGAGATGTGCTCTGGTGGTCCAAGTGGCAATCAAAGATGAAGGTGGATGCTTCAGGAACTCTGCTGGTCACAGCAGGACTGTCCTGACTGGCAGAGCCATCCTAGTTTATGCAGAGGTCCCTTGTCCCTCCCAAAAGAGAGGTATAAACCACAGATTAGCCACAGCGCTGCCATCTCCCGCCCAGAGGCAGGCCTCACCTGGGTGTTGCACATCTCCGCCTGGAGTTCAGCACCGACACATGCACGCCCCCCAAAGGCAGGTCTGGAAATGCCCATGAGAGGAGGAGTGAGAAGTGACCCCTGCCCTACGGAATGGGGCATGGCCCCCTCCCTGATGGGGTATGATACCCCCTCCATAGGCTACCTGGGGTTGTTGCACCGCCGCCTCCTGGTGACCACACCTCCTCCACAGGAGCGGGAGCAAGGACTGTGGGGGCCCCAGCTCGACCAGTGCCCGTGCACTGCTGCCACGGGGCTGAGCTCCGCCAGGGAGAGGCAGTGACCCTTGGAGCACCACTGCAAGGCAGGCATAGCTTGTCGCCTGCCCCCGTGGGGACCCCAGTACACACAGGACCCTCACAGGGCCCCCCAACATACTCAGGCATCCCATACATAGGGACTCCCATCACACAAAGGGACCCTCCCTACACAGGACCTACCTGTCTCCACAGAGACTTCCAATACATAGGTACCCCCACACTCAGGGAACCCCAACATATATAAGTACCTCACGCACAGGGGCCCCTCAACACATATAGGGACTCCTAACTCACAGGCACCCCACACACACTTCTTTCTGCTTGGAAGCAGAAGATGGCGGGCAGGATTTGGCTGCCCCAGGAGAGATGGGGCAGCAATGAGAGGGCAAGGGTGTCTAGGGGGCTCAGGCCATGCTGCTGCTCCAGCAAACCCCTCTCTGTGAATGAGGACAATGCATCTCCATTTCCAGGCTGGAGGAGATGAGTGGCATGGGCTTCTAGGAGCCCAGGCACAGCGCCTGGGATTGAGGTTTGATGAAACCCTACTTTTGGGCAAAGTGTGGGGGTCCAGAGCAGTGACACAGAGCAACCTTCCCACTGGGGTGATGGTCTGCCGAACCCAGAAAACCCACCAGCTTTCCAGGCCTGCAGAGGGCTGGAGTGAGCCTAAGATCAGGCAACATGCACGGTGCCCATGGGACCACCCCTTGACACCTGACCAGTGTAGCCAGGGACAGCTCTCCACCTACTAACTTCTTACCTCCCACCCTAGGAAGAAGGCCCTATGTAAACACACACACATGCACACATGCTTGATCGAGTTCCATCTGTCATTCTGCTCTGACCTTCTCCACCCCACATTCTGTCCCGTCCAGGAGAGGGATGAGGAGGCGGCTGCAGCTGCTGTGGTCCAGGGAGTCAGTGTGGCAGGAGAGAGCCTGGCACATATCCTAAGAGGGGAGACAGATGGCCACCCAGGGGCTACCATCAGTGTCCCTCCCAGACCACAGGACACACTGACATGGCCAACACCCTGTTCAATGGCCACTGGTGAGTGGCCTGGGAGAACAAGTCACAATCGATTCATTCATCTGGAACAAGGACCCTGAGCAGGAGCCACCATGCTTCTAGGAGCCCAAGAAAATGTTTCAGCTCCTTTTAAAATCAGAAGACTTTAAAAATCCAAATGACTTTTAAGTCAAAATAAATGTATATATTAATTACTTGTACTTAATATACTTAAGTACGTGTACACTCATACTTAACGTATTTACAATTACTCACAAGTTTATATACATTTTATAAAAATACTAAACATAATTCTTAATATTTTCATGGAGGAAGGAGTCCATCAGGGCAAAAGAACCTGAGTCCCTGAATGTCCTACATAGCCCTAGAAGGAAGCCTGTCTTTGGAGTGCCTGTCCTGCTCCATCTCCTGGCCCTCTTCCCGCACACTCTTGCTGTGGGTCCATCTAGGAGGCCCCATCCTCCAGGAAGCCCTCTGGCTGAACGCAGCCCTTGGTACCTGTCTGGGATTGTGCCAGGACTAATTACATAATTCGTGGGGCCCAGTCAAACAAAACCATGGCGACTTCTGCTCAAAACTATTTAAGAATTCTGAGAGGTGACCTCAAGCGTTAAGCCACGGGACCCTGGCGATCCCTCCGCAGGTGCGGGCAGTGCCCCTGGGGTAGGAGAGCTGGGCGGTGCGCCAACTCACCAGGCCGTCTCTGGCGAAGGTGCAGCCAACAGCCGCGGGGCCAAAGGCGACGCGGCACTGCTCGTGGGCGTCGTAGTAGAGGCCAGGCAGCGCAATGGGCAGGTGCTCACTGGGTCCGGCCTGTGGCCTGGGCGGGTCCCATACACAGTGCAACCGCCCTGCACTGGACAGACCCCGGTTCAGGCCCGGGGTGGACACCGGGTAGGCGTGGGATGGAGGAGTGGACGTGGGGTGGACATGGGACAGGGAGCGTTGGCTAGGACAAAGCTAGCCGGCTCAGGCCCTGGGTGGGCACTTGGTAGAGGTGGGTGCAGAGCAGGTGGAGGGGGGAGGACAGACGGAAAGGGCCAAGTGACAGATGGATTGAGAGGTACTGCGGCGGAAGGGTTAATGTAGACGATGCCATATGGCAGTCTGAAGGGGGGGCGGGGTGGGGCAGGTGGGGTAGGTGAAGCCTAAGGAGTAATTCCCGGGTGGGCTCAGGAATGGGTGCAAGGAAGTGGGGAGTAGACGGAGGTCTAGCTGCTAGGAGAGGTGGATGCAAGGGGTCCTGGAGCAGGAAGTAGGGGTACGCATGGAGCAGAGGTGGGGTGCAGGGCAGTTGGATGGGGTGAGAGTGGCAGCTGACCCTGGGTTAGGTGGGGGGGATGTACCTGAGCAGTTGCCTCAGCTGCTGGCGGCTGCAGGCCGACCACTCCAGGCCGACCCCACCAGTGAGAGCAGCACCATCCGAGGCCATCACATGGCCACTGGGCCCACAGCCTCTGCCCACCTTGCCCTCGCCATCATGGTCCAGGCCGAAGCTGCAGGGGAGGCAGTGCTGAGGGTGGCCAGTAGGGTCCAGGGCAGGGGCAGGGTCACCTGTCATGTCCTACCCAGCGAATTTTAGCACCGGACTGGAGCGCTGTCACCAGCTACGCACCCTCATGTAGCAGAACCAGTCATATGGTGGCCCTGACTCAGTTTCCAGTGGGGAAGGGATGGGCAGAGTGACTCGGCTAATAAATATCAAAAGATATTTGTCGATGCTGTTATATATCTGCCACAGGGCCTCCGCAGCGGGCTGCACTGGTGTGTTCAGTGGGTGGAAATTCATCCACAGTGCAGTTGCTGGTGAAAATCTGCACTCCATGGTTTTCTAGTTCCTAGGCCATGGCTTTCACACAACAAAGGTGGAGCTTCTTACCCCTCCCTTCCCAAGCAGCATTGACCCAAGAACCTTAATGGGAGGCTGGCCAAAGGAAGGAGCCCATCCCCCAGCCCCTGGGAGCTCTACACCCACTCAGAGGGTTAACTTCCAATTTTACTTCACAAGTCTCTGTACTATTTGACTTTTTACAATTGAGTATCATTTCACAATTTAAAAAACTAAACTTCAAAACCAAAAGAAACCTCCTACCCTAGCAGACAGGAGCAAAAATTTGCTCACAAAAATACATAATAAACATAATAGCAAAAACGTGGAAACTAACCGTCCAATAAGAGCGGACTGAGTTGTGAAGCATTAAAAAAAATATATAAAGGACCTGGGAGAAATATTTGTGATATATTACATTAAAAAGCAGGGTAACAAAACAGTGTAAAGATGATCCTGAGTTTGCAAACAAAAAATTATATACATGTAAGTAAAGACCGAAATTAAACAGAAAATGTGAAGAGCCATTTCTAAGTGGCAGGACTTGGGACAATTTTCACGGCCTGCTTCTCTTTACTTGAATTTCCTATAAAAACTTATTTTCCAATTGCTAAGTTTGTTTTGCTTGTTTTTCTGGGGGGAAAAAGTACCAGTTTTGCCGGGTACTGGTGGCTCATGCCTGTAATCCTAGCTACTCAGGAAGCAGAGATCAGGAGGTTCAAGGTTCAAAGAAAGCCCAGACAAATAGTTCACAGGACCCTATCTTGAAAAAAACAGCCCATCACAAAAAAAGTGCTAGTGGAGCAGCTCAAAGTATAGGCCCTGAGTTCAAACCCCAGTACCTCCAAAACAAAACGAAAACAGTACCAGTTTCTCTCAATAATTTGGCAATCAAGAAGTATCAGATTCCCTGTCCTGTCCCTCCCCTCCCTTGTCCTTTGGGCTCAGGAACGCAGGGCCTTTAGGCAGGCTCTACACTGACCACTGCCTTCCACCCAAGGGGCCCAGATTGCCTCCCTGGCCAGTCAGGGGACAACTAGTATAGTACCTATGCCCAATCTCATGGGCGATGGTGACCCCCAGGTCAAAGCCAGTGTCCTCTGTGATGAGGCAGCTCCAAGAGGGTGAGCAGATGCCCCCCAACTGGGTGACCCCCCGAACCTGTTGATTACCGTCAGGCAGCTCCAGGTTAAACCTTGGCAAGAGAAAAGAATCACCTGGGTGAATCTGGTGCTTGCCACAGCCAGGCCACCTGTGCACAGGGTAGGAAAGCAGGTGACACGCAGTCAGGAAGCTTGGTTACCTGGTGATGTAGAGGACCAGGTCAGCATGGCCAGGATCTGTGTCGTCTGTGGGGTTGACTGTCTGGCTCCACTCACAGACACTCAGCAGGGATGAGGTGATGTTAGCTGTGATGGTTGGAGCATCCTGGGAGAGCAATAATAAAGTCGGCTTTTATGAGATCCATCCTGAGGATGGTGCATTTCTCAGGTCAATCCTCACAACAGTTCTATTGCTATTCCATGTGACAGATGAGGAAACCAAGAAACACAGTCACTCAGCCACAGGTGAGTGCCAGGAGAGCTGGGGTGGGAGCTGGTCTATCTGGCTGACAGCCCCGCCGCAGTTACCACATTCTACAGGCACAGTAGGAAGAGGATGACAGGGACCGGGGACAGAGACAGCACCTGGCTCTGCACACAATTCCAACTCAGCACCCACCTCGGGCTCCGTAAGAATCATCAGCTTCACCAGGTGTACTCGGAACTGAGCCCCCAGGGACGGGTCTCTCAGCAGTTCCGAACCCTGCAGAAGGCAAATGAGGGGGGTGGCAACGTGTGGCAGGCAGAGCTGGCCCAGCGGTCCCTGGATGAGGAGGACTAGAGAGGACGGTCCTTCAGCATGTGTGTTATGTATTTGGTGTGGAGACACTGAAATTCTAGTTCTGGGAATCAGTGATAAGATGGTCAGATGCACCTCCAGGATTCCTGTAGCTCATGGCTCAGAAGGCCACACTCACACACAAAGCAAGAGATCTTTGGAAGTCAGGATGGGAGCACACATGGCTGTCCTCCATCTGGAATATTCCGTACAGATGTGGCCTCTCTCAGACTGTATTCACCTATGCTTTCTCATCTCCCTTTACCTGGCAGGAACACCTTTTCTTCCACCTTTACCTGCTGAGTCCTGTCCATCCTTGTGAGGTGACATGAGGACCACCTCCACCCACCATGAGCCTTTGCCCAGCCCACTCCCTCCCTCTCCTATCCTAGCTCCCCTCTGCATGTGAATCAAGACACAACTCATGTTCCATGTGCATTGCTGCTCTTTGAATGAGCTGACTCTCTAAACGACATGGTGCCCGAGTGACAGACATGATGACCACTGGCCTCAGCTGGCCTGAGTTTGAATCCAAGCTCTACCTTTTCCTAGCTCTGTTCTCAGGGTCCTGCTCACTAAGTGCTGAGCCTCAGTTTCCTCATCTGTGAAATCAAGAGAAAGCCTTCCTTGTTGGCAGATTCAGGGACATTGTCATTATAAAGCCACTGGCTCAGGTGGGTGTCCAGTACTAATGGTCATTACAGCTATGGGCCACATGAGACAGGACAAATCTCACTTTTTCTACCTGGCTGATCCTCAGAAGATGCTTGGAATGACTGCAGGAGCCTGGGCTGAGCGCCTATGTTTCAGTATATTAGAACTGGGGAAAGGGACCTGAAAGTTTGAATCTAACAGCTTCCAAATCACTTAGAGGAAATATTTTTCACTAAGAAAACATCACCTTCAGGGCTTGTACACAGAAAATGTGCACACACCTGTTTTGGACTTGGGAAGGAACCCCTGAGGTGGGTATCTGGTCCCAGACTCCCTTCAGGTAGGGGAGCAAAGACTGCTTGGGATAGAGTGTGACCAAGGGCAGCCTTGGGTCCCAAGACAGGTGAGGTTAATATGGAAGATGACTTTCCTTTTGTCTAAAACAGGTGACCAGATCTGAGGCTGGGGTATCTTAGAGAGAGTTGCCTGAAGCTGGGAACTGATGCCCCTGTCAGAGCCACCACCAGCACCTCCTCACACCCCCACCACCTCTGAAGCAGACCAAGGGAAGGGGAAGAAGAAACCTGGAGCTGTCAGTCAATGGCTGAAACTAGTTCCTAAATGTCCCAAAATCCAGTTCAGAATTTTTAAAGCTGTGTTTCAGTGAATGACCCAGTCACTTTCTCCAAATCCTTCTGACATCACTGTGGTGTGACCACAATCTGAGAAGTTTGGGCAAATTGACCTCATGGCCTGCAGCAGATATTTTTTGTGTATGTTCCGTGTGCATGTTCTCTAGCTGTTGGTGTGGGCTTCATGTCCTGTGTTAGGGTAAACTGGATGATGAGGATGTGGAAACCACCTGAGTCTTAGCTGGCACCTAGCTCTGAGATAACAGCAAGCACAGTGTTACCCCTGCCCTGACTCACCCAAGACCTGCAAGAAAGGGAGCCGGGCACCTCCACCCAGCACAATGTGCTTATGGACTTTGGATGTCATCAATCTGCCCTACACCTTCCTGAGTAGGGGATGAGAAAACTCAGAGAGGGAAGGGTTGGGGGAACAGAGAGCAGTGTGGGCAGTCTGTACCCCCTGTTAGCCCAATGGACATTGGCAAGAAACAGGCTTGAGGGCAGCTCCAGGCACAGAGACCAGAGAAGCAAGAGGCTGTAGAGTACACTATGGATCAGGGTTCCCAGACCTCTCCTATCTCTGCTGCAGGAGAGGGAGGGGAAAAAGAAGAAAAAGTGAGCCATGCCCCCCACACTCTAAGGCCCTGAGCCCCCAGCCAATCCTAGCCTCAAGTCTATACCCAAGTTCAACCCACTAAACTCAAATGCACTGACATTTGGTCCACAACCTCTGTGTCCAAAGGTTCCTGGGGACAGCTTATAGCTTCACCAGAAACCCTGAGTGCCCCCTCCCTGTGCTAGCCAGTATTGGCCCCACGGAGGACTCACAATGTTGAGGTTTGTGAGCACATAGCGCTCTGTGTCCTCATGGTGCACCTGGTAGACATCAGGGCCCACAGCCACCAGCAGCTCCAGGTGTAGGATGTCCCCTGCAGCCCATCTCCGTCTCCGGAGGTGAGGGGAAGGATGGCCTGGAGGGGAAGGAAAACACTGAGGGCAAAGGTTCTAGAAAGCAAGTGCTGGGAGCCAATGGAGAGAGGCTGGTCACTCCTGGAAAGATGACCTTCAGAAGTCAAGATGCCCTATTACACACCCTTGTTAAGAGCTCAGCTCCCACTGGTGACTGGGGGGCCATAGGTGGGCAAAATTGTGAGGGGGTTTCTATGGCCATCTTATCCATCAGGACCCCCATCAAGACAAGCCCCCCACTCTCCCTAGGGCTCCATCCAAAGCCCCAAGCCCCTGCTCTGCCTCCTGGAGCCTGCCCTGTGCACAGGCTGGAGAGCAGGATCAGTACGCAAAGCCCAAGATACTCGCTCCTCCCAGCCGAGTGCTGGTGGGGAGCACCAGCCAGGCCCAGGCAGCAGCACATGCAGCTGTGCCCTGGAGCCATCTTCAGGCCACCAAGTCCCCATCCGCAGCAAGGAAATATCAGAAACCCCTGTCCTGGTAGTGCCAGGGCTGAGAGGCTCTAAAGGTGCATGTCTGGACACTCTTTGTGAGCTGGGAGGGGCTGCTTACAGGCAGGAAGTGACCACATGCTCTTCTAGGTACTGCCCTCCAACCTAAAGAAGATGCCTCCATCCTTACTGGGGCATTTCCCACAGCATCCTGGGTGTCAGAAAGCTGGTCTCTGCCCCAGCTATACTTGGAGATGCCCCTCCCTCCCTGTCATAGGAGCAGTACCTTGTACAAACCCTGGGGCTGAGAGACTGTGGATCAGGTGGGGTTGAGCACCGCTCAAGTGAGGCACCAGCTTCCAATGCTGCCTCTTCACTGGCTGGATGTACAATCTACTTGTGCCCACCAGGATGTCACCCTCCTACAGAAGAAAGCAGCCTCCAGCACACAGCAGCACACCGCACATGTCCCTCCTGGGAGGACCACCAAGTCCCCTGCAGGAGAGGGTCTCACTGGACTGACAGAGTGGGCTTGCACTTGCCTGAGCCCTCTCTAAGGGCTCCTCTCCAAATCCAGGTCCACAAACCCATCCCTGTGGGACAGCTAGAGAGCTGTCACCTTCTGGGACCAGGCTCATTGCCTACTAAGCACTACCAGCCGCCCCTGTCTGCATGCACATGGCTGGATAAAATCCAAAAAAAAAAAAAAAAGACCTGATGGGGGTCCCATGTGTATGAGACTGGAAGGGCTTTCAAAGGACCAGCAAGGCCTGTGTCACCAGATTCACCCTAAATGGCATCTCTCCTGGTCCAGGCTGGGACTCCCAACCCAAGAACCTGGGTACAGCATCAGCATCATGTACAGCTCTGGCTCTGGCTTCTGGGGTGCTTTCTGAGAGAGGTGTGCTTTGCCAAGCTTTGAGGCAGTCTTCACAACATCCAAAGGAGGCAATGCATGGCCCTCACTCAGGTACAGACACGAGGTCTAGTGCAGAGGCTGATCTGAGGTTCTGGCCGGTATCTAAACTCAGAGCTCCAACTCCAAAGCCCCAGTTCTTATCCTTCCCCAGTACCCTGGGGAGTCAATGAAGCCAGGTTTGTACTTAGCTCTGCCACTTGCTAACTGGGTGGACTGTGGACACTTACCTAGTTTTTCTGAGCCACTGTTTCCCTCCTTGGAACATGACCCCTAGTGGGGCCTGACATTAGGTAAGGAAGGGATGTAGTTCATTGTCAGGACACTCAGCCTTGTGGCAGGGATTTGTAGGCCAACAACTTTGCACCATGGGGGCCCAGCAGCCACACCCTCAGGACAACCTGTTCCCGCTGGTGTCCAAGCTCCTACTCACCAGCTGGCCTGAGCAGTACGTGACCCTGGCCACTGTACCCAGTGGTAGCAGGGCAAGTCCACCTGTGAAGCAATTGCTGGGGGGACCCTGCAGCAGCCGGAGGGAGGAGTTCACCACACGCTCTCTGGTGAAGGAGGGGGCCAGGAGGCCCAGCTCAAACCGGAAGGAGAAGATGAAGAGCTTTCTCAGGGCGCTCAGAGAGCAGTGCAGGGCCCTGCAAGGAGGCCCCCCCAATCCGTTCTTGCAGATGCATGCGAGTGGAGCCATGGTGAACTGGGGCACTGTGGGAGACAGGAGCCACGTGACTCACCCCTGCTCGGCCCCTGCCTGGTCCTTCTGTCCAGGAGCAGGGGCCTGGAGTTGTTCTGTTTCATAAAGAGGCATTGGGGAAGAGTACCACCAGCCTGGAGACAGGGGCCTGTGCTCAAGTCCTGCTCTTCTCAGCTTAATTGCTGATGGATGGCAAATTGCCTGCCCTCCTCAGGCCTCTCTTGGGACTGGACCAGGGCTTGGCAAATTAGCCTGAGCCTCGAAACAGGTGTCTCCTGAGCAATGTCTTGAGCACCACTATTCAATGGGATGGAGAAGTCAAGTGCAGCCTCTGGCCTCCCTGGAAAGCAGGAGCCCAGGACAGCACTCACTGTCCTCCTAGAGTCTAAAGGGCTCAGACCCCAGGCAATGGTGTCCTGGACTTCCAGGAGGGCAGAGCTGGGAGAACCAGGGTCCAGCCCCCTGCCCCAGATTCAACCCCAGCAGCTCTCCAGCTCAGCCCAGACTCTGACTAGTGTACACCTGGCCCAGACCACAAAGAAGGTGGATATATGTGGGGTGTCCCCTAATCTTCTCCACCCAGAGAGCTAGCCTGCCTGCCTCTGCTCCCACCCACCATCAGCCTTTTCATCAAAAGGCTGATGAACGGAAAGGGGGTTGGCACCCCGAGACAGGACCTGAAAACCCTTGGGGGAAAAGCCCTCATCATAAGGAAATCCATAGGCTAGTCTCTGGAGGGAGGGAGTTTGACACCACCCCTCACCCCCATACCCTGTTTTCCATAGAAGGAATAAATATTTACATCCATGGCCAGAAACCACAAAGTTCTGGAAAATTAGCCACCCTGGCAGAGGCCAGGGAGCAGAAGGGACCAGCTGATTCAAAGCTATTCCTTGGGATACTTAACAGAAGCCTGAGGTCAGAACCCAGCTCGGCCAGAACACCAGACCAGTTTTTATCAAATTGGCAAGAAATAACAGAGCTAATTAATAGGAAGATGCAGCTTCTCTGACCTCCTCCCTCCAGAACCACAGAAACCTCAGACTACTGACTTAATGGGACCCCCCCCCCACCCCGCCCCGCCCAGGTCCCAAGAAGTTCCCCTGGCTAAAAGAATACCAGGACAGGTACCTGCGAAGGCAGCGTCAGGGCCAAAGTAAGAAGACACCTCCTCCGGCTCCAGAGCCTGAAGAAAACTCTGCAAGACAAAAAGACAGGGAGGAGGAGGGGGAAAGAAGGCACATCCTGGAGAGAGAGCAAGAGGGAGAGGGAGCACGCTGGCGGCAGAGAGAGGCTGAGAAGAACAACCCACAGAGGTCTATGACAAACAGGTGTCACTCATCTTCACCCGAAGAAACCAGTTCCCTCTTCTCAGTGGAAAGAACACGCCCACTGCACCCCAGGGGCCGTTTGGCAGCCTCTCCTCCAGGTGACTCCATTACTACTCCTGCCATGAGCCCACCTGCTGAAAATCGGAGAGCCCCCAGCAGCCCAGGACAAAGAAGGCACCAGCGAGGACCCCCCCAATGCTGGCTGCATGGAGAGAGTGCCATGTCACCCAGGGCCGAAGCTGGTTCATCCTTAGCTTCCTGGCTTTCGCTAGCTCGTGGCAGGAGAGGGACCCTGGTAACTGGAAAGCTGTTCAGTGTGGAATGTGACAGGCAGACTCAGGACTGGGCGGGACATTCAGCTGTGTTTACTCTTGGGTGCTTCTTCCCAGGGCAGGGCTGGGGGATAGGCAGCCTGCAGTTCCTCCTGCTGGGCCTTTGCTCTTGGGTGGTTCCCAGAGCAGAGCACCCCAACACTGTCCTGCACTGGGAAGACAACTGTGCACACCTCCTGGGAGGGGGCTAGCCCAGCTATACAGTATGGAGAGGAAGGAGCTCTGGATGAGGGCCCTGGAGACATGGGCTCATGGGGATGATGGGCCCTGAGTGGATTTTTCAGGGTGTCCGATCCCCTGACTGACCAACAAGATGCTGCACCAAAGGCATCCCAGCTCAGGCCCCCACAGTCTGCCTCCCCTAAGACACCCATTTCCCAGGTTCTTTGCAGCTCTCCTGTCCTCTTCACCCAGGGTAGATTCCCTCCCTGCACTGGCTCCTTTGTGGACATCCTATGCTCTTGCCTAATGTTCCCTCATTCTCCGACTATCTGGTCCACACTCATGGGAAGAGTCACAGAGCAAGCAGCTGGCCCCAAATCTCTTCATCTGTCATCACAAACCACCTGGCAATCTCACTGCTCCTCTTGAGAAGTTCTCATACACACTCCAAACCACTCTTGCACACCCCTTACCCTGCCAGCTCCCAGCTACTCTTTGGCTCTCGAATGTCTCCCAAAGGCTCATGGGTTGAAGGTTTGGTTGCCAGCCTGTGGCAGTACTGGGAGACGGTAGAACCTTTCAGAAATGGGGCCTAGTGGGAGGAGGTTGGGTTATTGGGAGAGAGCCCTGGAAGGAGGCCCCAGTCCCTTCCTTCTCATTCTTTGCTTACCAACTGTCATGAGGCTAGCCGCCTCCTTTGTCATGTACTCCTGCCATGATGTGCTGCTTCGACACAGGTCCAAAGACAACAGGACAAGTGACAATGGACTGAAACCTCTGAGGATATAATTTTTTTGGCAGTGCTGGGGTTTGAACTCAGGGCCTCACGCTTGCTAGGCAGAGGCTCTACCATTTGAGCTACTTCACCAGTCAAAAACTCTGAAATCATAAGCTGAAATAAATCTTTCCTCCTTGTAGGTTGATTATCTCAGATATTTGTCACAGCATCAGAAAGCTGACCATCCTCAGCTGACGACACAGTGGTTCGCCATTGTCTTCCTGCTTAAAATTGCAGACTCTCTCCTCCTTTGCATCAGGGGGAGGATGAACCCATCCATGAGTGCTGGGCCAGCGTGGTTCTGGGTCCCTGTCACCCTCTTGCCTTCCCAAAGCTTTGCTCCCTCCATTCTGCTCTCTCCCTCCTGCATCATTATTTCTGTATCCTACCAAAGTCATACATTCAGCCAACAAATGTTTAGAAAGCCCCTGCTTTGGCCAGACAGGCACTGTGCTGCGTATCAGGAAAGCAGCCGTGAGTCAAACAGACCACTGCTGTGATCTCTTGAAGTTTAAATTCTGAGGAAGAGAATTCACCAGACATACTCATCATAGTGTGTTGGCAGGTGCTGAGTGTTGTGGAGAAGCACACAGAAGGAGAGTGTGCTGGGCAGAAGGGGAGGATGTCTTATCATAGAGAATGTCCCCAGGAGAAGGTGGTGTACAAGATATTGAGGTCTGAGTAACCAGGTCACCCCATTAGCCTGCACAGACTCTGGTGTCCCATGGTTCACACCAGCAACCTTCCCCTGGCTCATACTGTCCTCCTGCCACTGTCCCATTCTTTATTCTTAAAGAATAATGTGAAAGTCATATCCAGAGGCTTTCTCACTTCCTCACCTCCCACCCCCACATCCCATGAAATTGCTGAGGTCCCCAAAATTTCAAAGCCACATCCAGCTCTCACTTCTCTGACCTTGTCTTAACCTTCCAGCAGCACATGGCACAGGTATCTTTACTTCCATGAGGCTACACACTCCTGATGCTTGTCACTTTAGTTGTTCTAAATGTGGCAAATCCTGACCCCTGGCCTCAGGATTTCAATCTTCTGTACTTTCTTTGTGAGTTCCTATAATTTTATGTTGCCTTGGACTGTGCAGATATGCCACAGTGATCTCAGTCACTGCCTGACCCACAGAACTGGAGCCTTGCCTCCTTTAAGCACACCAATGAAAATTCCCTGGAGATCCCAGAAGAGAGAGAGAGAGAGAGAGAGAGAGAGAGAGAGAGAGAGAGAGAGAGAGAGAGGAAGGACCTAGTATAACAGGTACTCAGAAACTGCTTTTGCTAAAAAGCACCCACTCCTTACATGAGCCCACAAACTAACTAATCAACTAAAATCAGGAGAAAAGTATGTCATCTCTGCTGCCATTTTTGCATTCACGTATTTTACTTTGAGTTTCTCTCCTTTGCAATCACCTTGGCTTCTGGGAAGGAAAGGATTGGTCGATAACATCTTTATGACAAGGAACAGAAACTATCCCCAAGGAAACCAACAACAGAGCCTGGCAGGACAGAGCGCCCCCAAAATGATGACAATTACCTATGATGATAAGGTTACACCCTGGAGCAGGGGTAATTATCTCATGGGAACGAGATTGCTCCCCTCATGTGATGACAGCGATAAGAACTTCTCTGAACCCCTGGCAGACCCAGATAAGAACTTCTCTGAACCCCTGGCAGAACCAGAACTGAGATCGTAATTAACCATACCACACTTGCCCTGAGACTTTAATTATGCACACCCCTCTCCCCACCCCTATTCTCTATTTAAACCTAAAGCTCATGTCTGTACCCCGAAGATGGCTGAAGACGGGGTGAAATCCTTATTTCACCTCCCTCCCCACTGCCAGCGCTGAGTGGTAAGTCCTTCTCTTTGGCGTATTCGGGTGAGTGGCCACACCTGACACGTGGAACCCCTTCTGTTGAAACTCTGGCCTAGGACTCCATTGCACCTGGAGGAAGCTTGTCAAAGGCTTTGGCATGCAGGTCTGCCAACACTTGACTTAAATGTAAGTTTGAAGCCTCTGGAGGCCTCTTCCGTGTTGTGTGCAAACACATCGTCAGGGGCAGGAGCAAGTATGGTGTGCAAGTGATTTACTTATTTAGTACTGTTGATATTCTTACAAATAATACATTGCCATAAATAATGCTTTATTGTTATTGTAGGAAATTTCTCGCATCCCTTTGCAGCCCTAGGGTTCTAGGTAAACGGGCCTCAGTTTCCCCAGTGTGTACCAGAGCTCGCAGTACGTCAGCACGTCTGACACAGAGGCCACGGATCATACAGACCGCCAGCTGGCGCCCCCTTCCGGCCACCCGCCGCCCGACTCGGTGCCACACCGACAGTGGTCCCCCAGATCCCTTCCGGCGTCCTCGCTTTTAGCCTACCTCCCCGGATATTGGTAAGATCCCGCGCTTAACCCCAACCCGACCCAACATCGCCGACTCCAGACACTGATCGACAGGGCGGCAGCCCTATAACCGTGCAGGCGAACAGGCCCATTCCGCTCTCGGACGCGCAGAACCACAGGCCGCGACCCGGTTTCCAGCCGGTCACAAATAGAAGAGCACTTCCGGGCGCTGGAGCGTGCGGCGGCGGCACGCGGGGCGCGTGGGGGTCGCTTCCGGGGTTGCTCCACGGTCTCTTCCGGGCGGGGCGCGCGGGTTTGTCTGGGCACGAGCTCAGGGCCGGCTCTGGGATCGGGAACTGCAGGGCAGAAGGATGAAGGTCCCGACTTCCGAGTGCGTCCCGAGCATCGCCTTGGCCCAGCCGGGGCCTGTGACGAAGCTCGCTCGGAAGAAAAACAAGAAGAGGTTCTGGAAGAAGAAAGCTCAAGGGGGAAGCAGGAGGCCAGGAAGCGACCCCAGAGTTGTCGCGGAGCGACCTCCAAAAGCTCCAGAAGATTTTTCTCAAAATTGGAAGGCGCTGCAAGAGGTGAGACCGGAGGGGCCCGGCGGCAGGCTCCATCAGCCCGGGATTTTGGTTGGGTGGCCGCAGGACGCAAAAGAAAAAAGGACGCGCGAATGGCCCCAAAACACCCGTGGAGGCCGATTTGAGCCAAAATTTCTCAGAACCGTTCACAGGAAAAGCGGCCTGCAGAGGGGAGGTAGGCGTCCTTGTGGCCAGCAAATAGCAGACGCGTGACGTCGAGGATTCCAGCGACGCTCAGGGCATTTAAGTAGTCATTCATTCATAGCCCCTGCCCCCTGGTATTTTTTTTTTAATTTTTATTTTATTCATATGTGCGCCCCCTGGTATTGAAGTCTTAGTTTGCTACGGACAGCCTGCCATAGGATCTGCGCGGTATATGTGCTCTTAGGTAATACCATAACATCACCGTGAGAGCCTTTTTACAGGTGAGGAAAGGTTAAATGAACCAGGAATTGCAGCTGGGAATCGGGGCTAACACCCAGGCAGTCTGACCCTGAGGTCCAGGCGCTTAAAGCTGTGTTGTACCTACTGCCTTTCTTGCCAGTGATGGCCCAACACTTACAGGCTCATAAATTCTTACATCCCTTGGACTTAATTGCTGTTTCTATCCCTGTTTCCTAGATGAAGAAATTGAGGCACAGAAAGCTTAAGGAACTTGGCCTAAGGTCACACAGCCTGTAAATGAAGGAACTAGGATGCAGATCACACATTCAGAGATAGGTGAAGTGGCCTGCGCAGCACTGATCTGAGCCCGAGGGATCAACTCCAAATTAGTTAAAGAAGTGAAAATGGGCTGCTTATTTCTTCTTCAGGCTCACAGCTGTTCTGGGGTGTTTAGTCACTCAACAGAGACTTACAGTATAGTTTTATAGAAATGAGGGAACATGTGTAAAAATATGCATTGTAATAAGCAAAACAAAAGCCTCTCACCACTAGTGACTTACAGGTGAGAATGAGAAGGGGCTTTTCCAATTGAAAATTCACCTCTATGATGCTAGCCAGAAGTGTTTATAGATATGATACACGTGTGTACATAATTGTACACAATTTTTCAGTCTGTTATATGTCATTTCCAAATTAAAACGTGGCTTTTTAAAAATGTTTGGTCCCATTAGCTGCTGAAACAAAAAACACAGGCCCCAGAAAAGCCTCTTATGTCTCAAATGGATGTCAAAAAGGAGCTCAGAACTATTCAGCAGAATGGAAAAGAGAACTCAGATGAATCAAAGGGAGATGAGATGCCAACAGAGACAGACCAGGAGGCCACCGGGAGCTCTGTTGCTTCTGCATCTAAGAGAGATAGGATGGTACCACTACCTTCCACAAAGACCAAAGGAGCAGAGCACAAGAAAGGAGCTAAGAAAAGGACAAATGGTGATATTCCTTCAAAACCAGGGGACAGCAAGCATAAGAAGCAGAAAGCTAAGGAGGCAGCTGTGGCCTCGGCTTCAGCTGCACCCACTGAGTAAGTATTGTCCATCTCTGCAATTCTCTGCTGTGGTGACTGCCACCCGTGTCTAAGCTACAGACAGCCCTAAATGCCACACCAGGCCTGTGTTTTTGGGGGGGCTGTGTAGGAGGGTGGACCTGCCAAAGTCCCCTTTGCCTTACTCTGGTGTTTCTTTGCTTACTTGCTTCTTATTTCCACTACAGTATGGGATAGTGAAGGCAGATCTGTTTGAGTCACTTCATCTTTTGGGGGCTACCACGGAGCTCAGTACTTACTAAGCACCAGCAAAATCTTGTGGCATGGCTGGATTGGTGGCATACACCTGTAGAGTGCTACTCCACAGCTACTCCAGAACCAGGGGTATAGGAGGATTGCACTCTGAGGCTAGCCCAGGCAAAAGCTTGAATCCCTGTCTGAAAAGCAAACTTAAAAGCAAAAAGGACCAGGGTTGAGGCTTAAGTGGTAGAGCACTCACCTAGAGAGTATGAGTCCCTATGTTTAATCCCCAGTACTGCCAGAAAAAAAAAAAAAAAAAAAACTTATGGCATGGAGTGCTGGAGCCAGAAAGACCCAAGTGTGAAACCCATTCCTGCTTCTTGCTAGTTGGGTGGCTTGGAGCAGGTTCCCAACATCCTTGGCACCTACGTGGCCACCTGTGGCCATGCCTCAGGGAGGCAGTGAGGTACAGCGTATTTGGCTTCGTGCCTGGTGACTACTTAAGCACTCATGGGGAGGGCCACCTGGAAGGGCATGCTGTACATCAGAGGCTGGCTTCCTGCCATCTGGTGTTCAGGACACACTTGAAGGGATGAGGTTTTGGATGCCTCCCCTGCGTTGTGTTGGCAGACTGTCTGCAGTGGTTTGGCTGGCAAGGCCCCTCACTTCCTCTTGGGCCGATCTAAGCAGGCAGACAGAAGGTCCCTTACTGTAGTAACTGTGAGTCTTGTCAGGGTGGACCTGGTGCACACCATAAGAGGAGCGTTCATCCACTGGGGTCAGGAGGGGCCTTTCTAAGGAACAATACTGAAGCCAAACCCAAGACTTGGAATTTACCAGGCAGCTAGATGACGATCTGTTCCCACTTTTAGTCCTTGCCCCCATCTGTGTTTCCTGATTGTTTGGTAACAAACCTACCACTTGGATAATTAGAAAGAAAATGTCAGCCATCATCCTATCAGAGTCGAATTACATGTTTCTGTTTTATATTCTTTGTATTTATCTGCAGTTCCTGAATCTTGGATAACGAGTGTATTTGCTAATTAAAAAGAAAGGAAAACGCGAAGGTGATCCATTAGTAGGCATGCTGGTGTTTGCGGGGAGTAGGGGAGCAGTCTTGTTGCCACTTATTGCATAGTCAGCCCACCAGCACAGCAGTCCCTCCTGACAGTTGAACTAGAGCTTCCTGGTGGTCAGCTGCTCTTCCTTGCCTTGTAGGGAAGACATCTGGTTCGATGATGTGGACCCAGCAGATATTGAGGCTGCCATTGGCCCAGAGGCAGCCAGGATAGCACGGAGACAGCTGGGACAGAGAGAGAGCAGCATCTCCCTGGTGAAGGAGCAGGCCTTCAGTGGGTATGCTGGGCTTGGGGTGCATTACTGGGAATGTTCCACCTTTTGGAGACAAGGCTTTTCAGGGAAGAGGGGTCCACAGGACCATGACCACACAGCGTGTCCCATGGGGGTTGGTAACAGGCAGGGCTTTGCCTATGGATCCCTTAGAGCTGACCTGGAGCCCCGGTTTATTACACCAGAGCCTTTGGTTCCCCCCTCAGCCTAACGAAAGCCTTGGCCATGGATTGCGAGATGGTGGGCGTGGGTCCCAAGGGGGAAGAGAGCATCGCAGCCCGCGTGTCCATCGTGAACCAGTATGGGAAGTGTGTTTATGACAAGTATGTGAAGCCGACCGAGCCTGTGACAGACTACAGGACAGCAGTCAGTGGGATACGACCCAAGAACCTCAAGCAGGGTAGGGCACCCATGGTACAGAAGTGTGTTGGGGGAGTAGTAACTGGATTCATCCCCCTTCACCCCCCGACCCTTTCTGTTCAGCACCACTCAGCACCACAGGAGTCTGATGCTCCTCTCCTGGGGCAAGTGCTTTGGATAGAAAGGTGCTTTCCCATAGATGTTGTGCTGCTTACACGTCTTGTGCTTCTGCGCCTCCCACCTCCCTTAAGACCAATATGGTGCTTTGGATTGCTTTGTGTTATGTGGCAGTGGGGCCCAAGATGGAGTGTATTAGGGGATGAGGAGGTTGGGGATTTAGGGAGACAGAGCACAGGATCTCTTTGGGAGGCTCTCGGAAATCTGGTCTAGCTTAGCTTCTAGCAGATTCCCTGTGGCTGTAACATTGAGAATAGAACAGGGAAAGAAGGCTTGTTGAAAGTCATGAACTGGTGATAGGCTGGGTAGGAAGGTGGCTGTAAGAAGTAACGAGCCAAGCACCGGTGGCTCACACCTGTAATCCAGCTATTCGGGAGGCAGAGATCGGGAGGATCATGGTTCCAAGCCAAGACAGTTTGTGAGACCCTATCTCGAAAAATCCCATCACAAAAAAAAAAGGGCTGGTGAAGTGGCTCAAGCATTAAGAAAATGCCTGCCTAGCAAGTGTGAGGCCCCAGTGCTGCCAAAAAAAAAATGATAAGAAGAGATCCAACCCCGATGCAACTGAGACTTGAGTCTGCATGTGGTGTGACAGGTGCAGGCATTGGATGCTCTGAGGTCTGCCACTTAAAGAGGCCCTAGACCCCTTTAAGAATCAGGCCCCATGGTCTCCTCTACCTCTTCTCTTCGCACAATGCCCTGTCTGCTTCTCTGGTGACCCAGACACTGACCAGCATCTTGATTTTGGTTTCTGGAAAGAGCATGGTTCAATCTGCTCTGGCCAGGGCTGGGCAGGGTCACATGGTACAAGTGTGGTTCTGGAACCCTTCCTTGGTGGGGTTAGGGTAGGGTGGTCGCCAGAGGGTATCTGCTTGGGGAGACCTGACAAAGCTGCCTTTGGAACCTGGGCTAAGGCAGGTTCCCCACCCCCACCATCTTTTGGAGAGGGCTAGTCCTGTTTTTATTCCACATGGAAAGTCAGAAAACACAAACCCTGACTTATTACATGGAGTTGTGACCATGCTGTCAAATGGTTCTGAGAGATTCTAAATTGTGGTTCTGTGGCCAACAGTAGACTGGCACCAGTGCAGACTGTGGTGGCAGTGTGTAGAGCCAAGTGGTAGACAACCTAAGAGATGGTGTCATTTCAGTCTTCCACCCCCAGGGGCCCGTGAGGCTCTCAGGGTAGGGGACTTCCAGTTGCCCCTTGGTGTGGCCTTGTAGTCCTGCCTTCTTGTCTTTAGTCTTCCAGGGGTGGGAGGGGCTTCCTCAAGAATGACAGTGATTTATGTGTTGCTAAAAACTGCTTTGTTTTGATTTTCAGGAGAAGAGTTTGAAGTTGTGAAGAGAGAAGTTGCAGAAATGCTGAAGGGCAGAATTCTAGTGGGGCATGCACTGCACAATGATTTAAAGGTCCTGGAAGCAGGGCGTCCTGGGAACTTTGGCTTGCAGGCTCTTCCGTGTGTGTTCTACACCCTCATGCCATCTGGCTCCAGAAGTGTCATTATAGTATTTTAATGCTTGAATTTGTGTCCTGTGTTGGGAGCCCTCTAGTAATGGTATCAAATGCCACTTATTAAGGTCTTGCTGTTTTCTAGGGACTGTGTTGGGCCTTTATTTTTAGAGCCCTGTCTACACTGGGGCTCCAGTACCGGGGGGTCTGGCAGCTCTGCCCTAAGGGAAATGAACTGGGGGCTGGCTGTGGGGCTCATGAGGTGTGTTTTGAGAGACACCTGTTCACCTGGCAGGGGGCCTGATGTCCTTTTGTCTGCTCCATGACCAGGGCTCCCCAGCTCATGAAACTTGTTTATGCTGGCAGAGCCCTTGTGGCGCTCATCTCGTGTCCAATTTGCACCTTGTTTAGCATTGCCTTGATGCTGGGAGCCTGGCCTCATGTTTCTCCTTAGCATCCTAGGGAAAGCCTAGCCTGGGTACAGGGGATGGGTCTTTAAGTTCATGGGCAAATGCAGGAAGCAGTGGGAAGGCAGGAACCCAGTCTATTTGATGAGAGAGATGTCACTTTGTTCTTTCCTCGGTTGCTACCTGGGCTGGGTGTGGTGATTTTCTGCTGTCTAGGCAGCAGCCTGGTTGAGTGGTCCCCCTAGAGCATGCTATGTAAACACATCCTGTTTGCTCTGTTAGAAACCATCTGAGGTTTATGCTGCTTTTATGGACAGCAGAACTGAGCTTTGGTGAAATTAAGGGCATGCTGAAGACAACTGTTATTTCATGGTTTGCACAAGCCAGTCCTAGCCACTGTCTCTTCAGCTGCCCCCACCAGGCAGCTGGGGATAGGGATGTATTTCCTAGGGTGTCCATACCACGCTGAATTGGAATCCTTTGCAGGCTGGCTGCATCTTGGCCAACTTAGGGAGGAGATAGGTGAGGTTAAGGAGCCCCTCCCATCACAGGGCATGTGGCCTCCATCCTTTGCTCCTTTATACTCCTGCTGATTAGAACCTCATCAACAGACAGAATGGGCGTAGTATGTGGTGCTGTGCCTGTTGAGTATCCCATGAAACCCTAGAGGCATTGTGTTTGAGGAACCTCTAAATGGTGGTTTTCATTTCCTTTTAAAATAAATGGAGCTAGAAGTATAGCATGTGTGAGGCTCTGGGTTCTATCTATCAAAAAGATAAGCAATATGCTAGGTGCCAGTGACTCATGCCTGTAATCCTAGCTACTCAGGAGGCAGAGATCAAAAGGATCGCGGTTCAAAGCCAACTCAGACAAATAGTTCATGAGACTCTATCTCGAAAAAACCCTTCACAAAAATGGGCTGGTGGAGTAGCTCAAGGTGAAGGCCCTGAGTTCAAACCCCAGTACTGCAAAAAAAAAAAAAAGAGAGAGAAAATAATAAGAGAAAAATAAGTGTTCACCAACTAACCTGCCCACTCATGTTGAATCACCTTTCAAAGATTTTCTCCATCGTGGCACATCCCCCCAGCAGACCACTTGTGCAAGGCCATGTGTCAGTCTCTAGAGAACTGCTCAGGGCACAGTGGAAGTCTTATTTCTAACTTCCCAATGTGTAGAACCAACTCAAATACAGAGATTAGTTGATTGTCAGTTAATTGATGACTTTTTCTCCTTCCTTGATTTAAAGATTTTATTAATATAATTCTGACTGTTGGGCATCACCTTAAGTCGGGGTGATAAATTTCTTTCCAGAGTTCAAGTTCAGATCTGTGCCTTTTTTCTATGTATGTGTGTGTTACATACTGGAATTCCCTGTCAGGGAAGTAGGGGTCTCCACTGCTACATATTAAAAATGAAAAAGCTTGTCATTATATTCTAGGTACTGTTTCTTGATCATCCAAAAAAGAAGATCCGGGACACACAGAAATACAGACCTTTCAAGAGTCTTGTAAAGGTATTTTACCAGTAGACCTGGCATCCAGGTGTTCATCCTGTTCCCTGGTACTGACTTACTGATTAAAGGGTTTTGATTTTGCTTTGTTTTTCCTTTAACTTTTAAAAGGAGTGCTGTAGGGTTGGCAGTGTAGTTGGGAGTGTGCAAGGTCCTGGGTTCAGTCCTTAGCCCTGCAATAAAAGAAAAATAGAGTTTTATTTATTGTTAACCTTGAAAATGAGTGAGAAGGGTGAATTTTTTGCACACTGATCTTGCAGTAGGTCAGGGTGCTGAGGGTAGAAGGTAGGGTGTGTATGTTGTCATCCATGTGTCCTTCCATGTGTATGGTGCAGTTAGGGGGGAGATGGAACCCAGGGCCTTGTTCATGCTAGGAAAGCACTCCAGCACTGAGCTATATCCCAGCCCCTGCCTCCTACTTTATTGACTCATGGGGGTGGGTGTCACCAGCCATGACAGACTGATGGCTGAGACTGCAGGCCACTGGGATGTGCTCATTAGCCAGCTCCTCCCTGCAAAGTGGAGCCCTACTTGGGTGGAGTCTGAAGGCATCTCCTTCTCCCTCTGCAGAGCGGAAGACCATCTCTAAAACAACTTTCCGAGAAAATCCTGGGGATCAAGGTTCAGCAGGCAGAGCATTGTTCTGTAAGTGTGTCCTTGGGTGATAGTTCTTGGGATTGGGGGCTGGGGGGCTGTCCCTAACCTCAAAACCCTGGTGTATGTCATCTGACAACAGACACAGAAGTAGAGCCTGGGCAGCTTCTGTTTTAGAAGATTCTTAGTTCAGAAAGAAAAAGAAACAGCAGATTGGGCTTAAGAAATATTTATTAAACCTTAAATACTTAACACTCAACTAATTAACATTAACACAAAAAACTATTGTGAAGTACACCAGTCTTAATTGAAGGTTGTGTTAGTCCATTTCATATTACTGTAATGAAATACCTGAGCCTGAGGACTTTATAAAGAAAAGAGGTTTATTTAGCTCACAATTCTAGAGATTCAAAGCCTCTGGTGAGAGCCTCATGGCACCATAACAGTGGGAACCTGGCAGGAAAGGAAGTAATCACATGGCCAGACAGGAAGCCAGAGAGGGAGGGACTGTCTTGTTCTCTATAACAACTTGACTTTCACCAGAGGTAACTGGGGCTTTGAGAACTGAGCCTTCTAAAGGCTTGCCGCATGATCTCTACCAGGCCCTAGTCTCAAAGGTCTCGACACCCCCACACTGAACACTGTACACCAGCATGTGAGCCCTAGGGACAGAGCACAAGCAGACCATAGCAGAGGCCCTCTGGATGGTACAGCCTCAGTCCTGTCCCTGCTGGTGCCCTGCTAATGCTCTCTGCTTTGGGTGACTGTCCCTGCCTGCTGTGTGGCTTGCAGCTCCTTGGGCCCTTTTCACCTGTCTGGGCCTTGTGCCCCAGGACGAGCACCCAGCCCCTTTATTCTGCATTCCTAGCTTTTGTGTTTACCCTTTACTTCTTTGGGTTTCTCTTGTCCCATAAGTGGGAGCAGCTGAGTCACAGAAGTACAGGATGTCCACTTTACTTGTCCACACTGTCCTACTGCAGTCTTCTCTCAATGCGTGCACTCACTCAGCTGCACAGCCCCAGTGCAGTGGCTGGTCTGAAGGCTCAGTAGTCATGGGTTGGTCTAGTGTGGCCCGTGGGGTGTATGGTCATCGGCTGGGCAGTCAGTATTGCTGCATATCACCCAGATCCAGGATGCCCAGGCAGCAATGCGGCTCTATGTCATGGTGAAGAGGGAGTGGGAGAACATCGTCAAAGACAGGCGTCCCCTGGCTTCCACCCCAGCCCACTGCAACAAGAATGCCTAGTACCACCACCCTGCTGCTGCTGTTGCTCCTGCCCTCCATCCTGTGTCAGCACCAGTGGTCCAGTAGCACTTGGGACCAGATCAAGTCTCCAAAGCAGCAATTCTGGTGAAACATTTTCAAAACCATGGCCATGGGGGTGTGGTTTGCAAGCTGCTGGAACTTCTTCTTCCCTCTGGCTCTGCCACTGGGACCTAGTCCTGCCACAGCTCTGTGCTGGGGGAACATGGCAGGCATGTGTCCTAGGCACAGCTTGGAGGTCGGCAGTAGGTGACTCCATCTTCTGACCAGCAGAAGAAGGATGGACATCTGTGCTGCTGTTCTGATAATGGACTTGGATTCAGCCTGGGTGCTCAATGCTTTCCCCTAGGAAGCCACCCCATCCGTTGTCATGGGAGGTGAGGTGTGCTGGACTTCAGGAACCCAAGCCTGATACCTGCAGTTAGCTGCTGGCATGCAGTTTACCGGAACACCAGCTGCCTCTTTGGGGACTTTCCTGTGGCCCTTGAGACTCAGTGCTCCTGTTCATCTCAGGAGGCCAGCACCCAGCAAAGACTTTTCCCCACAGTGTACATGAGACCTGGGACTACAGTTAGGACTGGAAGTCAGTACCTCTTGGTCTAAGACCCTGTGGATATTGGGGGGGAGGGGTAGTTTGACCTGGAAAGGCCATAAGCTCCCATGGGACTTATTGGAGTTTATGGTTTGAGGATCTTTCTGGAAACGGGAGTGGAGTGACAGTCACACTGACCAGTGATCAAAGCCCAAGGCTTTGTGGAGCCACCTGACAGCTGTGTAAAAAAGGTATACCCACTGAGGATGTCCACACTTAACATGAAGGCAGATGTTTGCCACAAATGGAGCTGAAGGGACTGAGGGTGCAGTTAGATAGAGTACTTGCCTAGCCTGTGCAAGGACATGAGCCCCAATTCTAGCACCACAAAATAAACACAAGTGGAGTTTGTGGAGGCTCGATTTCAATTTCTTCACCTCATCTAGAACCTCCTGAAGACTCACTAGCAGGCCTGCTTCCACTGGCCCAGCCAGGTTAGAGTCTGTACAAAGAACACCGAGTGTCTCCATGGCCAATTCCACCAACCCAGGAACAACTGGGGCACTCCAGGAGCTGGCCTTGGGTCTCTTTATTAGTCACAAAGGAGTGTGAGATATGCATACTGATCCCGGTGACCCTCCCCCCAACTCCCACCCAGGACAGGAAAAGTTGGACTTCAGGGCTGGGAGAGAGGACCTCCCTGAAGCAGGTCCTTGGGGACCTCTGCCCCTGCTGTGGCAGAGGCAAGCTGCTTCCCCTCTTCTTCCAGTGCAGCTGCCTCCAATCTCAGGAGCACCTGTTTTGCATAAGAAATCAGCTCCTGGAAGGAGGAAGCAAGCAGGTCACTTGTGGGTGGCTTCAGGGCCTAGGAGCAGTCAATTGTGTGATGGAATCCAGTGATTGTGGACCGATTTTTGGAAAGGACTAATTTCCCTTCCACTTGCGTATTATTTAACCCCGTGACTATAGCTCAGTCACGGGGTTAAATAACAGGCAAACAGAAAAACGGTCCTTAAGTGTGGTGATGTGGCACTCAGGCTAATGGGCCTCCACCTGCGCCTTCCCATCTGGTCTGAGACCTTTAGCCTGGTGGGTGGTCTGGTTTGCTAGAGCCCCTCCCTTCACTCACCAGGCTGGAGGTGAAGCGCCCCAGCATCTCCTGGACCAGTTCCCTAATGCCACCAGACTCTAGCTCTGGCAGGATCTCTTCTGAAGGAAGAGAAAAAACCCTGAGGCCCAGGAGCTCTGCCAGCCAGCAGGACAAGGTGGTATCCCTGTGCCAGTTAGGCTTGACAGGCACAGAGTACCACCCTGGGTTGGAGCAGCACCTGATACAGAATGGGCATTCAGTGGACATCAAGTGAATAAGAGGTTCTAGAGGAAGTGAGACTGGGCCTGGGTTCCTTCCCTTCCCACCAGTGAGGGCTGGGAGCAGGGCTCTGGCAAATGGCTTATAGGGAGGCAGGGGGAGGCAAGGGGCCCTCACTGTAGGAGGCAAGGTGGGCCAGCAGCATGCAGATGTTCTCTGCCACCTCAGGGTCATCTTTGTAGACCTGGTAGATCTCTTGGAGGAGGATGAAGCCACTGCTACCTTCCTCCAGCAATGCCACCCGGAAGGCTGCCAGCTCTGAGGAGAAGGAGGCAGGTGAGCATGGATTCCCACCTTGATGCAGCCACTTCGCAGCTGGCCTTGGGCCATTTTCTCAACCCCCATGCCTAGTGTTCAATGGAAAATGAGGTGCCACTAGTCCTAGGGTTAAGAGAATGGACACTGCTTGGACAGGGGAGCCTTGGCCTGTGAAGTGGCCCTGAGGTCTGAGCTCTCTTGCTCTGCTTGCAGGTGTTAGGCAAGGCAGCTCTGCTGCCTTGCTTCCCTGTATCTGCCTGCATCTCACCCTCCAACCTGGCAGCAAACGCCCTGATCCCTGTTGGGGGCAGGCATTCAGGCGGAGTGAGTGCTCCCAAGTGTTGGGGTGCCCTGGCCTCAGGAGGTGTGTTGTACAAAAGTTAGGTCTTGGCTTTTGAGGAGGCGCCTTTGTGATTTCCTGTGCATAGGCCATGCCCCAACTATCCTGCCTTGCAGGTGTTGCACCCCATGCCCAAAAGGAACATAGCATTTGCACTTCTCTTCTCCAGGGAAACTGAGGCTCCAAGGGGTGAGAACTTAACTGTCACATAGGCGGGTGGCACAGCTTCGTTTCTTACCAGGCTGACTACAGGTCCTGCTCCCTTGGACTCAGTACCCTACCCTCAGATGAGCATGTCCTTCTTGCCCTTAGGGTCTTACCATCTCCTGCTGTCCCAAGAGGGACTACTGACCACTGCACAGACTGCTGTTGGGCCTGTGGCCCAGGTGTGGCTTTGAGTGGCCCAGGAAGGAAGATTGCTCCTCACTTAAGACCCAGCCCACAACTGAGACAGACATGCCTGGCCAGCTCTTCAGCAGAGCTGGCTTGGGACCTCGGGGCAGAACCCTTCCCAGAAGGTACCAAGCACAAGAGTGTCAGGGGTGGGACAGGAGGAGGCAAGAGCCAACTGTCCCCAGGAGGCCCTCGTGAGCTTGGGCAGCTCAGCAGACTGCCATGGCCAGAAACCAAGCTGACAAGGAGCCAGAATACAGTGCGTCAGAACAAGAGGAGTCGTTTGCTGCTCTGAGGAAGGTTGTGTATCACAGAGGTCAGGATCAGGTGCTAGAGCATCATCCTCACCATGCATTGCTGGTGACCATGATGGCCTGTCCTAGGCTCCAAGTGTTCTCTGCAAGGATGGGGAGATAACCCAGGCCTTCAGCATGTACAGGGGGGCCTGTGCTTTGCTTAGTGTAGGGCCTGGCTGGACCTGCTGAATGAGAACAGGGTTTGTATTGTGAAAAAGCTTGTCCAGACATGTATGGGTAGACAGCATTAAGCGAAACACTGAAGGTTGCCCACTGTGTGCAGATGTCTCAGTGGCACCTGCTACATGTTAGGACTGTAGATTGCTTTGTTCTTCTGTTTTCATGTTTTTACTGTTTTACTAGTTTTCTGTTTTGGTTGTGGGCAGCTGGCATACATTACTAATGGAGTTTGTCTTTTGCCCCACATCCAGTGGCATCCCCATCCTGTCCTGCCCCAGGCTCACCTGACACCTTCGCAAGGCTGGCCAGGCCGCGGCAGGCATTGTTCACCAACAGCACTCTGTCCTGGCACAGCTGGATGCTTTGCAGGAACAGTGCCACGACTGGCTCAAACTGGCACTCCTTTATGCAGTCTGCATAGTATATGCATGTGGGCCTTGTCACCTGGCACCTTGGTTGTCCAGAGCCATCCTCCCCTCTCCCAAAGCCACAGTCTGCTCACCCAGCAAGGACAGCAGCCAGAGCACTGCACAGCCCGCCTCGGCCATTTCCGCATCCATGGAGTGAGTGTCCAGCAGCTGGATAACTAGGGCCGGGATCTTTTCGAGGGGGGCTTTGTTCATAATGACAGCTAGATTTGCAACAAAGTTGGGGGACACCCACCCAGGCCTTGGGTGTGTGCAGAAGGGCCTGCTGTGTGTGTGTGTTTCCCATCTCCCACCGCTGCTGCTCCCTCCCACAACAGAGCAGAAACCAGGAAAGGACAGGTGTCCACAGAGATGGAAGATGGGGCCTTTCCACCACCAGCGAGTCTGTAGGGAAGTGACTGTACTGGAGAGCCCTGGGGGCTCTGGCACCTTAGGGGTTGTTTGGGATCTCTGGGGCTTGCCATGGCCAGAAGCCCTCTTTCCTTGGGCAAACAGCCTCCAAACATTAGCATGCCAAAATAGGGCCTAGAAAAAAGTCAGCACAGGCCTGGGGTTCCTATTCTGAACAAAAGCCAGGATAGGCATGCAGCTTTCTGTCTGGCCTCTGAAGCCAGGGACTGTCCACTGGACAGGGCATTCTGAGACCCTCTCTTCTCCCCACCTTGGTCTCCCTCTGCTTCTGAGCTAGGCTCTCAGAAGAGTGCTTTGGGGGCCAGGGTTGCCCTTATGTGCTTATGGAATAGGATGTGAATGCAGGCCTTAGCAGGTCTCAGACAATGGGGGCTGTGACAGGAAGGCCTCACCATCCACCAAGAGTGACCAGAGCAGGCCCAGGGCACCGAGACAGACATCCCTGTCATCAGGGAAGCGATGCAGGTGATCTAGGAGGAGCTCAAACAGCCCCTCCTTCTGCAGCTCTTCTGAGACTGAGCCTGTGGGCCAAGGGGGAACCTTGGAGGAGATGCCCCAGGAAGCCTTTCCCAGTGCTGGTCCCTACCCCACTGGCCTTTGATACTGCCCTAGGCCTTGGCTCATGACCATATGAGAACCCAGAGACAGGGACATGGGCCTGGCCATGGAAATGCTACCCATCTCCTGCCCCTTCCCACCCCCCCATAGCCCAGCATCTCCCACCCATTACTAGGCTACGTGCAGCCAGTGAAGCTGATCAGTCAGCAGGAAAGGGGTCTGGCCCTGCCTTCTTAGAAGGAAATTGTGTCCTTTCCCAATGGGATAACGGACATGCAGTTTGCCTGGCCATCTCTAGTTTATGCCTATCGCTAGGGCTGCTTTCCTTTGCCACAGTGGTGGTAGGGGCAGTGACAGATGGGAAAGCATGGGGACTGGAGTGGGAGAGCAGCTGGGGCCCAGCCCCCAGCCCTGCCTTGCCATCTGTCCTTCCATGGGACTCTTGGCCAGTGTCCTAGAACTCTCTAGAGCCACTACTTCCTGCTGGGGAGATCAGTGCCCACTCATGAGTATCTGGGAGAATAAAGGGCATTGCCTGGTCCATCCCCCTCTGTGACAACCTTCTCAGCTCCACAAGCCCCAGTCTGGGTGCCCACTGCCTACTAGCCAGTGGCCTCAGAGCCCAGCAGGGGCAGAAAGTGTGAATGTGAAATTGACTTTGGTGTGAAGCCCATCCATAACCTGTGCCTGTGTTCATCTGCAGAGGGAAGTCAGTGGCTGTAAAAGTGAGGCCTGTCATAGACAGCAAAGAAAATCGATCAGAGTCAAGTCACTGAGGACCATGTAGTTGTGCCATCCTCACCGCATTCTGTGCCCCTGGTCCCCCAGAGTGCAGAGAGGAGGGACAGGGAGTCCACTCACCCTGGCTTGAGATGATGGTGAGCAGGCTGTAGCTCAGAGTGATGAGGTGCTCTGAGTCGGGGTGGGTCCGCATGGTGCTCAGCAGGAAGGAGATGATGACGCTCGTGCACGGAGGCTGGGCTTCTGTGTCACGTGCTAGCGCTGCTCAGGTCAGAGGAAGAACCTGGGTCAACCCCACGGAGACCACGGCCTTGCAGACTCATATGGCTCGCCTGTGATATCTTGGGCCAGTACTGGTCTCTGAGAGCCTACTGGGTCTGTGATAATATGTCACGATAACTGAGAGCTGGTGCTGTAGCTCTGGTAGAGTGTGCTTGCCTAGCACACACAAAAGCCTGGGTTCGATCCCTAATACTGCCCTTCCCCCAAAAAAACCAAGGGCACAATTTAAATGGTATGTGGAAGTAAATCCCTGATATTAAAACTAGAAAGGTAATAGGCTTAAAAATGAAAGGCAGTTGTTTTCTTCATGATCCAGACAGCTGCAGGAGCCTAGGCCTCTGCCCTCAGCTCGGGCCAGTCCTACTTGGGCAATGAGCTCAGTGCTGTCCCCTGCTGGCCACCATGCAGGGAACATAGCTTGCTTTCCTGAGGGTCAGTCCTGAGAATCCCAAATTGTCCAGTGCCTATTGTATAGCTGGGAAACTAGTAAGAGACGGGCTTGTCCAGGACCTCAGCAGGCCATAGCAGGCTCCATGACATCTCTCCAGGACCCTGGCTATCCTGGGGTGCCCTACCATCCTGGGAAGGGGGCCCATAGGCACTGTATAGCACAGATTGTTGGGAGATTCCTGGGGTAAGTGGTGTGGGGGCAGAAGCACAAGGAGAGTCTTCCCTGCCTGGCCTGCACCCACCTTGGCCTAAGATGCGCAGCAGCAGGGAGCAGGTGCACAGTTGTAAGTCGAGGATCCTCTGGTGTTGCTTCATGATAGTGACCACCACCTCCACTAGCTCTGAGGGCCACGGAAGGCCTGGCAGGGTAAATGGCACCGGTGAGACGTGTGGGAGCTGATCGGGAATGTAGACCAGACCTTGGACCAAGAAGCTGCTAGGAGTCATCTACAGGGCATCAGAGGGGACCCAGGAGATGAACACAAACACAAAGGATGACCACGCCTTATGTTCATTGAGTGCTTGCTGCTGTCTGACAGGGTCCTCACATTCCTGGGCTCAGGCGATCCTCCCACTTCAACCTCCCAAGTAGCTGGGACTACAGGCATGAACTACCATGCCTGGCTCTGCCAACGTATATGCTTCCGGCAGCTCCATGAGGCAGGTCCTTCCTCTCATGGGCATCACTTTACAGAAGAGAAGGTAGAAGGGCCAGCCAGATGAAAGCTCTTACCCTTCAAAAGCAATCTGAATCCTGCCTATCTGACCCGAGCCCAGGGCTGTGACTGCCTTGGAAGTGGACACTTGTGTGCTGAGGTGGGAGAATGACTGTGGCCAGGCAGCACAGGTCCAACCATGTTGTATTCCTTCCTCACTGCCTCCTAGTTTCCTCATGGAAAGAGTGTACAGCTTGTGGTGAGGGTGGCAAGGACAAAGGCACTGGTGCCTGGGACAGGAGCCTCAGCAAACCAAAGGAGGCTGTCTGAAGCAGAGGTGACTCTGGGGTGGTGGGAAAAGCCCACTGTTGGGGAACCATTGTTCCCCAGGAAGGCAAAGTCTCCCTTCCCTGGGAGCTTATCCTGATCACAGCTTAGCTACAGTGGGATGTGGGGGGGCGGGGTAAACCAGTATGAGATGTCTGCTGCCTCACCATTATCTCCTATGCCCTAGTCCCTGGGATCCTTCATACATGTTTTATGGATGGATGATGGATGGATAGGAGGAGGAAAGGATAGATGGACAGAGGGAGGAATGGATAGGTGGATATGTGGATGGAGGGAAGGAGGGAGGGAGAGATGGATGGATTCAGGGATGAACATATGGGTGCGTAGGTAAGTGGACTGATGTTTATGGAGGGAAAGAAGGAGGGGTGAGTGGACGGGTGCAGGGATGAGTATATGGATGTAATGTTCAAGTAGGTGAGACAGGTTAAGTGGAGAGGTTTTTCTGAAAGCATGTTTTAGCAAAGACCTAAAAATCACCAAGAAGACTTAATACTCACTAAGGGGGGTTAGGAGAGAGGTGTCCCTGGGCATACTGGCAGGTGGGTGAGTTGGTGTGTCAGTGGCAGGCAATTTGTAGCCTTCACACCCTGACATCCAGAAGTGCACCCAGGCATGGACACCAGGTGGTTTGTTGTGGTGCTGTTTTGCTTGTTGGTTGTTTGTGTGTGGTATTGGAGTTTGAACTCAGGGCTTCATGCTTGCTAGGTAGGCGCTCTACCGCTTTTTAAAAAATTATTCATTTAGTCACGTGTGCATACATTGTTTGGGTCATTTCTCCCCCGTGCCTCCTCCCCTCCCCTCTCCCTCCCACTCTACTGCTGAAGCCACTCCTTCAGCCTGTGGTGCTGTTTTTCAAGAGTGGAGAATGAGAAACAATTCAAATGCCCGTTGTAGAGGTGTAGGACACTCTTATTCTTGGTGTTGTGAGACAGGGTCTCACTATGCATCCCAGGCTGGCCGTGAACTCTAGCCTCCCCGTACTAGGACTTCAGGTGTACACCTCCATGCCCAGCGCTAGGTGATCTTATCACTGCCCCATCGAAATCACGTGAGGGCCAGGCATCGGTGGCTCACACCTGTTATCCTAGCTACACAGGAGCCAGAGATCAGGGGAATCATGGTTTGAAGCCAGCCCGGGCAAATAGTGAGACCCCATTTTGGAAAAAACCCATTTAAAAAAAGGACTGGTGGAGTGACTCAAGGTGCAGGCCCTGAGTTCAAAGCCCAGTACCTCAAGAAAAAAACCATGCAAGGGAAGCCATCCCACCCCACCCTGCCTGCTCTGCAGAAGAGACATCAGGAAGAACTCCCGCTTGCCTGCTGTCCAAGCAAGCACTGAAGGCAAGGGACCCTTCTGGGAATATAAACAGATCTCCAAGGAGGCAAAGAGAGCTTGGAGTGAGGGGTGTCCCCATCTCCAGGGTCTGTCCCCAGGGGCAGCCTGGGAAAAGGAGTAGGGCAGGGCTTCTACCTAGCTGATCCTCAGGCATTGTCAGAAGCCTCTTCATGGCCCTAAGCTGGACTTCAGGGCGGCTGGAGAAGTTCTCCATGATCTCTGTAGGGACAGGAAGGCATAGGGACCCCTATGAGAGCCAGGCAATCTATCCCTGCTGACCACCCTGGCCTTGGCCTGGCTGCTGGATGTACAGCACCTCCTCAAATCCACAGGTTCGGCCACAAGGTGGCACTCTTTATGGCTGGGGTCTCCGAGGGCAGGCAGCTGAATAAAACTGAACTCAAGTCTATCCCCAAGTCCTCAGTGTGTGCTGCCACTCATGCTGGCGCACAAGAGGCATGCAGAATGAGAAAGACACTGGGACAACCATGTGCCAGAGAGTAGAAGCAAAAGGGTATGGGGCTCTGGGGGCTTTACAGCTGCATAGAAGGTCTGTGCAGCAGAAATCACGGGGAAATTGGTGGGGCAGGCCATGGAGAACTTTGTGCTATGGGTAACTGGGAGCTCTGGAGGTATCTGACTAGAGCAGTGAGCAAAGCAGCACTTGGGGTGGGATGGAGGGGAGGGCCTCGCTACTGTTCCTGCCCACTGGCCATGTACAAAGAGCAGGTCCCCTGGGAACAGTCTATGGGGCTGGCGGCCCCAGCACCCTCCCCATCACATTCCCACCATCACCTAAAATGCTGGCAATGTTGCTCTCTAACAGTGTGTCGGTGATGAACGTGGGTATCACCTGCTGGTGCAGAGTCACAGTGATGCATGAGGACTTGAACGAGCTGCTCACAAAGGCGATGTAGATCGCTTCCCTGGCAGAGTGGCAGAGAAAGCTGGTGGCTTTCCCATGGGGCTGTTCCTCTGCCTCCCATGGGGCTATCCCTCTGCCTCGGGCTCAGGGCTGCCTGTCAGGGGCGACACTGGACACCAGCCTTCCTGTCTTGGAATCTGTTTGGCCAGGTCTCTCAGTGTCCCACATGTGCCCAGTAAGTGCCCTGGAGACTCCTCTTCCACTGACTGTGGAGGTACAGGGCCCTGCATGATGGTCCTGGGCCCTGGCACTTTGGCTTTCAGTTCCATTCCTTCATAAAAACATATAAATGGTGAGATTTTAGGACTGTGTTTGTATAAAGACCAAGCTAAGCCAAGCTGGATTCACTGTGTTTTGATTGATTTTAAATTAGTACAAAAACTTTTTCCTGGACCCTCTAAAAGTATCGTGCATCCTTGGGGCTGTACCTCCTGTACCTGATGGAGACAAGGAACTTCTTGCATCAGTGTTCAGAGATGTGTGTTCAAGGTTGTTGGCTATTACAGAGTTTGGAATAGTCCAAACTAGGAAAAGTCCACTGTGCATGGATAAATTAGGATGGAGTTCTAATTTTTGTGTTAAGGCTCAATGATGTTGAAAGATAAATTGATAGATTAAAATAAAGACTCAAGCTGGGTGCTGATGACCCAAGCATTGTTTGTACATATGAATAATAAAATAATAAAAATTAAAAATAATAAATACTCCACAAAATAGGAATAAAGGAAGTGGGCCTCATCCACTGTCGGCCCACTACCATCACTTCTACTCAACATTATATTAGGGGTTCTAGTTAATGTCATAAAATAAGAAAAATGAAATAAAAGGCATAACAATTGGGAAGAAAAAAAAAGCTGGGTGCTGGTGCTTACACCTGTAATCCTAGCTACTTGGGATTGGGAGGATCATGGTTTGAGGCCAGCCCAGGCAAATAGTTTGTGAGACACCCATCTCCAAAAAAAACCAGAGCAAAATGGACTGGAGGTGTGGCTCAAGCAGTAGAGTGTTTGCTTTGCAAGTGGGATGCCCTGAATTCAAACCCCAGTCCCAGCATAAATAAATAAATAAAGACCCAACCCTGAGCAGTCCAGCTCACTTGATAGTGATTCGATCTGATGGGTCGATCTGCAGCATCGAGGGCAGGAGGGAAGAGAAGGTTTCCTTATTTGGGATCTGCCTGTCCCCCATGGTCTTCAAGACAGTCTTCAGGTGGCCTGGGTGCTGACGGAGGGACTTCCGCAGGTGCATAGCTTCTATTCCCTATGAGGACAGAGGACAATGATTTGTGCATTTCTGTGACTAAGTGAAAGCTAGGCTCTGGCCAAGGGCAGAAGAGGGTCTGGGTACCAGGGCAGCCCATGAGGGAACCAGGTACAAGCCAGAGGCCACAGTGGCCCCTGAGCTCCTTTATTTAAAGAAACAGAGGTTCAGAGAAAGAAGTAAGCCATCTCACTGGGCAGAGGGTTGGGCAGGGGACAACACACCTTGTCCAATCCTGCCAAGACCACCCCTGATCTGGACCCAGTCAGTGAAAGGGTCATCACACATATTTAGCAGAAGGTAAGACTGCCAAGATCCCCTGGTGCCAGGGTGGGAGCCTGCCCTCTTTCCAGTGCTTCCTTGTTCAGTTCACCCACCCCCGCCATCCAAGAAAGAAGGCCCTTGTTCCTCTGACGTCTTCCCCAGGAAGGGAGCAGCAAGGTGCTTCCCAGAGGTGGAGCCTGGGGGGTCTGGAAAAGGGTGGGACACTGAGGACACCAGTGCTTGTACTTTCTGTGGACCTTGTGCCTGGATGTGGAGTGGGGAGGCAGAGGGGACATCCTTGCTGTTGGAATGTGGCAGCCACTGAGCCTGTCACTCTCATTCCCCCGCCCCCCTTTCTCCTCTGTGTGTAGTGGATGTGAAACCACAAGGTTCAATTTCTTGACCCCTGCAGTCAGGGTGACCATGGAGGCAGACAAGTCCATGGAGGGAGCCCTTTGGCCTCCCTCTCCTTCCTGCCCACAGCTGTGTCCTTGGTGCAGGCCCCACAAGGGATGAGCATGGGAGCCACAGGCCAGGATGGACAGGACTGAGAAGGCACTTCGCAACAGGACTCATGTATGACAAACAGCCCCAGTGCTTAGGCCCAGTCTCCCAAGCAGCAGCCACGGCCATCCTGAACTCCATCCATAGGCTGGGGTCTCCAGCCATCAGGGGAAGGGCTGAAGGCAGATGCAAGGACGATGACCCCTGTTGCCATGTCCGCTCACTAAAGCGTGCAGAAGCTGAGTGTGGGGTTCTGAGGAAGGCTTCCTAAAGCCTGTGTGCAGCAAAGAGTGAGAGGATGCAATGGGAGGCAGATAGAGCACAAGTCCTCTCCCTGGCAGCTCACATCCAGGAAGGAGCAGCTGGCCATGTCGAGAATGATGCAGCCCAGGGACCAGATGTCAGCTTTCTGACTGAAGGAGAAGTTGAGAGCTTCAGGGGCCATCCAGGACTTCTGACAGGGGTCTGTGGGCAGAAGCAATATAGGAGACCCGTTAAGTCCCATGCTTCTCAAGATGGAGGCAGGATGGAGCTCCCCCCACCCAGCTGACCCAGCACTGTCCCCCTTTTAGTGCTCCCTTGAAAGCAGCTTGAACCATCAGTCCTTCACTTATCCTTCTTGGGAGAAGTGAGAAGTACTAGCTGTGGGCAATAAAAGCCATAGCTCAGTTAGACCTTTGTCTCCATTTTGAGCCAAGGAGACCATCCATCTCTGCAGATGTCTGCCATGCTGGCCCATGTGCATGCATGTCTGCTCCCACAGTGGTTGCAGCAGGAGCTACAGAGTTATAGCTGGGCACTGGTGGCTCATACCTGTAATCCTAGCTACTTGGGAGAGTCATGGTTCAAGGCCAGCCCATGAAAATAGTTTGCAAGACCCCATCTCCAAAATAACAAGAGCAAAGTGGACTGGAGGTGTGGCTAAAGCAGTAGAGCACCTGCTTTGCAAGCAGGAAGCCCTGAATTCAAACCCCAGTCCTACCCCCACCCCAATCAAAAAAAAAATGCTAGCAGAGGCATGTGGCAGAGGCTGAGTGTGCACCTCTTTCAAAGCACCCTCTAAATGTCAGGGCCTCAAAGTAAAGTTTCAGTTGCCCTGCCCTCATTTTTTTTTTTCTTATGGGAATGGGGTTTGAACTCAGGGCTTCATTCGTAAAAAGCAGGTGCTCTACTGCTTCAGCCACACCTCCAGTCCCCCTACCCTAATTTCAAAACCTGACTCTCAGGGAGGGAGTCAAAAGAGTGGAGTCCTAGTCCAGCTGTGTTAGTCTCTGCTTGGCCTCAGGCAGTCCCTCCCTTCATGGACCTCTATTCCCCGGCCAAACACCAAAGGCCTTAACTCTAAGTACCCATGATATCTCCACCTCCACTAAGCTACCTATGTACTCATCCATCCCCCCACCCATTCATCTATCGATGTACCCACCTATCCATCCTCTGTGTACCAAAAACAGAGAGCTACCAGCCATTGCTACCATGGACACTTGAATTCTCCACTACGGTTGGTCTGTCAGCTGAGACAACTGTTACAGGCTTGAAGTCTGGCTATCTTTACACTGCCATCTTTTCAAAGGAAGAAAAGATGCACCTCTTCCATCTCTGGGCTAGTCCAGGACTCTACAGTAATACCCACAACCAGTGCCTGCACCCCACAGGCTCTCCATGGCCCCACCTTTCAGTTTCCTTCCTGCTGGGGCTTTCTCCCCCAACCCCTGAAGGCTACCATTTTCAGGGGTACCACAACCATTACTTTTCTCCTTGGGCTCTTTCTCTCAAATATTGGCTATCTTTTGGATCCTGCACCCACCCGTACAGGGACACGCCTGCTCAGTTACAATTCAGGCCAGAGCATCTCTTTGGAGGTCATGCAAGGCAGGAGGGTCTGTGGGGACCTTCTGAGCAAAGACCCCAGCATGGCCACTTCCTTCTGGACCCAGGAGCCACCACCTCCCTGCTGCTCATCACCACTCCTCCCAGCTACCTTCCTCCACACGGACTTTCCACTTGGCCTCGTGGGTCATCAGCGTGTGGGAGCTCAGGTCCTGCAGCTTGCAGTGGCTGTTGCTGACCAGGGAAATGTTGGAGGGCTTGAGGTTCCTGCAGCCAAAAGGTGGGACCACGGGTACCTGCAGAGCTGTCTGGGGCAGGCCAGCACGCACCCTGAGCCTTACTTCTGCTCTCCTCCCCAGGCCCTCCCTTCTCAGCCCACCTATTACACGATCATTTCCTAAACCCTAACATGTACTCAGTTATTTTACACAGGGTGACAACTCCTCAACTACAAGTAGGAATATAGCCAGCCACTGAAGTCCCTCAGTTGGCCTGGTGTTCCCCTCCTTATAAATCTCAGTCTGATGACGTCAGCATGGGATCTTTGGACACATGCCCCATGAGTTTTCTCTTCTCCTTTAAATAAGGTATCAGTATCCAGAAGCCATTTCCCAGCCCCCTCCCACCACAGATCCTGGAGCCTAAGGCTGGGCACTGGCAGGTCAAAGGCTGGGCCTGGGGTGCAGCAGTGTGCACTGGCCTGTCCAGAGGCCATGCCACGGCAGGCACCGCGCCTCTTCTTTATGTCTTATCTGAACTTCCTTGCACTTTAGAACCACCTGGCCCTGTCTGAACATTCACACAGCCAAGTGCCCTTGGGGTGAGTCAGTCAGCCAGATCCTGCCCCTCAGGAACTTACACCTGAGTGGGGAGGAGGCCCCACCCATCACCTGTGAATGATGCCCAGCTGATGCAGGTAATCCAGGGCGTCCATCACCTGGCCCAGCACGTCCTGCATCCACTGAGGGAGAAGTGGGAGAAGCTGGCCCAGGAAGGGTCTTGAAGGCTCTGAGAGGGGCTCCACCCTGTGAGTGATCACTCCCAGAAGCCAGAAGGACAATGACATATTGGAGATCCTGGGTGCCCCAGGGCTGCAGCCCCAACCCCACCTCCAGTGGCCCACTCTGCCCAACACCAGCCAAGAGCTCATGGCAGATGACCCTTGTGGCTATCAGAGATGTTCAATCCGAGGTGCCTATTTGGAGCTTGCCTCTTACATCATTAGAATAAAAAGCCCTGTCAGAACATTCTGGAAATGTTCTATATAAAGAACAAGATCCAGCTAGTGTCTGGGCCAGTGATTTTTAAACCATGTTCCTAGGACCCCTGGAATGCCCATGGGGCATCAGAGCCGTCCTGGGGTGTTAGGATCTGGGGGGGCCCTGGCCTTCCTCCCGCCTCCTAGTCAGGGGGCTCTGCCTCACATACTGGGCCCTGGGAACATTTGTGTTTCCAAGGCTTCTGCCAGTGACAGAAGGTCTGAAACCCACTCCAGAGCCTGCCTCTGAGGCCCAAGTCACAAGAGGAGCTGTGTGCCCTCGAGCCCCTTCAGGGAGATGGTGCCTGGTCCACAAAGCAGAGGGGCTCTCAGAGAAAAGCAGGCAGAATTCATTTAGGGAGGTTCTTAGACCCAAAGGTGAAAGCAAAGATGACAGAGCTTCCAGAGGAAAACAGAGGACATCTTCATGACTTCAGGGTGGGGAAGGCTGCCTAAGCCAAGACCAGAGACACTGACCACAAGGGAAGACATGGATCAACTGAACTTCATTACAACAAAGACCTTCGCCCATCATAAGATGTCATCAAGAAAGGGAAATGACAAGCCACAGACTGAGTGGAGATATCTGAAAACTTGTGTGCACAGTGTATAAAGAACCGCTACAAATCAACGAGAAAAGACAACCCAAATGTTTAAGTGGGCAAAGACTTAAGCAGCACAAAAGAAGAAATCCTAGTGGCCAAGATGTGCTCACTGGGATTACTCCCAGGGAAATGCAAATTAAAGCCATAATAAAATATCACTACTCCCTGAACAGCTAACATGAAAATGACGGCCACAATGAAGTGTCAGTCACCGTGTGGAAGAGGAACCCTCACTGCTCATTGGAAGAGCAAACACTGATCAGCCCAACCACCCTGGAAACATCTGGAATACCTACTGAAGCCAAAGTCCTCTCTTCCTCCCAGTTACTCCTCTGCTAGATGTTGATCCAAGAAAAAGAAGTGCACCCCACCAGTGCTCCTAGCACCCTTATTCAGAGCAGCCCCGACCTAGACACTCATTGGCACCAGTGTGAAACAGCCTCGTGCCTGCCTGGCCTCCAGATGAGCACAGGCAGTTTGCTGATACACTTGGCATGGATGGACCTCAGAAACATGGGGCAGAACAATGTCCACTCAGACATGAGTCACACATGGAGTCTGTTTCAGATGGACTTCAGAAAGCACAATACGGTTTCTGGAGGCAGAAGCCAAGTCATGTGTTTTGGCTGAGTCTTAAGAATGCCTTCTTGCTGGGTGTAGGTGGCTCATGCTTGTAATCCTAGATAAAGATCAGGAGGATCACAGTTCAAACCCAGCCTGGGCAAACAGTTCACAAGACCCTATCTCAAAAAAACTCATCACAAAAAAAGGGCTGGTGGAGTGGCTCAAGTAGTAAGAGTGCCTGCCAAGCAAGTGTGAGGCCCTGAGTTCAACCCCCCAGTGCCTCAAAAAAAAAAGCCTTCTTTCTTGCTCAGGGTGGAGACTATGGGGGTGTATGCACATATGCAGTGTGTCAAGATGCATATCTCAGATGTGTGCACTTTGTGATTTGCAAAAGCCTCAGCACACACATTTTAGAAAAATCTAGGGGCCAGGCATGGTGGTACATGCCCATAATCCCAGCTACTTGCGAGGTAGAGATTGGGAGGATCATGATTCGAGGTGGTGGGACGGTGGGGAGTGGCACGAAGTTAGCAAGGCCCCATTTCAACAAACAAGGTGGGCATGGTGCTTCATGCCTGTAATCCCAGCTACATGGAGGCATAGATAGGAGAACTGTGGACTGAGGCTAGTCCCAGGCAAAAAACAAAGCTTAATCTGAATAATTAAAGCAAAACAAAGGGCTGTGGGCATAGCTCAAGTGAGAGTGCCTGCCTTGCCCAGCAAGCCTCACCCTGAATTCAAACCCCAGTACCACCAAAACAAAAAAGAAAGAAAAAAATCCATGATCAGACCCATGGTACCTGCCCTCCCCTCTGCCCATCTCCTGCTGTGAGGCCTGTGGGGTCACAGGTCCAGGTGGCCCCCAGGCTGGTGATGCAGAGGGTCTCTTACCTCAGAGTTGATGATCGCCTTTTCCTTTCTCTTCTCCTCAATGACCTTCTGGAAGCTGTCATTACTGTACTCCATCACCAGGCAGAGGAACAGAGAGGAGATCTGGCAGGACATAAGGCCCCTAAACCAGCTACCTGAAGCCCAGGTCTGGGTACTGTGCAGGGTCACTGGCTCCAGGGCCCCTCCACGTGGCTGTCATCCTCAGTGACTATGGGAAACAGAGCACTACAGGCTAGGGGCTCCTGTCTCTCCTCCACACCCAGGCTCCTCCACGCCAGCCTCAGTCCACACCCAACTCATTGGACTTGCCAAAAGCTGCAGTTGCCCTGGCCACTGCACGTGTGGACCCCTGTGCTGGGGTAACAGCTCCTCCTGCAGGGGTCAGTGGGGTGCACTTCCTTCAGGGGCCTGCCCGGCCAGGTCCTAGCACACCACCAGAGCCCAGCTCCGCTCCTGCCATGGGGAGACATCCTCTTTTCTGCCCCCTCCCTGAGACATCAGGGGGTGCTTGGGAAATATTTGGGATGCACACAGGAAGGGCCACTCTCCGAGGCTTCCTCAGAACCCAGCACTCGGGGAGGGAGCATGTATAAGGGGAACCCTCTGCCCCATGCAGCCCTGGGTTGTCAGCCCAGGCAGGGACACTGACATGAAGATGTGCCAAAGACCTGCACAGTGGAGGCCTCACAGCCTCCCAACCCCTCCTACCTCCTCTGTCCCTGCTCAAAGTCTCTCCTCCACCTCAGCCCCCTCAGGGGTGACGGGAGAGTTCCCAGTCCTTGTAAACACAAAGCTGTATCACTGACAGTACATGGGGCCTTGGGTGAATGTCCTCTTGGCCGTTCACTAGCTGCATGGTGTTGGGGAGCTTCTCAGCATCTCTGAGGCCCAGGCCCCATCATGAAAATGAACTTCTGCCCTGCAGACCTCCTAGGGCATGACACCATACAAGAAACTAGTGAACTGTACAGGAGCAGTGGAGATGAGGGGTCCACAGCCTAGGACAGCCAGGCAGCAGACACCATGGGAAACCACCATCAGAGGTGCAGACTCACCCAGCCCTTGGCTGTGGCCAAGCCTGGAAGCTGCATCCCCAGAGTGCTGGAGTCGAGCCTGCCCACCTAGCCACCTACCTCAGCCCCACACTAGCTGGGAAACCTGGAGGACCTGTCACACTTGGCCTCTGCTTCTTCCGCCTTTGATGAGGCCATCGGGAGCTTGCTCGACGCAATGCACAGGAAGCCCCGGTGTGGTCCCACAGCCATCAAGTGTTTGTGAGTCAGGGGCAGCCATGGTTAGCCACTGGCAGGGCCTCACAGGGTGCTTATGCTGTGTGCTTGGTCCTACCTGAGCCACAGGTACCAATCTGACCCACCTCGCTGTTCCACGTGATGAAGAGTTCATGGTACACAGAGATGTGGGCGTGCTGGAGCTTCAGCAGGGGCATCAGCTGCAGGGACGAGCAGAGGGAACAGAGAGGTCAGTGTGGCATGCTGCTCAGTTGGGGCTGCTCTCCCACATATACCAACAAAACGCAGCTGCTGCCCCAGGCAGGCAGGGAGGTGGGTGTAGGGAGGCTGTGCTGTGTCACTGAGACAGGCTCCTCAACCTCTCAGAGCCTCACATGTTCATGTGAAGATAGTTGGATGGGGGTGTAGCTCAGTGGTACAGCACTTGTTTAGTATGCATTAGGCCCTGGGTTTGATCCATAGCATTGCATAAACACAAATACAAAACCAAAACCAAAAATGGTGGTAGCACTTGACTCTGCTCCTCAGTGAGCTGGTGCACACCAAGCACAGATGCCTAGGAGGTGAAGCAGCAGGGCTGGGCTAGAGAAGGTGACTTGGCAGAAGGCAGGTGGGGCACCGAGAGCTCCTACCCCCAGGGATGGTGTTTGGAAAACAAACCCAGTCAGATAGCAGAAATGGCCACCCTGGAGACCAGGAGCTGATGGGCCACTGCTCAGCTTGCAGGCTGGGTGTGAGAGCAACTGGCCTGTGGACATGGAGGCGAACAGTGCGATGGTAGGGGTTACAGGTGGGCCTCCCACATGCTTTCCATGTTCAGAACATGCCTGGGTCCATCATTGCATTTCATTGAGGTCAGCACTGACCTCAGTGGTGCTGGCTGGCACAGTGCAAGGGTAGGCAGTTCCAAAGGGAAGACCAACAAGTGACCATTAGTGAGGAGACGACACATTCTGCCCCATATGGAATTGTAGAGAGGCAAAGAAAAGCACTCAGAGCCTCTGTCTGGTTGTACATCATCGCGGATGGCAGAGTTAAGGGGGATTTATCCGTCCATCTCTCCATCCCTCCCTCCCTTTCTTTTTTTGCGGTGCTGCGGATAAAACTGAGGGCCTTTGTATATTAGTGTTCCACTATTAACTTACCTCCCTATCCCTGAAAAAAAAAATCTTTAGATTAGCCTAGGGACCAGGACAATAGGTAAACTTTATCTCCTCTAAGGAGGTGTTTCCTATTCTGCATTTTTTTTTCCATTTCTGCATTTAGAAATGGGTGTTGGGGGCATGACCTCCTTTTGTGACCTGGGCAAGAATGAGTTCTGACCCTCCATCCAGGCCTTTCCTTCAACCCATCATTCAATAAGGACACAGACCACAGTCCCTCTATGTGTGCTGCATCCTGTTCCTTTAGAGAGGAGACCCCCAGACAGTTACCTCTTCCAGGGCCTCGTTGGTGTGATGCTCATCAACGCATTCCACCTGCAGGGGTACAAGAGCACCAGCTCGGTAAATGTGCAGTCATCCACCACCACTGCTACCACATAGTCATCATAACCACCACCACCATCTTCCCCCTCACCACCATTGTCATCATCACCACCACTACCACCACCGCCACCACCACTGCCACCACCATCACCATCACCACCATCACCGCCACCACCAGCATCCTCACCCTCACCACCATTATCATCACCACCACCACCACCATCCTCACCCTCACCACCACCATCACCACTACCAACACCATCACCATTGCCATCACCACCACCACCACCATCTTCCCCCTCACCACCATTGTCATCATCACCACCACCATCACCAGTGCCACCATCATCATCACCACCACCACCATCACCGCCACCACCACTGCCACCACCATCACCATCACCACCATCACCGCCACCACCAGCATCCTCACCCTCACCACCATTATCATCATCACCACCACCACCACCATCCTCACCCTCACCACCACCATCACCACTACCAACACCATCACCATTGCCATCACCACCACCACCACCATTGCCGCCACCACCATCTTGATCAGGGGAAGTCACCCAACTATTCTGAAAGCCTTAAAGATGCCCAAAAATCGCACTCCAGGGATTTTTCCTATGGAAATCATGGATATTCATGAAAAAAAAAACCTGTAAGGATTTTTTTCAGAGTTGTTTATACCACTAGTGAAAAACTGAAAACAAGCTCAACAGTCATTCCACTTGAGGGGACAGGTTTGGCCAACTATAGCCTACCAAGCACGGTGAGATGTGAGGCCACTAGACCAGAAGAGGAAGCCGTTGATAACATGAGACAATGCTTGCAATGTATCAGGTGGAGAAATATTAACAACTTAAAAACCATTATAACATAAAAGTTTATAAATCTTTAGAAAAAAGACTGGAAAGAATTGTTCATTTTTGTTTTTTGAGACAGGGATTTGCTATATAACCCAGGCTGGTCTCAAACTTGTGATCCTCTTGCCTCAGATTCCTGACTGCTGGGATTACAGTTGTGTCCTGCCACATCCTGCTTATCTAGCTTTTTAAAAAGCTCCTTCATTTTTCAAAAGATAGCCAGCTACCCTGGCCCCTGGCCTGTGAGACAAGGGGGCTGACCTCACAGAAGCCAGCAACAGAACGAGAGGTGGACAAGGACTCCAGATTCAGCCATCTGGTGGTGAGCTGCACAGACCTGAGGTCTAGAAGGTTTGGCAGAACAATGCTGCTAATGAGATTCCTCTACCTACAAGTCACGGCCCTGATCCCTGGGCCCGATACCACCCTAGAGAGGAGGGTGTGCCAGAGACTCGTCCAGCAGCTCTCTTTCCTTGGGCCCTCTATCAGCCATACAAAGGGGTACACTCTGACAGGCCTATACTCCCATCCTGCTGTGGCAAACAAGATCCCATATCCTGCCTTCAGTCCTGTGTGACCCTGGGCCAGTCCCCACCCTATATGGGCATGCTACATTTCAGTAAGACTCTGAATTCTGTCCCCAGAATTCAAATCCTCTTGAAAATTGTGACCTTAGCTAGTGTGGGGCTCCCTGAGTCTCACTATCTTTAGCTGTAAAATGGAGTCACTTTTCCTACTTGGCAGACCTGACTGATGAGAGAGTCAATGAGTTGCTGTGTGGCACACAGTATGGATGAGTGAATAGTAGGTATTGAAGTTGGTACAGTAAAAATTGGCATTCCTTCCCTATCAAGGTGAGGGGGCCAAGGCAGGAAGCCTAGGGAGTCTCATCCCATGACCCATACCTACTTCAACCAGGTTTGTCCCCTGCCTGGTGGCCAAGAGGGATCCAGAAAGCCTTTCTGTAACCTGGGGATATGAGAGTACCACTGGAGCAGAACTGCACCCCCTGTGGGCCACAGGGCTCCCCCTTACCTGTTTTATCACGTACTTGACTTGGGTTTTCGTTTCTTCCACCACCAGGTTCACCCCCAAGGCCCCAGGACTCAGCTCCTGCAAAATCTACCAGCAAGCAAAAGAGAAGCTTTCAGGAAATGCACACATACCACTCTGCACTTCCACATGCATACCCAGTTCCACCACTGCTCCTACCAACTTCTGTGGGGCTGGCCGAGCAAGCATCTCCTCCCCACTTTGCAGTAGAGGAAATGGCCCAGGAAAGCTGAGAAGCTCTCCAATGGAGTCTGATCCTATCTCCCTACAGCCAATTCTGGCGCACTTTCTCCAACTCCAACCTGCAGGGACGACCACCAGGCATCCAAAAGCAAGCTACCTGGGGCAGAGGGGTCTTTCTCTAGACCACTATGATCTCAACTTCCAGGATCTGCCTCAAAGTAAGCATCCAAGCAAGAAAGGAACTGATGGTGGGCTCTAGTAGCTCACACCTCTAATCCAAGCTACTCAGGACGCAGAGTGATCTCAGGAGGAACGTGGTTCAAAGCCAGCCTGGGCAAATAACTAGCAAAACCTATCTCAAAAATACCCAACACACACACACACACACACACACAGAAACACACACACCAAAAAACAAAACAAAAAAAAAACAGGGCTGGCAGAGTGGCTCAAGTGGTAGCGTGCCTGACTAGCAAGTGTGAGGCAAAAAAAAAAAAAAAAGGGTAACTGCTTCTGTAACTGGTGCCATCATAGCCACAGCACTCAGTGCTCAGCACTGAGCCAGGCAAGCACTTCACAGCCTCCACATGCTGTAGCACTGGTACTCTCTACATGTTTGTATTGGAGGAAACTGAGGCACAGGGAGCCTTGCCCAAGGCTATGGCACTACAGAAGCAGGATGGCAGCCCCAGTTGGATTAGAACTGCAGGGTGTGAGTCCAAAGACTGAGATCTAAGCCAAATCTACAGACAGATGACCTCTATACTAGATATCTTCAGAGGTCAAGAACAGAGGTGGAGGGGTGGGTGATGGGATTGCTGGATGCTGAAACAGTTATCAGAGGATGGGGAGGTGCACAGATGCAGGGGATGAAACGTGGGAGGTAGTCCTCAATCAAGAAACCTCTGGAGCGCAGAAAAGTTTTAGGATTCTGTAATCCAGCCCTTGTGGGTGGACTGAACCCTGCTCAGGGAATACAGCCTGGAGCAGTTATAAACAGGGTTCTAAGAACAGGACCAGCACAGGAACCTTCAGGCTTAGGCCTGTACCACTGGATTACACAACAAAATGCACCCATCTCAGATCAGGCATTTTTTTTTTTTCCCTGAAAAGTAACTTTACTTAAAAAATCCCCTGACCACCAGAAATACATCTGCTTTGCCATTGGCCAAGCTCCCTGCAACCTTCCCTCACGAAGATAATTAGCAAAGGGAGGTAAGTCTAACCTACAAATTGTTTCCAAATTAATGAAATTTTTACAAATACTGGGTCTAACACTTAATGAAGTAGACACATAACGAATAGAAGCAAGCATTTAATTATGGCTGGTGGAGTGGCTCAAGTGGTAGAGCACCTACTAGCAAGCACGAGACCCTGAATTCAAATCCTAGTATCGCATTTAGCTAAACATTAAGTTTTACTTAGCAACTTTGCTTTCGGTCTTTTAAGTTGCTCAAGTCTGGGACTTTCACAGACAGAGGCAGAGGGCTGTTCTCAGGACTATGAACGCTCTGGGGTCCTTCTGCTTCTAGATCTCAGCACACCCCACCCACGGTGAGAAGGACCGAAGAGTTGCCTCAAACGGTCAGGGCTGGGGAGCCCTTTAACTTCATTTTAACAGGGAAAACTGAGGCCCAGGGAGACAGAGGGCACCAAGGGGGTCACCTATGTGGGTACGCGGTCAATCTACGAGCTGGAGGCTGACACTGACCATGACGCGGTCCCCTGCCTGTATAGGGCTGGACCTCGCGCGGGCCCTCGGGGACTGTGACCGTTAACATGAAGACTCAGGGGTGTTCCCCCCAGTTAGCCATGGACCCTGTTCCCAGGCAGTCTCCGCCTCCCAGCAAAGGAACATCTCAACACCTGGTACTTTTCCATAGTATCTCGACGGGAGATTGCCGGCCTCACTCTCCCTCCGCTGGGAGGCGGGTAGGGGTCCGCTCCTCGAGCCAGCAGCAGTGGTCTGACTCCCGACTCAGCGTGCTCAGTAGTGACCACTCCGGTGCCCAGCCCCCAACTTTCAACCCTCAACCGGGTTGCGACCCTCAACCTGGGCGTGTTCATTTGAGCCCAGACACTCAAGCAGGAGGGGTCGCAATACTTCGCCCCCTTAAAGGGACGGGGCAGGCGGGAACCAAGCGCAGAAGCTGAGCCTAGGACGTGAAGGGCGGGGCCTTGAGGGTGCTGGACCCGGCTACGGCGGGAGCTAACTGGATTATGAAGGGCGGAGCAAGTGTGGGAGGAGGGCGGGGCCTTGAGCCTGGTGGGCGGGGCGGAGGTGGGCGGTGGGTGGGAACCTAGCGAGTGAGGGCGCGCGGCGGGCCGGACCTCAAGCGTGGAGGGCGGCGGAGGCGCCTTAAATGCAGTGGGCAGGGCCTCGAGCGTGAGGGGCGGAAACTCACGTGGGGGTGGGCGTGGCCTAGCGCCCTGGGGGCGGGGCCTAGAGCGTGAGGGCCGGGGCGGTGATGGCCGCGGGCGGGGCCGCGTGCGTGAGGGGGTGGGAGGCGGGACTTGAGGCGCGGCGGGCGGGTCCTCGAGCGTACGGGCGCGCGGCGGGCGAGGCGGGGCGCGGCGGGCGGCGCGGCCCCTTTAAGGCTTGGCCTACGTGGCAGCCGCTGGAGCCGCCGCCGCGCAGCGAGGCCGGCCGCCGGGCACTTCCTGTGGAGGCCGCAGCGGGCGCGAGCGCCGAACCCTGAAGAGCAGCCAGCCGAGCCTGCCGCCGCTATGGGCCAGAACGACCTGATGGGCACGGCCGAGGACTTCGCCGACCAGGTGCGACCGGCGCCCACGCACGCTCGGCCCCGCGGCCCGGCCGTCCTCGCCCTTCCTGGCCTGGCGCGAGGACCGGCCTTCCTCGCCCGCCTGCCTCGCGCCCCCGGCCCGGAGCGGCCTCCCTGGTCCTGGACCCGCCTAGGGGCCCCCGGGGGACAGGCGGTGTGGGCCGAGAGGGCGTCCTCGGGGTGGCCGGGACCCGGGTGGGGGAGGCTCCCGCGCCCCGGCACGAGGGGCCGCCGTGCTAAGGGGCAGTGCCCTCTGCCCTTTGAGCCGCGGGTGGCCGCGCAGGGCGCCCTAGGGGGCGGGCGGGGCCTGGGGTCCTCCCAGGGCGAAGGGGGCGCCCTGGTGAGCGCCGCGGCCCGGGAAGCCCCCGCGCCCTTTTCTTTCCGGCGTGCTGGACTCGGGGTCCCCTTGGCCGTCCTGCCCGCCCCCTCCCCGGGGTGGACTCTGCCCCGGCTGCGTTGAATGGGCGGGAGGAGGGAAGCCCGACCCGGGTCTCCTTCCACAGCGTACAGGTGGCATCCGAGCCACGGGGGAGGCCTGGGGTAGGCGGCCTTGTGATGGCGAAAACGGCCAGAGCTACACGGGCAACAGCAGATCCCGGAAAAGGGCAGACACGGCGTCCACCCTCGTTGTTGATTAAGCCTGGCTAGAAGAACGGGGTGGGGGTTACTTAGATACGGGCCTTTTACTTATAAAAGTGTCCCGTTATGTCTGCACATTTAACAGGCCTCATTAGCCGCTGGCCCACCTCTGCCAGGCTTTCCTTCGTTCGCGTAGCATATTTGTGGCTGTGCCAGAGTTATAAGTGATGACGGTTAAGTTTTTAAATTTTTACGGGGTAGGACTGAATAAGCAGACTCTGAGGCCCGGCCTTATCGGGAGGCTTGGTGTGTTTTTGTGTGTGTTTTAAGTAAGTTAGCATTTCCTGATGAGTTGGATTGAATAAGCTTTTCTTCCCCCTCCGCTTGAGGGGGTGGTGTCTTTCTCCTCTGTCCTCATCGTTGTGTTCTGTTGCACCACTTCCCTGTGAGCTGACCCTTTAAAACCAGTACACACACAGACACACACACACGTACACACTTGAAATACTTCTTAAAGTCACAGTTCTGTATTTAAAGACACAACTTAAAAATCATATCCTTCACAAAGACAACAAAAGTTTTCAAGAAACAAGTAGGTCTTTTTCATTTGAGTTTCCACTGACATAATTTTTGATGACCCAGTTTTATTTCCCTAAGTAGCAGCTCTCGAAGATGATGGCTCCCTTCACTGAGAGAAGTGTGAGAGCTACATAAACTCGCTTTGCTTTTCAGGCCTAGAAAACTCTCCGCTTTGCAAGTGAATTTCATTACCAAACCTAGATAAAATGTCTCATTGGTGCTGTGCCAACTATCAAATGATAGATTTCCTACTGAAAAAAAGTTCTGAATCTCTTTACATAATCCTTTCTTCTTTTTCTCCATGTGTTTTGTTTTGGTTCAAGCAGAATCTTGGAATTGGAACACAGGGTTGACCACTACCAAGTTGCTGAGGGGGAGGCCAGACCTGCTCAGGCTCCTGGACTTGCCAGTGGCCACAACCCAGGAAGAAAACTTGGATCTCTGACCCCTTGGCTAGTGCCCTAGCACTCCCCTTCTGGCACATGTCAAGGGGAAGACACTAGTGTTGGTAGAAGGGCTTGCTGCTTAGAAAACGAAAAAGCATAAGGGCTCCTGCCTTCAGTAATCAGCTCTGGAGGTCAGTGGGGTGGTGGCAGAGCTTCCCTAAGGTGTGGGCAGAGGGCAGTGGCTGCTGGGGGTGGGGGGTGCATTGCGTGACTTTCCTGATCTGAACCAGGGTCAGGACTGCCACCCATGGGCAGGGAGCAGGGCACAAAGCCACATAACACCTTCCTGTGGCCAAAATCTGATCCAGCTGGGGGGCACTTTTGCGTTGACTATTCATCTGTAATATTTAAAACAAACTTCCAGTAAGGAAGGTATTCCGAGAGTCCATGCTTCTAAGTGAGAAGGATCTAATTTGCAGAGAGAGTGGGGAGTTATCATCAAGGTCACTGTCAGATAATGTGACATATCCATTTGTCTAATCTTGTCTCAGAAAACAAAAGCAAAAGTGAAGTGATGGGATTTGCCCAAAATGTTTGGGCTGCTGAGGCAGACCTAGAAACACTTCATCTCTGATAGTGATGACAGTAATTACTGGGTCAGGGCCTCAATGCATATTACCTCGTTACCTTCCTGACTCTGTGAGGCTGCCCATTACAGCTTCATCCTCCCAGGGGCTGTGGGAGGTTGGCCATGGTCTGCACTGTCCTCAAGTTCTTACCCAGACGTCATTGTCCTCCCTGCTTGATGGAACTGTGACTTCCTAGTGGTGTGTGGAAGCTGGTCCATGGGTAAAAACACTGCTTGGTTTCTGGTGGCAGGCTATTCTAAGCTGTATCCGTGCCCCTGGCATTAGACTCCTTGCCCTTGGCAGACATGGATGGTGTCCTCTTGCTTCTAGGAAGCCAGGCTCTGGAGAAAGTGCTGAGACGTGCTCCGTGCAGGAGCTGGGCATTCAGAAGGCAGCTACTGGAGGCCAGGTTAGAAGGGGCCAGAAACTTAGGAAGTCAACAGTTCAAAATAATGTCAGTACCCTGTGGCTGCTGTTTGCTGCCTGCTGGACTGCAAAGTGTAGCTTCTGCTCTCATATACACCAGTTATCAGGTACATTAGCCCTTAATGGGTTTTGCCTAATGACTGTCACCAAGGTGACAGGAAAGCTGCAAGGGGCCCTATTCTCCAGTGTGGTTGTTAGTGCTTGTACCTGTCCTTAAGGGTGGCAGAGCTAGCCACCCCAGCTCTGGTAGGAGCTGACTGGGCTGCTGTTTCTGACAAGAGCCACTCAACCCCAGTGTGGCATTAGTTGGCTCATTTTTTTTTTCCAGTACTGGGTTTGAACTCAGAGCCTACACCTTGAGCCACTCTGCCAGCCCCCTCCCCTGCTTTTTTTTTTTTTGTAATGAGTTTTTTTCAAGATAGGGTCTAGGGAACTATTTGCCCAGACTGGCTTCGAACCTAAATCCTCCTGATCTCTGCCTCCTGATTAGCGAGGATTACAAGTATAAGCCACTGGCACCCGACTAGTTGGCTCATTATTAACAGTGTGTCCACAGTCATCCTGCTGATGGTGGTGGGCTGTTTGAGCGTTTTCCTCATTTCTGAGCTCTGTTATCACCTCTAAGGAGCTTCCTGCCCTGTACCTTGAAGGAGTGAGATGACTCACTTCTCTGCTTATAGGTTTTAAGAGGTTAAAAAACAGTGCCCCCTTATGGGAAGTGGTGTAGAGATACAAGGGAGACTGATTAGTAGCTTATCCTGGAATATGAGTCACAGCCCTTTCCCCTCTGTGGGCCCTTGGTGATGCTTGTATCACACTCAGGCTTTTAGGAAAAAAAAGCTTTCTTGCAGCATAGGGCCTTTGACACTGTCACCTGCACCTAGGGATGCAGAGTGAGCCTATAGAATAGCACAGAGAGGGACATTTACTGGGGGTTCTAGAGTCACATACTGTCCCCGCCAGCCTGGTGCAGGACAGTCACTTGGCATGGGCTCTCATTTCCTGGAACATGGAGCACCTGCCTTTTCCTCAAAATTCTCATGAACTGAGGACTGCAGGCTGCTGTCCCCAATTCCTTTTTCTCCTGAACATGAGAGGAGGTTGGCATTTGTGCACTGGGCCTTGCTACAGATAGCTATGTGATCATGATTCTTTTGTTCCCAGGCCCTGTCTCAGTCAGGTATGATTTGTTCCTAAACCTCCTTCAGTCCTCTCAGATGATTGCCTTCCTCATTTCTTACATCATTTGGATGTTTTGCTGCCTGTGAACCACATCCTGCATGGTTGTGAGATTCATGAGAAGCCTGCTGTCAAGGTAGGCTGACTGTCATCTCCTCCCACAAGCCATCCCAGCCAGTGTCCACCACTAGCTCCTGTCCAGGTTCTGTAATGAGGGCCATAGTCACAGGTATTCCATGCTCCTATTCATTGTCAGCCTGGGTTGTCCCGATGTGCAGGACACTGGCAGTTGCTTGATCCCCTGCAATGTGGCTGTTCTCTATCCTACTGTGCCCCTGTCCTGCCTGAGTTGGGGATTGTCTGCTACGTTGAGGGGACATGGGCTCTGGGATGGTTTCTAGAGTGCGATCATGTGGACCTGGGGCCAAGTCTAAACGGTTGTGATCAACATGGCTGTGAAATGAGGTTTGACCTTGTCGTTAAACTTGGCGTTTTCTCAGTATTCAAACAGGTGCTCATCAGAGGAAGGTTGATTCACAGGCACCTTGTGGCCGCTTGACTTTTAGAATAGGCAGACCATGCTTGCCTTTGAAATCAGAACTGCCAAGCAGCAGACAGTGCTTAGTTCAGTGAGCAAGACCTGCAGTTCTGCACTTTTCTCCCCAAAGCAAATCACTGGGTCTGTCTGTCAGCTATGCTGGTGTGGAAAGGAGGCATGACTTGCCCCTCCCTCCCTCCATCACTGTCTTTTGCTCTTTAATTCTTTTGATCCAGACACTCCAATTAAGAGTAGCAGACTCATCAGGAGCCCTTAAACCAGGCCTCAAATGAGTATGCTCTATGAGGGTCCTTGAGCCAAGGGTGGATCAGACAGCAGTAGGGAGGGCTAGGCTGGTTGGCTCACCTGTGGCGGGCACATCCCCAGTATAATCATGTCAGTGAGTGGCTTACTGCTCTCATTTGGAAACAAGTCAGAACACCTCTGGTGTCTGCCTCCTGCTGTCTTGGGGTCTACCCCTGGAGGCTTTGCTGCAGTCTGTCCCGCATCCTGGTGGATGGTTTTCCCCAAGTGTAGACAAGTTGTAGAACCATGTCATTATCGGGTATGCTCAGTGGGGCCGTCACATGAGGTCGTTCCTCGGAGCAGTGCCGAGTCAGGAGTCATGGTAACGTTCTTTATCTCTTCCACAGAATGTGGGTGACTACAGCGTTGCTGGGTGCTCTGAGAGCATTGCAGCTCGGAGGCGGAAACTGGGAGGTGGATGTGGTGGCAGCTGTCCCACGACGTCTGATGGGCACAGAGCATCTATTTTCTACACAGGCCCTGAAACTCAGCAAGGCATATTGGGGACCTCTTTTTTTTTTTATTTATTTTGAGGTGGGGTTCCACTGTTGCTCAGGCTGGTCTTGAACTGTGAGCCAAGCAATCCTCCCACTTCAGCCTCCTAAGCAAGCTGGGTCCACAGGTGTGTACCAGCACTTGGCTGATTTTCTTTTTTGTAAACAAGTTTTTCTCCCTTTTCTCCTTTTCTGCTTATAAATTTTTTAGGCTATGCAAGTTGGAAAGAACCTTAGCAACCATTAGTCCAGCTGTCTTTGCTTTGTAGAAGGTAGCAAAGACCCCTGAGAACCTAACTCTGCCTGCCCACTGTCATAGAGTTCACCTGCTGACCAGGGTAGGACAGGATTAGAACATGCAGCCTTGGAATCTCTACCTGCACTCCATCTCCCAAAACTGCTGGACTGATTCTCTGTGTTGTCTGTCACTGATTTCTGCCATCTCTTTAGTGGGATCAAAGGCTGAGTAAGCACTTATAGATCAATACTGGCTCAGGCTTAGTCATTCTGAAGAGCACGGCCACTGGTACTGTGACCTCTCCTGCTTCTGGTCCCACTTGGAGCCTGCCTGTGCTGTCTGCCAAGCCGGGGTGCCCCTTCATGTGCTGAAGACTGATCTGCACACCCAGGTAGATGGCAGCTGAGATGGCAGCTTTACAGTGTCTTGGACTTTGAAGCAATTTTTTAAAATGCTGAAAATTTGTGAACTCTTAACGCACATCGTCCTGTATTCCAACAGTAGGCTTAGTCAGCCCTAAGACAGACTATGCAGCTGACCTTCATTTGACTGCCCCTGGAAGGGTCAGACTCTGCCCTTTGGACTTTTCCTGACATGTCACTCCTGTGGGTGGGTCCCCTGTTCTGACAAGGCCTCCATGTTATTCTTGGATTTCTTTCACCTTGTAGCTCAGCTTTGAAGGGCAGGAAGAGAAAAGTGTGTGGAGTACACCACGGCATTTGCACCTGGCTTCAACAAGGTGTGCTGGCTTCCTGATTGAGCCATCACAAGTGTCATTATTTGCAAGAGACAGAAGGAAACCATGAGTGCTTTCCCCCTGACCTTTGCTGGCCACTTTATACACCTGCGTTCTGCTGCTGTTGAAGTGGCTGTCCGTTGCATTTGTTAGCGTTTCAGTGCTGGATTACAAAGCTGCAGGTGCCTGGGTGTTTTCTAGCTGTCAACTCCAGCAGCTTCACGACATGCACGTAGTTGTTGCTCACAGTTGCTCTATCGGACCTGGCGCTTTCTGGAAGGAACTTGTTGGGGTGGGAGAGACCAGCCTTCACTTGTAGTGTGCACAGCTCGCTATTCCTGTGCCTTTTACTGCTCTTGGTATCAGAGTGGAACTATACCCACAGGCACTTACAGTCCAGTTGACCATGTGACCTTTAGGCCCAGGATCCTGGCCATTGTCTCAGTAGATCTGTTCAATCTGGAGGGGCTCTGAGCATAACTGGGGAGGCTGGCAGGTCTAGGCCTCAGCATCTCAGCTGTGTGTGACCTGCCCCAGCATACTGCTGAGTCAACACAATCCGAGGACCCTCTTATCCTCTCTAGGCTTCAATTTGCCCATCTGTAACATGAAGGGCCAGAACGTGTGGCAGTGACAGAAGCATTTTGGTGTCACAGTGGGGGGCTGCTAATGGCATCTAGTGGATAGAGGTCAGGGGTGCTGTGCTGCTCAGCATCCTACAGTACTGGGGACAGCGCTGTACACAGGGCTGAGGTGGAAGAGTTCTAGATGAGCCATAAAAGCCTTTTCAGATGTCATTCTGTGATTCGCCCTTGTTCAAGCCCTTGACTGACTGTGGAAGCTTTGTGACTATGGCAGTTCTGCCTTTGATGTGATGGTTGCATGGAAGTGATGGAGGGAATCATAGAAGAGCACTGGGGGCATTGCCCTATGAGATCTGTGCTGAGTCTTTTATCTCTGGGACTGAGACTTGGATTGTCATGTCTCTGGACTTACCAGAAGCACCTGGAGTACATGCCTGGGGAGGCGCTGGGGCTGCTGAGAGCTCCTGCCTTGTACAGTGCTGACTTATCTCTCCTGCCCTGCTGTACACATACCTGCCTTGGGAAGTGCCTATGATGGTCTTGGGCTCTGAGCTGCAGCCAACTCACTGGTACATTCTGTGGCCCTGTAGTTCCTGCGAGTCACCAAGCAGTACCTCCCTCATGTGGCACGCCTCTGCCTGATCAGCACCTTCCTGGAGGATGGGATCCGCATGTGGTTCCAGTGGAGTGAGCAGCGTGACTACATTGACACCACCTGGAGCTGTGGCTACCTGCTGGCTTCGTCCTTCGTGTTCCTCAACTTGCTTGGACAGTTGAGTAAGTGGCTCTGAAGCTTTGTTGGGATTCCTCACGGGCCTCCTGTTTCTTTACTGAAACTCTGCTCAAAGCATGTGGTCTATGGTGATTGAGAGACTGTTTGAACTCGAGAGTCTCCAGAAGTCAGACATAGTCCCTCCCTGTTCTTACGTGCCCCAAGCAGAGGATGTTGGAGCCCGGGTGGCTAAGGCAGTCAAAGAAGGAGTGTCTAGAAAGGAGAGAGCATTTAGGTCTGATGGACCATCTTCTGTTAGCAGACTTTTCCTGCGGGACAAGAAAGGAACTTGTGATTTCTGATCTGTAAGCTCTCCACAGTAGAGTAGCCACAGACCTGCCTCTGGGCCACTGGCACTGAGATATGACTTGCTGTCTGTATAGCAAGGCACCCACGTTCTGGACTAGTGTTTTTGATAAGTGAAGTCCACATAACAACACATTGTGTGTTCCTTGCCTATCATTAAGTCTCCCAGAGGTTGCTATTGATTTGGGGAGGTAGTTTGACTGCAACTAGACCAGAGGGCCAGGTGAGGTGGCAGTGTGTCCTTGCTAGGACTCACCTGCAGTCCCCCTAATCCTTGCTGTCCTCTTTCCAGCTGGCTGTGTTCTGGTGTTGAGCAGGAACTTCGTGCAGTACGCCTGCTTTGGGCTCTTTGGAATCATAGCACTACAGGTACACAGGGTGCATGACAGTTCCTACTTCAGAATCAGCACTGTGGGCACCAGTACATGGCTGGTGTCACTTCTTCATGCTGTGGTCACCTGAGTATCAGGTCCAGCATCTAACCCCTTCAGCCCTCTGCGTGGCTGGCTGCCTTTGGAGATGTGGCTAGTGGCTCCCCCCCATAGGCACTGGACCATCTTTTCCACTTTTCTGTCACAAGGTTGGCTCCATCCAAGATGTGAGATGGGAATTACCTTACTTCATCAGCAGGGATGCCTACTTTCCCAGAATGAAACAACTAAAGCTAGACTTCGAATCCAGCTTTGTGGTCTTAGAATCATCCTTGTTCTCCAGTATGCCATGGACACAACTTTGATGGCTAAACAGGCCTGAGGTCCATACCACACTCCTTAAACACTGAACCAGATTGTTGAGCCTGGATCTGCCCTCTCTCCTAACTAAAGTGATTTTGTATATTTTACGTTCTCATTCTGGGTAACTGCCTGATGTTGTCGTTAATAGAAATTAGTTTGCAAATGCTGACTCAAGTTTTTCTCTTTGTTCCCCTCAGACAATTGCCTACAGCATTTTGTGGGACTTGAAGTTTTTGATGAGGTAGGTGCATTCCAGGAGACAAGTTGGGTCCTCATCTCTTTCACCTCAGCCCCTGGCAGCTGGAGTGACCTTCTCCAGGCCCACACTGTGCCTCTGAGAGTCCGAGGTGGTAGTGCGTGATGCAGAGCCTTCCCCACAGTGAGAACAAGTACCCTCTGACCCTGTATTGCACTGGTGTGCGGACTGAGGGTCTGAAAGGGAGTTGGAAATGAGAACTTGGTTCTGGTGCATCCAGGTGGCGCCTCGCTGGCAGTTCAACTTGAGGCTGGCCCTCTGCACTCAGGCCCACCTCGTCCTGCTGAGCAGCCTCTTGGTGAGGAGAAAGGGAAGTAAGGGCCTTGCTATGCTCACACAAAGGCCTGCCTTGGTCTGGTCTGATGAACAGGTGCCCATGAGCCTTAGCTTTTAGCTGGCATTTCTGTTCCTCAGGAACCTGGCCCTGGGAGGCGGCCTGCTGCTGCTCTTAGCGGAGTCCCGTTCGGAAGGGAAGAGTATGTTCGCGGGTGTCCCCACCATGCGCGAGAGCTCCCCCAAGCAGTACATGCAGCTCGGAGGCAGAGTGTTGCTGGTCTTGATGTTCATGACCCTTCTTCACTTTGACGCCAGCTTCTTTTCTGTGAGTACCCCGCTAGCTAAAGGACCCTGGCTTCCTGCACCTGCCCGGCACTCAGTTGTGTCTTAGCACAACCTGGGGAGACAGAACACAAACCATTCACACAGATGAACCCCTGCCTATCTTCTGTGTGCCAAGAAGCTGCCTCCCAGCAGATTAAGTCTGAATCTCTTGACCTCCCTGGAGGGTCTGACTATGACTTCTTCCTTGTGGTTCACACTTTCACTCAAGATGTTTTGTTTTACACGTCAGGTGTTAGAAGAAGAGCTGACTGGGAGCCCTGGCTAGGCAAGATGCCTAAGAAGAGCACAGGGGGCCGGGGAGGATGTTTCTAGCCTGGGTGGCTGCATGGGTCAGGATGTACTTGGTATCTCTGAGTCATGATGGAGAGATCCACCAGACCAACATGGAAGTTTATTTTTCTAAATCACAGCCTACCATTACTTGACGACTTTCTTTTAATTTTCCCCAAACCCTTCACACTAAAAAGACATTGCGGGGTGGGCCCAGGGCTCAAGTGGTGGAGGGCCTGCCTAGCACAGGCCCGAAGTCAAAGCGCAGTACCACTGCTCCCTCCCCAATAAGAGACACTAAAAAGACTGCTTGGCTGGGCGTGATGGCACATGCCTGTAATCCCAGCACTCAGAAGGCTGAAGCAGGAGGATCACAAATTCAAAGGCCAGCCTGGGCTGCATAGTGAGACTCAAAAAACCAAGCCAAACGCCCTTGCTTTCCTTCCTGAAAATGTTCTTTTGTTCTCTACTACATGGCTAGGCTGAAAAGTTTTCAATTCAGTCTTCCTAGTCATCTTGCTCCCTTATTTTACTGTAACCCATCAAAAGTAGCCATGCAGCAGCCTAAATGCTTTGTTGCTTATAACCTTCTGGCAGATGTTAGTTGTGCGTTTTTGTAAGTCCTAGGGCATGGACACAGTGCAGCGACACTCATTGTAGCTTTGTAAGAAGAATGGCTTTGCTCTAGTTTCCAGTGCCCTGGAAAGCCTTTATCAGAATTGCTTTTACTAAGAAGTTCCAGGTTTTCCTATGTCTTCTTATCTCTGAGCCCTTACCAGAATTACCTTTCATGCTCCATTGATGGCTTTTTCTACACTGTTCCTCTAAATTCTTCTGTTACCCAGTTCCAAAGCCATGTCCACATTTTCAGGTATGCATATAACAGCCCCACTTTTTTGGCAGTTCTCTTAGTCTGTTTTTTTAATGCTCTAACTGAATACCACAGCTGGTAAATTTACAAACAATAAGGGTTTACTCAGCTCATGGTTCTGGAGGCTGCAAAGTCTAAGGTCAAAAGGTCACCTCTGGTAAGGGGCTTCTTGCTGATGAGGACTCTGCAGAGTCCCAGGGCAGTACAAGATACCACATGGTAAGACAGAGAAGCAAGCCAGAGAAAACTGACTTTTAAAATAAAGCCACTTTTGGGATAATAGTAGAGACCTCTTGACTCGATCACCTCCCAAATGCCATTAACACAGGATTTTGGAGAGGGAGTACATTAGAACATTTACAAAACTTTTTGGGGTTTGACTTGGGGCTTTGCGCTTGCTAGGCAGGCGCTCTACAGCTTGAGCCACTCTGCTACCCCATAAACCTTTCTGGAAGTCTAATACATGGTATTGATGAAAAACATACTAACAAAGGCGTTGCTTAATCTCCTTCCGCCTGTCAATTCCACCTCTTCACTGACTTTAGCGGAAGTTGCATCAGCTTGGCTGATACTTGGATGACACGGGCAGCATGAAGTGTATAAAACAGCTTTCTTCCTGACCTTTAGTCTGAATGTGTTTGCTTTCAACCTGTGCAGATCGTCCAGAACATTGTGGGCACAGCTCTGATGATCTTAGTGGCCATTGGTTTTAAGACCAAACTGGCAGCTTTGACTCTTGTCGTCTGGCTGTTTGCCATCAACGTGTATTTCAACGCCTTCTGGACCATTCCAGTCTATAAGCCCATGCATGACTTCCTGAAATACGACTTCTTCCAAACCATGTCAGTGATTGGAGGCCTGCTCCTGGTGGTAGCTCTGGGCCCAGGGGGCGTCTCCATGGATGAAAAGAAGAAAGAGTGGTAACAGACAGCTCCCTGCCCTACCTGGCCAAGGCCCACAGCCATGGAGGACTGGTTCAGGGTAAAGTCCCAACCAACTGCCAGCATTTATGTATCCTCTTCCCTTTCCCTCCCTTGGTAAAGGCACCGATGTTTTGAGAACTTTATGTGCAGACACCTGAAAATTGTTGGGGAATTCTGCTCTGGAACCACAGTTTGGAAGCTGACCAACCAGGGCTGGCTGGCTGGCTAGCTGCCTCCAGGCCAGGGCTTGGAGTGAGCAGCTTGGTGGGCTGTGGCCTCTTGGTCCTGGCTTTGAGTTCTTTTTGGGGGGTGGGGGGATGAGGGCCTTCAGCTGTACTGTGAGCAGACACATTTGTGCATCATTCAAAGCAATCTTCCCCCTTTTTTTTTTTTTTTAAAGTTTACATTCTTAGCTCAAACTACTAAATGATCCTGGATGGTCCAAACATCAAACACTGTTAAACTTTGGTTTAAAGTGGTACAGTGGCTTCAACATTGTTTCTGCCCCTGCATTATTACTGCTTAAGATCACTGAAGACATGTAGAGAAAACCCCAAATCTAGAAAATGATGTGGTATTGGAGGGGCAGCCACAGCTGCTGGTGGTGGTGGAAGCCACTGACATTAACTACAGTGTTTATTGGGTAGGAGATACCCTGGGAGCTTCATGGCTCAAGAGAGGGACCGATGGGCTGAAGTCCTTGAGGAAAGCTACTGGTCTGGGCCCTGCTGTTCCTTGAGCCTGGCAGTGGGGAAAGAGTTGGCGAGGAAGTGGCACAAAGGATGAACAGTCCCTTTCTGGAACCTGTCTGGGGCAGGGGAAATGGCAACATGGGGCCTAGCAGTGACAGCAGTCCCAGCAGTCAAGACCCATGGGCCATATACTCAGTCACCTCATGTTCAGAACAAGACCTGGACGCCACAGGCTGCGCTCCATCCCAGCTTAGCAGCAACCCCTTGTTCCAGGCTGCACTTAGCCTGTAGGCAGCCCCAAATCATTTTCCTGAGGCTGTGGCTTGCTCAGATTTTGTCAATTTGCTATGCTGATCGCAGCCAAGATCACTTTTTACAATTTGTGATGCCTTACCAATTTGATCTTGATCCTGTATTTAAAGTTTTCTAACATTGCCTTATACTGTGTTTCTTTTTTTTTTTTTGAGGGGGCGGGAGGGGGAGGGGGTCTGAGGCTGCAGTTCCGTTCATATGCATGGTAGTGAATGCAATGAGAGTAATCAAATCTCTCTGGGCTTCCCATGGACCCTGTGTGGGAACAGACTGACAGGTGCACAACCCTTGAGGGGAAGGTGGCAGTTCACCCACTGTCCTCTCATGTCAGCTGGGTATGCAGGTCAGTATCTAGGCTGCAGTGGGCTGATCCTGCCTTCCCCTAACCCCAGTGGCTCTACATCCCAGACCCACATATGCCAGGTGGGTGATACAGGCCCTTCCAACACCCTACCTGTTTACCACTGGCAGCCTTTCATCCTGCTCCCCACCCCCACTTAAGACTTGGCAGCAACTTTGGCCACAAGGCACATCTGCACTCAGCATGCAGGGCTGCTCCGTTAATACAGCGATAGCCCTGGCACGTGACGCCCCACAAGATTTGTGGAGGGGGCTTACTCTGAGGCAAGTGTAGTCTACACCAGCCATGCAGCAGCAACTTCATCCAGTGCCCCTCTGCCAGTTCTCAGCTGTCTGGGGTGAGGGAGGAAAAATAAACTATCACGCATTGGTTTGGAAAACAACTGAAAATGCTTTTTGCTTTATGTGGGGATAGGTATAAATTTCATTTTTATGCTGTATTTTATATCTTAGTTGTGTCTGAAAAATGTTTTGATTTTTGGTAACATCAAAATAAAAAATGGCATTTGTGGTGTGCAGTGTAATCCTTTGGTGGCATCCAGCCTGGGTGGGGACCTGCCCAGGCTCTCAGGATGCCACGGTGGGCTGGGTTGACTCTAGGCTTCACAGCCCACAGAGAAGCCATGCACAGGGAGCAGCCTCCCTCCAAAGTCCTGCTCCTGCCTGGGTGTGGGACCCTGCTATCTGCTGTACAGACCCCCAGCTGTTCTTTGGGAGGCAGCAAAGCCAGGAGACAAGGAGTGCAGAGAGAAGACTACAGGGGACAAACAGTTTCAAGAACACCTGGAGGCTTTCTTGGTATTCCTTGTTATCCTGTGTGCTTGAAGGAGCTGAAGCTCTTGGGCTTGTGGTGATGGCTCCTGAGTTTCTTGGTCAAGGAGCGATGCTGCTTCTGTGACAAAGAGAATTCAGTTACTTGGGCCTTTCTGACTCCATGAGGAAGGGGCCTCTCCATCCTGAGGAGAACCAGCCTTCCTGCCATGGTTTTCCATGCAGTGCTGGGTTAGGTGGCACCACGGCTCACCTTCCTACGCTTGTGGATCCCCCTGAAGTCCACTGCCTCCTTCCTGTCCCCAGTGTCCTTCTCTCCTGGAGGCCTTGGCTTCTCATCATCTTGGTCTGTCAGAAAGTCATCCGAGCCATCCTCGTTCTCAGGCCCTTCCAGGTCCTTTTTGATGAACAGCTGAGCTAGGAGGAACAGGCATCTGGCTGAGGCTTGCTGTAGGTCTAGCACCACCTTACGTAAGGGGGTTAGGGTGAGAGCAGCCACCAGGACCAAGATGGCAGGGGAGTGACTGGACAGCCATGGAACTCCAAGGGTGGGGAAAGGAGGGCTGAGCTTGCTTACGTGGATACAGGTCCGTCATGCTGTCATCACTCAGGGCTCCCTCCTCATCACTGGATGCTGGCTCCCAGAAAGCTGCTCTTGGGCCCGGTGGCCTGTCCCCATCCATCTGGTCTTCCCTCCTTCTCTTCCTGTGTTGCAGGCAGGCAGGGATGTACTCTACCCCTTGCTTCTGACATTCTTCATCTGGGAGACAAACCAGCTCACACTAATACCCTCCAGTTCACTGGGTCCTCTAGGCATAGAGCTAACGGGGTGTGTGTGGAGGGTGTGGGGGTTGTGCCTTTCCAGGGCCCTGGAACCCCACACCAGACACTAAACCGGAAGAGTGGCAAGTGGGCAGTTGGGTTTGTCCTACCAGACAGACTACAAGAAGCTAGATTAGAGGGTCCTATGCAGGCCCATGATGAACCTCAGTGAGGTCACATGACAAGACACCAGCCTGTCACTAGCTGACTGAAGTCCTCCCTCTCTGCCCTATAGGGATGTACCCTGGTGGGACTCAGTGGAAGCTGCCTGGCCCTCACTCCTGGGCTTGGAGCTGGAGAGCTGGTGCAAGACTGTGGAAAGTCCTTGCTGGGGCTGCTACTGGTGTCCCTTTACTTATTTAGGGGCCGGGGCTGCCGAAGCCTGCCCCTCAGTCTAGCACTGCTCCCTCCAGGGTGGGAGACACCAGCTCCTACTGTCCCCAATTTCTGCCACCATCACTCATATGGTGGACAAGCCCAGTGGGACCTTGACCTGTGATGTCACTACCTGCCTCTGCCATCTCCAGGGCCATTTTCCTACTTTCTCTGTCACCTGCTCCTGTGTCAAGAGTGGCCTCATCACCACGAGCTCCTGCACACGGTTTCTTCCCAAGGCCCTGGACAGGTATTGGAGCCTACATCCTGAATACTCCAATTGATTGCCCTGAAGTGGCCTCATAGTGGCCTGGGCCTGTCTCAGTTCCATGGTCTGTTTTCAAGTACTCTTTCTCTCATTGGGGGAAGCCTATCTACCACCTTCCTGCCCATGTCCCAGCAGTGGACATGGCTGAACCAGAGAAGGTCAAGCCCTGACTGGTGCCCTTGGTGGTGTGGCCTCCATGGGTGCCAGCTCCAGGAACCCCAGGTCTGCACGCTCCTGCATGGGAGGACCTGCACTGAGAAACAGAAACCTGTGAACTTTTTCTTCTTCATCTCCACAAACTGACCTGAATCTGCACTCCCAACAGAGGCAGGTCAGGCAGTGTAGACCCTCAAAAGCCCTCTCCTACCTCACCCCATTACCTGCTCCCCAGCCGCCTCCAGAAGCCCACCTATGGGTCTCAGTGTTTTCTTCCCTGCCCAGCCAGGCCCTGCCCTCAAGGGATTCTAGCTTTCCCCACCATGCTCCACCTGGGTCACCAGGAATCCAGTTGTTAATCTCATGGTCACTTTCCTGCCCTCATCATCCCTTCTCTCCCTGGGTTTCTTAGTACTCAAGGTGGCCCACACCCTTCTCTGCCAACTCTAGCCAGGGAAACTCCCTCAGCTCCAGCAAGGATCTGTACCACCTGAGCACCAGCCTCCCTAAGCTGCTCTGAATTTACAGCACCAAAGGAGCTCTCCATTTTCCCCTGAAGACCTAGTACCAACTCCCCGCTCAGACTTAACCACTCACAGGTGATGCCTTTCCAGCCCCCTCACCTGGCTGTACCTGCCAAACCACTGAAGTCTGTCCTCACTTTCCCTTCTCCTCCCAAGGCACCATCCTCTTTACCTGCATGGCAGCAGCAGCAGATCAGACAAGTTCCCCTCCATTTTCTGCAGGCCACACAAACTGTGCCAGTCCTGTTCCTGACCACATCCCACAATACCCTCTGCGGCCTTGCCCACCCCCACTTATATGCTGGCTCCGGGATGTCAGGCCTCCCACAGCCCAGAGGGCCATAAACCAGTCCTCTACCAGGAAAACTGGTCCTCCAATCTCAGCCTGGAGAGCAACCCTGGAATTTTCCTGCCTTCTAAGGCAGATCCCCCAGGGCCTCACCACTGTTTCCTCCACACCTCTGCTTGTCACAAAGTGCCATTCCTTCCCAATCCCCTTCTGGCTTTGTACCCATATACCCTAAGAGCTTTGTGAGGTCAGGGACCATCACCTCCCTCCCAACTGTGCCAGGACCAGGCAGGTGCCTCAATCAAGGATCACTGAAAGATGATCAAGGTACTCCTGCCTTTATGGGGTGAACTCCATCCTGGGAGAGGTGGGAGCGCACCCCAAAGGCCCTCGCTTCTGATGGTGGCTTCCCAGTGACTTACACTGATGCAGCGCTCTCTGGTACCGCCTTCCCTGGGTATGCCTGAGCACGTGTTCTGGGGACTTGTTGATGTGCCGCAGAGTGAGTTTGCAGAACAGCTGGTGCCTACAGGGGCAAGGAGACAGATTTGCAGACAGCTCACAGCAAGGAGCCACACCAGTGCGCTCCATAGTGGCTGCACACTGTAATCCCCCTGAGCCCGTTTTGGGGATGGTCTGCCACGTGGCCAGAGCATACAGAGTTTTAAAACCTCCCCAACCAATTCCACTCTGCTACTGGGGCTGAGTACCGCTGACCGAGACTGTGACCTCTTACTGCCACCTGAGACCGGAACAGCCGCCTCACGCTGCTCCAGGGTGAGTGGGGTGCGGAGACTCAGCCCAGCAAAGTGCTCGGGGTGTGAAAGTTCACCACCTCCTCCTCCCCCGTCTGATAACTCTGTCAACAACACATTCAGCCACGCCAAGAGTTCCTACGCGGTGAAGGTGGACCTGTCCCAGTTCTCAACCACAGGCGATGGCGCGCATGCTCTACTCCTCCGTGGAAAAATGGGCCCGAGCTCGGAGCAAGGCCGCGGACTCCGCACCCTGGCGGCGGGGCGATGGGCCACCTACGGGTGCTTGGTGCTGGGCACGATGTGCGGCTCGAACTCGACATAGTCGAAGGCAGGGGCGGCGCGCGCCAGGCGCTGGTACTTCTTGCCGCGGGTGTAGAGCTGCAGCTCCGCCAGGCGGCAGGGCAGCTCGTGGCCGGTCAGGACGCACTTCACCTGCGGGCAAGCAAGGGCCGGGGTCAGGGCGCCACGTCCCCTTACCTCCTCCACCCCTGCGCTCCTGCACCCTCTCCTCTCCCTTGTCCCGCTCCTCCTCGTCCCCATCCCTGCGCTGACCCTGTTGGTGTCGGGCAGCATCCGCAGGCTTGGGTGCTGGAGCAGGAAGGCCCGCACGTCCTCCGACGGTTCGCCCATGGCCGAAGCTACAACTCCACTACAATGAGGACCAGGCGCGCGGCCGGCCGGTGTTCCGGAAACAGATGGCCCCTGCCCCGGAAGTAGACGCCTCCTACCCGGAAAGCGCTCGCGGGCGGCTCCGGCGATGGCGGCAGTGGTTCGATGGATGGGACTGCGGGCGGCGAGGCTGCCACGCGGAGCGTGCGCGCGGCCGGTGAGCATCCGGGCGCTCTGGGGACGGACAAGGGGTGCCGGGGCGAGCGCGGTGGGTGGGCTTCGGGGCCTGACGGTCAGCGGTCTGGTCCCGTCCCCGCAGGTTCCGGCCGGCGCCGCCTGGAGGAGCGTCCTCGGGGTTCCTCCCCGCCCAGGTGAGGCGGGCTCAGGCCAGGGCGCGGTTTCTGCATCCGGGAGAGCCACGCAGACCCGACCTTCGAGTTGAAGGGAGCGTGGCTGCGGGCTGAGCGTGGACCCTGTGAGAGGCTTTGCGGTGAATGCCTTGGAGTCCAGCCGCGACTCTGGGCCCGCGCCGCAGCGAGCGTGCATGGGTGTGGAGGGTAGGCTAGGAAAGGCTGCGCACTTAGCGGTCCATCCCCGCCGACCCAGCATGGACCCCCAGGGATTTGCGATGCTACGGAAAGCGCCTCAGATCACCGCAGTTAGGCGCAGCCTCGCGACTGCAACCGAGGTCATTTAGCCATGTGGAGAGAACCGTAGCACATGAAGTATTTGGTCAGCCTGCCCCAGCCTTGCTCTTTTTCATCCACTATGTCCCCTAAGCTTTCAGCTGATGGGACGCAACACCTGAAAGCTTAAGGTTCCTTCACTGTACATTGTTCCAACTTTAAATTTGCGATGAGCTGTTAGGAGAGCTCCTTAAAATACTGCCCTGGGTTTATGTTGTGAATTTTTACGTAGCGCAAAGCCAGTAGTGCCTTGCTAAGCTACTTTTTAAATGCTTAGAATAAGCATCTGGGCATGTTAGTGCAATAGAATACACCTTAAAGTATTCCTGAGTAAAAAGGCACGAGGTGGTTACAAGGTGATGATCAGTGGCAGGGCCAGCACCGAGCTGTAGATCTCATTCATGCAACAAATGTCTACTGAGTGTGTACCTTGTGCTTCACACTCGGTCAGGAGCCGGGCTGGACACAGGTGCTGCTAGTTGGCTCCTTCCTCACAGCAGGTTTTTGTTCACTCCTGTACCATATTCTCTGAGGCTATGTTCATGAAGTCTTGAGGAATTGGCTCCTCCAGTTGTGTTTGTTTTAGGGCTTCTGACCCATTCCAGTGTTGTAAAACTTCCTCCAGGAGTGGCCTTTAGGCCAAGCAGGTGTGGCAGTTCTGCAGCAGAAACACCTGCTACGAAAGTGGAAAATGACTCTTTTCTCCAGTGGTTCCTGCTTCTCATTCCTGTCACTGCCTTTGGCCTGGGAACTTGGCAGGTAAACACTGGCATCTAGCTTGGGTGACTCTGAGTCCTTGTCCCCACTATCATCTGCTTGGTTCATGCTGTTTTTGTAGGTCCAGCGACGGAAGTGGAAGCTGAAACTGATTTCAGAATTAGAGTCTAGAGTCATGGCGGAGCCCATCCCTCTGCCAGCAGAGTGAGTGGCCCATCTCCCTAGCGATCAGCAGTGAAGCCCTGCCTCTGCTTGTTGTCCTGTCATTAACTTCCCTGGCTTCAGACAGGAGTCCTCAAGATCAGTTGGCTTGCTGTTGACAACTGACTGCCCTTGTGAAGGTGCCTGAGGTGGTACTGGGGTTTGAACTCAAGGCCTCATGCTTGCTAGACAGGTTCTCTACCGACTTGAGCCACTCAGCAAACCCAAAATGTTTTATTTCTGATGCTGGGTTTCAGCTGTTTTTCAAGTCTTGGGGGGTTCCCTACAGTGCTGACAGCTCCCTAAAACTGATTCTTAGCTGGTGGGTGAAGGCAGATAACATATATCTTAACATGAGATGGTATTTTGAAAAAGTGCCCTAAATATTTCTGCTGCTCTATCTCCCTCATTCAAAAGCACTGTCCTGGAGAGACAGGTACATCTAATAAAGGTGAATTTGGGGTAGGTAACAGTATGCCTTATTTGGCTTGCAGGTGAAGTTTGGGTACACATATTTTAATTTTGCATAAAATATTCACATAGAAATCATCACCTAGCTTCTCTTGAAAAACTAGACTTTGGTAGCGCAGATCTACATTCCCATGTGATCAAAGGGCTGGAGCTGAGGACCAGGAGGCCCCACTGCCCTGCCCTTCAGTCTGCATTACTTCTTTGGCCCTGCTGGACTTGGTAGCTTGCAGCCCCCCTTCCCCCCTCAGATTTATCCTTCTGTCATGCCTTGCTTTGCCACAGCTATTCTCTCCTTATAGCCCAATGGAACTGAAGAATCTGGAGTATAGGCCCGTGAAGGTTAGGGGGCACTTTGACCACTCCAAGGAGTTGTACATGATGCCCCGGACCATGGTAGACCCTGCCCGCGAGGCCCGGGAGGCTGGCCGGATCTCCTCGTCAACTGAGAGTGGGGCCTATGTCATCACCCCCTTCCATTGCACTGACCTGGGGTGAGTAGGCCATGTAGGGCCCTGACTGGCCTGGCAGGCACTTAGGGTTTACTGATGTCTGTGTCCTTCCTCATCCCCCAACCTTGATAAGACCCTGAGGAATCCAAAATACCCAGAAAGCTCCAATTCCCTGATAAGTTTGAAATTCCTAATTCTGACACTAAGCAACCATTTGGCCAATTCATTGCTGAATAGGTTCTGTATATTAACCTGAAGGAGGAGAGGTTACTGACAGGCCCCTCCCTCCTCTGGAGGAGTTCCTAGAAGCCAATAGATTAAGCCATTGTGGTAAAGCATGAAAAGCTGGTAAGAGGCACTCAGAAGACCCCAACTGCCTGGAGGCAAAGAAGCCTCCCCAGGATCGTTCAGGCTAAATTTTAAATTAAGAGATGGAAGAAGGGCTGGCAGAGTGGCGTAAGTACCTGCCCAACAAGCGTGAAGCTCTGTTCAAAACCTCAATACCACCAAAAGGAAAAAAAAAAAAGAGATGAAGTGTCTAGGCAAGCAAAGGGAAAAATGTGTAAATGAAAATGCCTGGGATTCCTTTCAGCCCCCAGGTCCTGGCTGGGGCCTAAATGCTGCTTGACCATGAGTTAGGAGACTGAAGGCACCTGATGTTGGTTACTGGTTGCACCTTGCTATGGTGGGGTACAAGGATGGCAGCAGGTAGAGGGGTTCTGTACCAGCACCCCTGGAAGCCACGCTGGCCAAGGGAAGTGGTTAGTGGTTAGCCTTCCAACTGGAAGGGCATAGGCAGGACTTCCAGGTGTGTACCTCAGCCGGGGCTCCTCTCCAGAGCCTGAGTAGTTTAAAAACCTTCCTTGCATGTGTGGAGCCCAGTAACAGTGCCTGCCTGGGACCTTTAGTCCTAGATTGGCTCTCTAGCCCCACAAAACAAAAAAGCCCTAAACCTTTCTTCTAGATGCCTGAAACCATTAATGATTATCCTTGTAACATCCTTATTCCCTACATGACCCTAGTACTTTGATTACTCTAGAGTCACCATTCTAGTAAACAGAGGGTTTGTCCCCAAGAAGAAAGTGAATCCTGAGACCCGGCAGAAAGGCCAGGTAAGTGCACTTATACTTGGGAGCAGGGCTCTGCAACAATCACCCAGCATCCATGCAGTTTTCTTTTGCAGATTGCAGGAGACATGGACCTAGTTGGGATAGTGAGGCTGACAGAACCCAGGAAGCCCTTTGTCCCTGAAAATAATCCAGAAAGGAACCACTGGTATTACCGGGACCTGGAGGCCATGGCCAAGATAACAGGCACAGACCCCATTTTCATTGACGCCAACTTCCGTACGTTCTGACCTGGCTGCCCCAGAACAAGCAGTTGTAAATACCCTTTGTTGCCACCTCCTACTAGCTCTACACTTCCCAGCTATTTTTGTTGCTTTCACTGTAGCATGTAGTACTGGGGAACAGCAGCTAAGAGAAAGCTGGCAAGTTGAGAAAAGGGTGGCAGGTTTTAAGGTGAAGGCCCTGCAAAAACAAACAGCTGCTGCTTGCAACTGTCAGCAGAGGGAAGGACATGAGCCCACTGTCTCTGCAGAGAGCACAGTTCCTGGAGGACCCATTGGTGGACAAACCAGAGTGACTCTTCGGAATGAGCACCTGCAGTACATTATTACCTGGTTAGTCCCTAGAGCCCCTACCACCCCCTACTTCTGACCTTCAAAGATTTAACACCTATTTTCTTTTAACTCAAGGTACGGACTGTGTGCAGCCACATCACACCTATGGTTTAAGAAATTCTTACGTCGGACACCTGGTGTATGAATCAATGCAAGCCTGTTCCTAAGTAATCCAGAGATCCCCAAGTAAACCTCATGTTTAAGAGATCACGTACTGCTGCTATAAATAAAACTCCTGGGCTCATTTGCATCAGTATCTTAAGGCAGTGACCAGTCACACAGTGGCTTAGCTTCCAGTATTTCAGTATCATGGGTAGGTATCACAACTTAAGATGGGACTGGAGGTACAGCTTATGAGATAGGGCAGCTGCTTTACAAGCCAGAGGCCCACGTGAAAACCCCAGCAGCCCCTCCCTGCAGCAAAAAAACCCGACTTAAGACAGCCTATGTGTACAGGACTCGCCATGTAAGGGAGTGACCTTGCTTCCAGTGAGTGTGTGCTTGCTACTTCCCCGACCCTCAACCAAAATGGCCACTAGACGCTGGAGGACGGCTTTATTGTCTTCACGTAGGGAGGCCACTGCACACTTAGCCCAGTTTCGTAGCCAGCTCTTTAGCCTTCGCCTTTTCCAGCTTGGCAATGCGGGCCACGGACTTGGGGCCCAGGACGTTGCCGCCCCAGTGCCGGCGGATCTGCAACGAGAGCGGCGGTCAGCTCGCTCGCCACCTCTCCCGGGCTTCCCAAAAGCCGTTCCCACCTTCTGCTTGTTGTAACCGGAGAGCTGCGCAGCTGGAGAACCAGCCAGCCTTTGGAAAAAGCTTCACCTGCCCAACGCTCGCATGTAAAGCGGCTTCTTACCTCATCGTATCTGTCGTTGTAGTTGGTCCTGATCGCCTCCACCAGCTTAGCCAGAGCTCCTTTGTCTTCCCTAGCAAGGCATGGGGGAAACAAAAGGCGGACTTACAGCCTGTTACTCTACGAAGCAGGAATCACCTCATTTGTGGCTCCAAACAAGCCTTCCGCCTCAGATAGTTTGACCACATGGTTTATTCAGGTGAAGAAATTCTTAACCATCATTGGCAAAAGTTCACAAATTATTCCTTAAGCTAGAATAGTGGCTTAAAAGTTCTGAAGGAATAGATACAAAAATGACGGGGGATTTGAGTCAAGCTGCATACTTACGAGTTAACCTGCGTGAAAGCAACAGTGGTGCATGTCTTCCTGTGGACTAACCGTCCCAGCCTGGCCTTCCCTTTGATGATACAGTAGGGGACTCCCATCTTGCGACACAGGGCAGGCAAGAACACAACCAGCTGGAAGAAAGCATCAGCTGGAGAACATGCTCTGCCCAAAAGCATAAAGAGCTAGATTGCTGGCAATTGCTCAGGGTTAAAAAGCTCATGTATTTGCACTTCAAGGTTTAATTCAGTGAGAAATTTACATCATTGCAAGAGCCACCTAGTTTGGATCGCTTATTAGTGCTATCCTCAAATGAGAAGGTGACTCTTCCGGTCACCCACTTTGGCCTTTAACATGCCAGACTCAGCATGAAACCGCCTCCACCTTCTCGGTGTGACGTCAGACAGTTCAGTTCTGCCATCAAAGCACGTGAGACCCACCTCAATGGGATCCACATCATGTGCAATCACCACCAGCTGAGCCTTCTTGTTCTCCACCAACGTAGTGACAGTGTTGACCCCTGGAACACAGGACCACTTTATGTGAGCAATCGGGCTGCTCTGGTCACAAAAAGCAATCGTGCTAAGCTGTGACTCAGTGTTAAAAAGCTCGGATCTTACACTTCATAGTGATTTCAGGTGAAGAAATTCATACATCATTGCACAGCCTGCCCCATCACTGACCTCCTCTTAAGGAGGGCCTACTGACCTGCTCGAAGGACGGGTGGTCTCTTAGTGGGGACGTCTCCTTTGCCAGCAGCCTTCTTCTCAGCCCGGGCCAACAGCCTCTGCTTCTTCTCTTGTTTCGTCTCTGGCCTGTACTTGTGGGCAAGCTTAAGCAGCTGTGTAGCTGGGAAAACATTCCACAATTGGTCTTTTATTTTTTGGGGCTTTTTGAGACAGGTTCTTACCATGTCCTAGAACTCATGATCCTTCTGCCTTAACAAGGATTACAGCTGTGTGCCAGCACACTCAGCTCAAGTTTTGTTTTGGGGGTCTCGCCACCTAACTTTAAGCACATGACTCCTGCCTCTGCCTTCTTGGGATTATAGGCACACACCACCATGCCCAAAAATTCTAATCTTTAACAGTTAACATGATAGAAAGCTAAACTTCTATCCCTTTAATATAATGATGGTGCTGTAAGAACAAAAACCCAAAGCCACGCACGCCACCTTTTCAATTAGGCCAGCTTCATGTTCTGGAAACCAAGCTAGTTCAGTACCACAGAACCTCACCTGTTTGACGGTCCAAAGCCTGCGTGAACTGGTTAATCGCCGGAGGCACTTTCAGCCGCTTATAGAGGATAGCCCTTTGCCGCTGCAGCCGGATGTAGCGGGGCCATTTGACAAATCGGGTGAGATCCCTTTTGGGTTGGATGTCCTGTCCTAAGAAGTCAAAGTAACACCACTGACTAAGACGTATACTCTGTCACATCACATTTGAGGGTACTGAGAAAGGTGTTGGTGCATCAGCGATCTTGGTGGTTTAAAATGTCATCACCATCTTTCAAATAGCAAATATTCTTTTACATCATCTGCACACGAACACCCCAGACTTCCCTTAGAGACTAGCAATTGAGGTCCCGTGAACCTCAACGCTGAGACGGGTCCAACCACTCCAAAGCACACCACCACTATCCCCACCCCAAGGCGCACAGTCTAAGAACTGATCCCAGTTTTCTAGGAAGAAGAAAGAAGGAATACCAATCCGAGCAGACTAGACGTTAATACCCATCCCCCCTTCACAAATACACAAGACTCGGCAAATTACCATTTTCTTAAGAAAAACGAGACATTCTCAACCCCCCACCTCCATTTCTTACCAATGCCAAAGTTCTTAGGCCTCTTCTCAAAAAGAGGATTTACGACCTTCTTGGCCTCCTGCTTCTTCACGACAGCAGGGGCCGGAGCCACCTTCTTCCCCTTGGCCTTCTTTCCTTTCGGCTGGGCAGAAAGGAAAAGGCAGTTAAAACTCTCCCACCGCCCTACCGATCCCTGTGCGGCAATGGCGGCGACGGCCCTGCTCGTGCATCAGCGATCTTGGTGGGTGGGAGTCCTCACCATCACCTAGGACTGCAACCTCGCATCACCTGCGCGAGCGCAGTCCGGGAAACGCGCACGGACTCGGGCCGGGCTGCTCCGCCGCGCGACCACAAGCAAAAACCGGGGAAAGTCGCGACCACCTCCCGACCCTGATGCCCGGCCCAAGGCCACGGCCCACCCACTCGGAGCCCCGCACTGCGGCAAACTGCGTTCCCCAATCTTCCTCCCCGGCCAGCGACATACAGGGGCCAACGCATCCCGCTGCCGGGTACCCGTTCCATTGCTCCTGTGCCAGGTCCGGCAAGGCTCTCCTAGCGCCTGATGTAGCCAGGGGCCCCGCGCGGCCGCACCCGGAGAAGGATGGCGGTGGATAGAACTTGGACATGGCCCAGGCACCAAAAAACGCAGCCCCACTCACCATCTTGGGCTGCAGAAGAGAGAAAGGAGAGAGAATTGTGGGTAATATGTAAGTGTCCTCGGAGATCGCGAGAGTTGGCGCCTGCGCGGGACTTCGGATTTAAAGAGGCAAGGCCTTGAAGCCAACAGTCGGGGGCGGTGCCTGGAGCGGCGGCTCGCTGCTCCGCTGCCCAGTGAGGGCGCAGAGTCTGCGGCGGCGGCTAGGTGGGTAGGGGCGCGGTGAAGCGCGGGCGGGGGCGGGCCGTCTTTCCCGTAGGGGACGCGCTCCCCCTCTGGCCCTAGCGCTGGTACCTGAGGCTGGGCAGCGTGGTCCGAGGCCCCGGAGAGGAAGGGCCGGGCCTCTCTGGTTGCCGAGCGGCTTCCTTCGTGCGGCAGGGGCCGGCGGGAGGGCAAGGGGCGCAGAGTTGGGCAGTTTCGGAGAGCCTGGGGACGCGCGGAGGCCGTGGTCTGCGCTCGGGAGGCCCCCGGCAGCGGAGCCGCCTGCGGCCGGAGCGGGCAGGGGTGGTGGGCTCATTCGGGTAGTGGGATGGGTCCAAGGAGAGCCCCGGACCCCGCAGCTGTGTGCTGCTTTGGAACGATGGGGTGAGTTTGTGTGGCAGAAAGCAACCCCAGCATTCTGTGCTGGGGTGAGACCCGAGGGTAGCCAAGGTTGGCCGTTCATACCTAACTCTGTCCTGCGCTGCCCAGGGCCCGCCATGGCCCAGCAGAGAGTCCTGCCCCAAAGCAAGGAGACGCTGCTGCAGTCTTACAACAAGCGGCTCAAGGATGACGTCAAGTCCATCATGGACAATTTCACAGAGATCATCAAGACCGCCAAGGTGAGTGGGCCCTCCCAGCCTCTGAGCCTTCGGGGAGGGGCAGGGTCCGGAGATGATGGTAATGGTGCTTCACCCACACATGGACCCTGGTGTACATAGACCTGGACTCCCCCAGGGGTGGGAATGCAGAGGGAACAGCAGACAAGATCCTTGTTCCGGAGGAGAGAAAATCTGGGGGTGGATTGGCAAGGTATCAGTAGTAACGGTGGACGGATAAATAAGTGAGTCAAATAACTACAAACCCTGGTAGAGCAGAGCAAAGAACTCTGGCCTAATTGCCATGGTTCCAAGTCCAGCATTTATTAGCCACATGGGGTTACTCTTCAGTTTCCCCTGTGTCCTAGTCCTTGTGGTCAATTGTTTGTATAAAGCAGTTACCATAGGACCTGGCACATGGAGAGCAACTCAAACCTAGGAGGAATTAGGAGTGTGAACAAGACAGATGCCCTAGAGAAATGGAGTAAGCAGGAAGCCCAGCACAGGCCTCCAGGAGGGCAAAGGGGTCTTCCGTGCTTTGGTGTGACTGGCACCAAATGGGGCCTCATCTTTCCTCACTGTGGCAGTCTTGACCTGCCAATAACAGTACTGATGGACCTAACATATATTTAGCACTTGCTGTGTATCAGGCCTGTTGTGAAGGCTATTTGCACTCTGTCCCATTTAATTGTCACAGGAAATGTATATGTGTTTATACTTGGCAGTATTGGGTTTTGGACTCAGGGCTTTGCACTTGTGAGGGAGGTGCTCTACCACTTGAGGCACTCTGCCAGCCCTGTTTTGTGTTGGGTATTTTCGGGATAAGGTCTTTTGAACTGTTTCCCCAGGGCTAGATGTGAATGCGATCTTCCTGATCTCTGCATCCTGAGTTGCTAGGATTACAGGTGTGAGCCATCAGTGCCCAACAAAAAAAAATTTTGAATTATCATCCATTAACAATATGAGGGGATTTCATTGTAATAATTCCATAAATTCATACGGTGTTCTTTGAACAAGTTCACCTTCTCCATTGTATTTCCATACCCCCTACCTGCCTCCCCCATTTCTTTCTTTCTTTTTTTTTAATTCCCCGTTTAGTTCTGAGACATCTTCAACAGAGATCTGGCCCAGCCTCTAACTGGCCCACCTGTAAGCCAGACACAGCAATCCAGGCTTCTGTGAGCATCTTGTGAGAGAGTGATAGTTAGCCAAGGGTGCTTAACATGGTGCCTGGCACCCAGGAGGGAACAGGAAATAGTTGCTTAAAAAGATGCTGCCTTTGTTTATTTTTATTTTTACTTATTTATTTATTTATTTATTTATTGCGGTACTGGAGTTTGAACTCAGGGCCTTAGGCTTGCTAGGTAGACACTACCATTTGAGCCGCACTGTCAGTCTTTTTGCTTTATTTTTGGAGTAAGGTCTTGAATTTATGCCTGGACCATGAATAGGGGTATTTAAGTTCCTTAAATAGCTGGGATGACAGGTGTGTGCCACCAACACCCAGCTTTTTGTTGGTTGAGATGGGATCTCTCAGGACTTTTTTTTTTTTTTGCCCAGGGGTGGCCTCAAACCATGGTCCTCTTTATCTCCATTTCCCAAGTAGCTAGGATTACAGGCATGAGCCACTACACCCATGGGTTTTTTACTCTTTCATTCAGTGGTTTACTTAGTGTCTGAGTGGGTGACACCAGTCCTTGCCAAACAGGGCTTCACATCCCAAAACAAGCTTGAGCAAGCTGAAACTTCGTCCCTCTACCTAGCACAGGCACGTTTCCTTTGTCCTAGTGAAAGTGTCTCTTGCTGCCCATAGAACAAGAACAAGAGGGAAAGGGTAGTATTAAAACTGCTGGGGGTTTGGGTAGTAGGACTTCAGGTCTGTAGAAGGCAAGATGACAGGCTGTAGTGATACAGATGGGCTGGGCTAATTTTAGGCTTTCTTGTTTTCCTCCAGATTGAGGATGAGACGCAGGTGTCACGGGCCACCCAAGGTGAACAGGACAATTACGAGATGCACGTGCGAGCTGCTAACATCGTGAGTCGCCAGGGTGGATGGCATCGCTGCTGTGGGTGGAATATAGGTCCTCCACTCGTCCTGTTTATCCTGTGAGCAGCTTTCAAGGATGGAGTAGGGGGCACTGGGAGAAGGCAGGCAGATAACTGGCCCTGTCTGTCCCATAACAGCAGTGATCAGGAAGAGGGCAGCCCTTCCTGCTGAAGTGAGAGTCCCTCAAGAGTTGTAAGTGAAAAGGGAATTGCTGAATGAACCATGTGTGCACTTGAGAGCCCTGCTTATGTCACAGGAAAACCCTAGCCAGGCAGTATTTCTGCAGTGTGTACCCACAGATAAAAGTGAATGGGAAAAGGCCCCAAGGAATCCCACACAACCCATAGCTGTGTTACCCCTGGGGGAGTGACTCGGGGGTGTGAGTTTAATGCACGGGAAGTGTGAGCAGTAACCAGTGTGTTTGAGAGATCAGGCCTGAAGGAGTGGAAATCAGGCTAAGGGGAGGGGAGAGCTCTGGAGCAAGCTTATCCCACCTGCCAGGTGAGATGAGTACAGGATCCTGCATTCCCTAGATCCTGTTCTTGTGTCCTCACCTCATCCTTCTTCTCACACAGCCCCGTGCAGGGTTGTACTCCCACTTTGCAGAGGAGGAAGTTGAGGCTTCCAGAGGTTACTGCCAGGCCAGCACCAACCACATGAAGCTACACATGGGGCTGCTGTCCCCCACCCTCATCTGTTGCCTACCCTGGTTCTAACGGCTACAGGTTCGAGCTGGTGAGTCCCTGATGAAGCTGGTTCTGACCTCAAGCAGTTCCTGATCCTCAATGACTTTCCATCAGTGAATGAGGCTATTGACCAGCGCAACCAGCAGCTGCGTGCCCTGCAGGAGGAGTGTGACCGCAAACTTGTCACCCTGCGGGATGAGGTCTCCATCGACTTGTATGAGCTGGAGGAGGAGTACTACTCGTCCAGGTACAAATAGGGCTGGACTCCTGTGCAGGGCGGAGCCTGTCTACCTGAGCCTAGCCTGGAAGGTTCAGTTTTTCAAACCCTTCCTGGGCGTGGCAGCAGAGCCAGTGCCCAGGCTGCAGAGCAGAACCCTTGGCCAAAGCGTTTGATCAACAGACAGTTCACAGCCACCTGCTGGGCCCTGGGCCTTTCTCTCAGTGCAGAGGGATGAAAATCAAAGGACACTGGTCGGGGAGGCTGAGTCTGGAGATGGCTGTCACCCTGGGGTCGGGAGCCTTCCTTTGAGCAACACTGTCTAGGCCTTGCTATTTTCGGTTCTTGAATCCATATCTAGACGTCTTGGTCAAGACAGGATTGGCCTCTTCCAGCCCATAAGGTCCACACCTATGTCCCCTGTCCAGGATACCAGTGCCCGCCCAGGGGTGCAATTCCATGTAGGTGTCAACAAACCCCATGTGTGGAGATAGGGTCAGCCCTGGGAGGGAGGAAGAAGGAGCCCAAACAGAAAATGGCCCTGAAAGACAGAATTGGGGTACTCGAATGTCAGATTGTGATTAGCTCAGCCTTACTCAGAGAGCTGGTGTCTCCTGATGCCAGGCCTGTGCTGACCACTGTGGCATATAGCCACTGAGGGGCCCCTTAGATCTTGAAGCCTGAGACTGTATGAGCTGACAGGGCCCAAGAAATCAGAGCCCAAATGTAATTTTCACCAGAAATTGATACTGGAGACTAGAGACCTTGCACCCCTGCCCCATTAGTTTAAAAAGTCAAGATTCAGTCTAGCAGTCACTAAAGTCCAGGCCACCCCATGCCCTCTCTGGAATAATCCTCCTTCCTCATGGTGGGTTTAGAATATTTTCTGTCCCACTGAAGCCACACCAGGGACCACAGGCATCCAGAGCCGGTATGGTCTACAGTCTGGAGCTTGGTTTTCCTGCCCAGCTAGAGCAGTTCTAGAGTTTTCCAAAGGATTCTGAGGCCTCCTTTGATCCCCGATACTCATCAGCTCAGTTTAGGACATGTGGCAGCATCTCTAACACCCCGGGGCAGCAGAGGGGGTAGGGGTCCTAGAGTGTCTCACACCCTTCACACCCAGTGTTACTATTCTACCCCTCCCCCCCAACCCTGCCCTGCCTCAAGGGCTGAGGGCTAGAGGGAAGGTGGGTTAGGCCTAAGATCACACAACAGCTGGGATGGGAACCCAGAGGCTCTGGGCACCAGACCTCCTAAGTCCTTCTCCAGTCAGTCCCCATGGCCAAGTGGCAGCCCCTTTGCCTGTGGATTCCCTTAAACTGTCATGGCTCTTGAAAGCCAGAGCTAGCTGGTTTCATTTGCCCTGCCCTGTGCCCGTATTTCTGCCAGTAGCCCACTTCTGCACGGCTGCCCCTGCCTGCACTGTCCACTCACTGCTTGCCATTTCTGCCTCTGCCTCTCCCTCTCCACTTTCCTGTGCCCTGAGAGATTCTGAGACTGAACTCTGAAGGCAGGAACAAGAGAAGGCCAGGTCATCTTGTACACGGTAGACAGCTGTGGGAATGGTCCTGCCTGAGTCTCCACTACTGTGACTGACAAGCCACACCTCACTTACACCCTGCCTCTCACCCCCTACAAGATGGGGACAGACCTCCGAGGAGCAGAAGGCTAGAGCAGTGGTTCAGGAGGAGCCAGGGCCAGGGTTTCTGACTGCCGCTCTATTTAGGCCAAGTCCAAGCAAAGACAGATTGAGCAATAAAACAGGGTCTCTATCATCAGGGGGCTCTTTGCAAAGTTTTGTGACCACCCAACTGGTGAGGGGTCGATGGTCAGGTTGGGAGGGGACCCAGAAGGAACTAGAAGAAGCCCACATGGAAATTGGGAAGGAAGAACACCAGCTTGGTCCATAGTGAGGGCTTGCCAAAGTCACATAGCCATTTGGCCGCTTTCTGCTTTCTAATTGCAAGGATTCCCATGGCCCCTTCCTGCAGCTAGGCCTATTAGAGGAGAGAAAGGGGAGGCAGGCTGGGGGTGGTGGTCGTGTTTTCTTAACTCTGCCTCTATCTTGCTTTCCCTTTCTTTGGCTTCCCTCTGCCTGCTCCTGTCCCTGGGGTTTCTGGTGGTGGAAAAGCTCCAGTCTTTGCGAAGCTAATGACCTGCCTCTATGCGAAGCTTACTGGAGGCTGGACCTGGACACAGACTCTGCTGATGGCCCCTCGGCCCCTCTTCTGGCATCTCCGGAGCCTGGCACCGGTCCCCTACAGTCTGCAGCCCCTGTCCACTCGCATGTTGGTGGCCCAGGTTCCACAGAGCACACCTGAGCCTCTTAGGGCTACCTTCCCCAGACTCCTAGTTTACCAGGAGCAAAGTCCTGGGCTACCCTCTCGATGCCTATCTTAGGCATCTGCTCCCACTTGGGGACTCCAGGACCCAAGAGCTACTGTGGTCTTGGGAAGCTGGCCAGGCCAGGCTCAGCCTTCCAGTTCCCTCCCAGGACAGTTAGCAAAGTTCCAGCCATTTCCAGGGTGACCTGTCATTTCTGGTTACCAGGTGGAAGGACATGTCCTGCTGAGGAGCTCAACTGTATGGGAAAACTGAGCATGCTGTTCAGAATTGGAAGGGGCTTAGTGTACAGTCAGCCAAGCCCAGCCCTATCCTTAGGCCAGGGCTCCCATGCAGAGCCTTGCCCACCACCTCTTGTCCTGAACACGAATGTCCATGCCACAGGCTGACTGCACTGGTAAGGCTGTGGGAGAGGGGCTGCCCACTCACATAGAAGCCAACTAGGGGCTTCCTGAATTCTGCCACCATGTCAGTTCTGCTACTTTTGTAATAAGACTTGAATAAAAACACTGCCCTTTTCTGTTGCTCTTCTTTCTTCATCACTGGTCAGCTGGAGACCACCCCGGATTCCAGTAGCTTCTGAACAGCTCCTGGCGCTGCCTCACAGCCCTGGGTTTAGGCCCAGCCCTACCACCCAGAAGGTCCTTGACACTTGGTGAATGAACAATACGTGGCTCAGGCACCTGTACCTCTGGTGTCATTTAGTTCTTACTGCCAGTGCTGTTACGGCTGCATTTCAAAGGAGTTGGTGTCATACCCAGGGCCAGAGCTGGGAAGTGAAGTGCCATAACCAGTGTTTGACCTCAGGGACTTCAGACCCCCTGCCTCTTGGTACCAGCCTCACCTCAGACATTCAGGAACCATAGTCCTAAGACTGGGACTTGAGCCCTGCTTCCACAGTGCAACCCCCAGTTGTTCTTTACCTCCTACCCAGGAGGGAGACCACAGCTGACAGCCACTAGGGGGCTTAAGACCTCCACAGTCAGGCAGAAGGCAGTAGACAGGAGAAGGGGGTGACCAGGAAAGTCACATCCAGCGTGAGGGAGTTTCCCGTCGCTAAGACAAGCGATGATTCCTGCAGCACTTTAACTGTGGAAAGTGCTTTAAAAGTGGTTAATTGTAATTAACCACTCAGGAAAAGAAAGAACTTAGAACCTCATGAAAGTGGAAGGGAACAATCTGGAAGGAATGGGCCATAGGCTTTCAAAAAAAAAAAACCTGAGTAATCTTGTTAATTTTATTCTGTGTGTGACCAAATCCTAGTCATCCTTTAAAACAGCACATCCCTCCTTTCTACCCAGCTTCATGGCTAGAGATGGCCTCATCTCATTCTCTTCAACCAGGCAGGTGTTACCTGTGTGACTCCAGCAAAGCAGTGCATGTTAAGGTCACCAACATTACTAAACCTGGTCATTCCTTGGTCATTATCACCTTTTCATCCCAGGCAGTTAACAGAGGATGTCTGAACCTATAGGAAAGTTGTAAGTAGTATGTACAAAGAACAGCCATTCACACCCTATTGGGACGCACCTCACCCATAAATACTCCTCAGCCTGCCTCTTGAAAACATTCTAGGGCAGGCCCGGTGATGCACATCTGTTAATCTCAGCTATTTATGAGGTTGAGATGGGAGAATTGGGAGTTCAAGGCCAGCCTAGGCTACATAGTAAGCCCCTGCCTCAAAAAACATTCTCCATCATGGCCCAGGCCCAGTACCATCATCACAACCAAAATGAGTGGATACTCCAAAACGCACGCCATGTTGGAATTTCCTCAACCGTTCCCAGACGTCTATGCCTGTTTTTATCCTGCATTACATCTGTTGTTACAGGGCCACGGTGGAGTGGGTGTGCAGGCGGCCGGAGGTTACTGAAGGGCTGGGCTGGGGAACGCAGGAGCCGGGGCGGCCTCGGGTGGGAGGCGGTGGGCCCCGTTGGTGCGTGGAGGTGGGCTTGGGTGTAAGACACCCGGAGGGGCTTCTGCAAGTCGGGGGCGTCATTCGCGCCCCTGACCCTCAGCGCGGGGGTCAGGGAAAGAAGAGTCTCCCACTGTTGGGGTGGATTTTATGGACTAAGGTGCAGCTCGGGGCACGAGTGAGGGTCCCATCCTCAGCCCCGCAAAAATGAGACGACCCAGAAACTCTGTTAAAAGGCTTTCGAACGACCTTTGAGGTTGCACCTTCCGATTCCCGGTCTCCCGCGGGGCCGACCCCTAACAGGCCTGGGGGCCCGCGTGTGGGGCAAGGGCTGCGGCCGTCCCCGCCTCGGACGGCGCCCGCTCCTCGCTCCGCCGGCGAGGGCTACGGCAGGGAAGGCCGAGAAGAGGCTCAGGCCCCCGAGGCACCCCGCCGCCGCATGAGACACCCGGCGAGGACCTGAGGGCCTGAGCTACAGCGCCCGCTGACCCGTTTACAGAGCGAAGGAGGCGCAGCCCGGTAGCGGCGTCCGCAGGCCCCCGCCGCCCACAATGCCCCGCGCGGCCCACAATGCCCCGCGCGGCCCACAATGCCCGCGCGGCCCACAATGCCCCGCGCGCCTCCTCCAGGCCTGGCTAATCGAGCGCTCCACGGGCGGCGCCTGTCCACGCGGTGGCTTCCGGCGCCTACCGCGGTCGCAGGGACTCGAGTGAGTGGCGCCGGCCCTCGTTCGTCAGTGAGCCCGCAGCCATGGCCTCCCTGCTCGCCAAGGACGCCTACCTACAGGACCTAGCCAGGAAAATCTGTACCCAGCCCGGGCAGGAGCCGCCTAGGCGCGAGCGGGGTAACGAGGGGTCAGGAGAGTCGGGGTCCGGGTCGGGGCTGGAGGCTTCGGAGGGCCCCCAGCTCCCCGCCGCGGCCGCCTCCACCGGGTGGACGCGACCAGTGTGTGAGTGCTGGGGGAAGGCTCAAGCGTGCGCGGCCGCTGTCGCCGCCCCTATGCCGGAGCACCCCTATCCCCAACCTGGACTGCCGTCCTGGGCCCAGGGCGCCTGGGAGCTGGGGCCGGAGCCCCAGGAAACTGCCAGACCCAAAAGGGCTTTCTTTATACGACGCGATCGTATTTGTTAGAGAAAATAAGAAAACTGGAGCAAGTTTTCTCAACCATGTCGCTGGTAACCTAGGACTGAGTCTACCTTTGACCTTTGGGTAGATTCCGTGAGATGAAACAATTTGATTCATCCTCTCCATATTCCCATTTTTTAATTTAAAAAGTGAAGCCTTTCCCGCCCCTTAAGGCAAAAGCCTGTGTTGTTAAACACAGTCCTCGTTGTGCTGCGCTGCCATAATCAGTTGCAGGAGGTGGAGATTGCTTTCCTGGTCTTTCACTCCCATAGTGTGATGAGCATCCTTGAAGCCAAATCTTTGCACGTGAAAAACCATTGGCTCCTCCATCCTGATTCTGTTTGTGCACCATTGTGGGATTAAAAGCATTCCTGTATCCTAAATAGGTCACAGAGACTGGGTTTTAACTCTTGTCATTTTGTATTCCAGCTGGCAAAATTCGAGATTCAGAAGCTCCTGGGCCCCCAAAAAAGAAAAGGAAGAAAGCACAAAAGAAATCCCGGGAGCAGGAGCAGAAGGCTGCCAAGCACAAGGCCAAGTCCCTGGAAGAGAAGTCTCCAGCTGCCTGTGGGGTCAAGAAGCCAGCAGCAGCCAAAGAGAAAGAGGCTTCCAGCTCCACCGTGTCCCCTGCAGGTGAGGGGCTCCAGGGCATGTGGAGCCACGGCTGGGATACAAATGGGGTCCCTCCTTTCACAAGAGTAAGCACTGGCAGGCATAGGGAAACACGTGTTCCCATAGAGCCAAGATCACAGTAACGCTGTGGGTAAATAGGATGTGGGAAGTGTATAACGTTTTCTTACGCCCCAGTGACTTAGTTTGCAAGGCAGTCAGTCAGTTACCTGTCTTGAAGGAGGTTGTAGGGCCCAATCCAAGTTGAATAGGAGTACAGTTTACTGGATTTGCCCCAGTGGGCCCACAGGGGACAGGGAGGACAGCACATAAATTAAATGCTGGGCCCTAGGGAAGGAAGGGAAAGGTGGGAGGGGGACTCCCTTTCAGTCCTCTCCTTCCCTGCAGATGGCCAGGCCACAGGGTCTGACTCTGTCTTTGCTCTGGATGTCCTGCGACAGCGGCTACATGAAAAGATCCAGGAGGCCGGGGCCAGGTAGGTGGGGAGATCTTGATGAACACCTGGAGTATGTTTGTGGAGTGGATTCTCACCTACCCTCATGTTGGAGGGCGGGGGCAGAAGTCAACTCTCAGCAGAACCAGCACTCCGGCCTGGAAGAGCAGGTACAGTTCTCCTGTCCTCGGAGAACCTCAGTTCCCACAGTAACAGGCCTCCTGCTAGCTGTTCTCTTCCACGGCCCTCAGAGAAGCATGGCCTCCTCTGTCAGGGAAGCCACCTTTGCTGGCACCACAGGGACTGAGTGAGTCCAAGTCAATCCTTCTAAAGTTCAGTGCCTTGAGGTGAGGTGACCTGCCCAGCATTTAGGATGGACCAGAGGCTGCATGGTACTGTTCCCACCCCCCCACAACCTGGGCATCCCCCTTTCCCTGGGGCCGTCCCTGAGGCCTCTGCTGGCTTGGGGGGTGGGGGCAGGAGGAGTTCCCCAATTTCTCTCCTTAGTTTTGTGGGTCACACCACTGACCATCCCCGGGTTCCTAAAAAGAGATGAGGGCTTGGGTCACTGGTCCTACAGCACAGGGTGGAGTTGGTTAGGTGTGAAGCACTCTGCTGGCAGTGAGACAGGAAAGACAGTGGGGAGAGTGGGGGGTCATGAGCAGAATACACAGTGGTCAGGACAGGTGCTCAGCCATGTGGAACCAATCCAAGTTGTGAACTATAGGACAGTGGACAATAACATCAAGTGTGTAAAGTACTCCGGAACACAGGAAGGGCCTGGGAACTGGAAGCCAATTCTTCTTGTCCCCACTGGGGTCACGTCCTGCATTTGAAGGCATGTCTTTATGGAACCTTAGCACAGTGGGCCTGTGGCCTGCATGAGGATTTCCTTATGCACCTTCCAGCCTTCATTCCATCTCAGCCATGTGCTAGAGGGGGATCCTGAGGTTGAGAAAGCTGTGGTGAGTAGACTCTGCCTCCTGCAGGGCAGCACCAAGGAGCTGTCTGCTGCCACTTTGGAGAAAAGGCGGCGGAGAAAGCAGGAGCGGGACCGGAAAAAGAGGAAGCGGAAGGAGCTTCGAGCAAAGGAGAAGGCTATGAAGGCCGAGAAGACAGAGGAAGTGGCTGAGGGGCCCCGGGAGGTGGCCTGCAAGGAGTCACAAGAGCCAGGGCTCATCTTTAATAAAGTGAGCAAGGTGGTTGTGTGGGGAGACGGGCAGAGCTGTGTGGGTTGTAGATCAGTGACTTCCCCTATAGCGGGGCGAAAGCTGGGGCACTTGGAAGGGTTGGGGTGCCATGCGCACCATCGCTCACTGTTCATCTTCAGGTGGAGGTGACTGAGGAGGAGCCACCCAGCAAGGCCCAGCGGAGGAAGGAGAAGCGGCAGAACGTGAAGGGGAACCTGACACCGCTAACGGGCAGGAACTATAAGCAGCTGTTGGAGCGCCTGCAGGCGCGGCAGGGCCAACTGGAGGAGCTACGTGAGAAGGATGCGGGCAAGGCCCAGGAGCTAGAGGCCAAAATGAAGTGGACCAGCTTGCTGTACAAGGCGGAAGGAGTGAAGATCCGCGACAACGAGCAGCTGCTGCAGGAGGCCCTGAAGCGCAAGGAGAAGCGCCGGGCCCAGCGGCAGCGCCGGTGGGAGAAGCGCTCCGCCCACGTGGTGGAAAAGATGCAGCGGCGGCAGGACCAGAGGCGCCAGAACCTGCGCAAGAAGAAGGCAGCCCGGGCCGAGCAGCGCCTGCAGAAAGCCCGCAAGAAGGGTCGGGTGCTGCCCCAGGACTTGGAGCGGGCTGGCCTCGCCTGAGCGAGGTCAGTGGCTCAGTGGCCAGATGGTGTGCGACACTGGCATGTCCCTTAGCCTCCAGGCCTTGAGTCCCCTATGCGAGGTGGGCATAGGGAACCCATGTGAGGTAGCTTAGAACTGTCATGAGGCTCAGATGACGTGCCAAAGAGAATGTTATTTCAGCATCGTCCTTAAGGATGGCCACGCCCTTCAGGCCTGGGGAGGGGTGAGCCAGAACTGAATCCCATTGCCCTCTTGTAAGGTGGGAGAGAAGGATTGGGGTGAGGCACTCTGCCAGCCTGTGTTTTCAGTGGTCCTGGACAGGAAGAAAGGGTCCGTGACCACCTCTCCTCTTAATCCAAAACTCCTTAAGGATAAGAACCCGAAGAAGGTCATTTGGCTCACATTATTTGGGAGGAACCAGAGCCAACCAGGTATGGTTTTGGGGCCAGAACACCAAGGTCAGGTTGCTCTGCCCTGGTTTCTGCCTATTTTAGTTTCATTTTCTTCAATTCCTCAGTAATCCTTGGACCTTCTTAGCTCAAAGCGCGGAAAGGAGCTGTACCTTCTCAGGTCCACAACGTGTGACTTGGGTCTTGCTGCCAACTGTAGAACAGTCAGGTTGGAGTACTGGGGTGCAGTGGTCTGATTGCCTTTGGCACCGTCCTGGAGTCAGGGTAGAGTGACTCTCTGGTTGGGGGAGGAGGTCTGCTGTTACCAAATGAGGGGTGGGATATGGGGACAGACAGCAGGGGTCCAGAGTGACCATCTCGTGAGAATGTGGTGCAGAAATGGTTTTGTAGGTTGGATATTGTCTTAGGTGCCCTGAAGGGAGAAGATCTCGCTGACTGAACAGCTGTTCAGAAGTAAAGTTTTTCTCAAAAAAAAAAAATAAATGAGCAGAGCTTTTCTACAGCACACAGTTGAAAAGGTGGGAGAGGGGACAGGCTTCTGTGTGACAGGGTAGGGTTAGATGTACTCAGGCTCTCCAGGGTGGCTGAACTGGGTGCTTTATGGGATCTCATTTCCTAATGCAGGGCTGGGCTGTGGGAAGTAAAGAGAGTGCCTTGGGTGAAAGGCCCATGTTGAGACTAGGAAAGCCTGTGGCAGCCATGGTGTTGCACATTGCATCTCCTTTGAGAAGTGACTTTGGTGGCCAACTGCTTAAGAGTGCAGACATTTAGCAGCCTCTGCTCATCACCTTCTGGATCTACTCAGCCACCACACGAGGGCTGTGCTTTTCTGGGGTGACCACCGGCTCTGGTGCTACCTGGTAGGGTCACCAGGGCCTGAGCAGTCCTGCTCCAACAGGGCTCCTTTCTAGGTCAGCTGTACCCAAGTTCCTTCTGGCTGGTTGGCTTTGGCAGCTCTGTGTAATAATCTGAAGCTCCCTACCCCATCCTGTTTCTGTCCTTCATCTTTCACAGGCATTAGGCCCAATAAACCTCAGGTTCCTTTCCCGGTCTTCATATCTGTTTCCTGGAGGGGTGAAAGTGACACCCGATTCCCAGCATTCTGGGTGCAGTTTAAGTCCACCACACCCCTGGACACATAAGCAGGACTTTAGGACATAAGGACTGATCTTACAGTTTATAGTTCTCAGCCAGGAAGAAAGTCGTCCCTGCAAAGATCCACAGCTGAGTTTTCAACAGCAGCAATGACAGCCTGAGAAATAAAAGAGCTGAGGAAAAATAACTCTGGGATTCACTTTAGTAAGCATCAAGTGGAAACTGCCCTCATTGTACCCCAGATCTTAGAAGATGAACTATAAGAAGGAAAATGGTTTTCAAAACAGATGGTGAACGTGGCCATGAGACCCTCAGCCTGTTAGCAAGTATCTGAAATTGGCTATGTAGGTATTTAATTCCTTGGCCATATTACCCACAGGTCAAGTGCTCAGTAGCCCTAGTGGTTGTGGCATTAGCTCAGATTAACATTTACGTATTAAGAAACGTGAGCTTGCTGGGCATTGGTGACTCACACCTACAGTTCTAATTACTCAGAAAGCAGAGATAAGAGGATCAGGGTTAGAACCCTGCCCTGGGTAAACGATTCTTGAGATCTTATCAAAAAAAAAACCCACCACAAAAAAGGGCTGGTGGAGTGGCTTAAGGTGTAGTCCCTGAATTCAAACCCCAGTGCCACAAAAAAAAAAAAAAAACCCTAGAGATTTCATCTCACCTCAGTCAGAATGATTCTCATCAAGAAACTAACAGGGCTGGCAGAGTGTCTCAAGTGGTAGAAGAGCCTGCCTGGTAAGCATGAGGCCGAGATCAAACCCTAGTGTCTGCAAAAAAAAAAAGAAGAAGAAACGCTGGTGAGGATGTGGGGAAGGGGAAAGGAACCCTTAATTGGAATGTAAATTAGTAAATTAGTTCAGCCACTATGAAAGTCAGTATGGAGGTTCATTATGAAACTAAAGCTTATGACCCTGCTATATCATGTAGGCATAGATCCAGAGTGTAAATCAATATACAAAAGGGAGGACTGGGGGTATGGCTCAAGTGGTAGAGTGCCACCCTAGCAAGCGTGAAGCCCTGAGTTCAAACCCTAGTACTACCAAATATGCAAGAGAGACACCTGCACACCCATGTTTATCACAGTACTAGTCACAGTAGCCAAGCTTTGGAATCAGCCTAGGTGCCCAAAAACTGATGAATGGATAGAGAAAATGTGGTGTAAATTCAGCCATAAAGAGGAATGCAGTTATATCATTGGCGGGAAATGGAACTGGAGATCACATTGCACGACACACCAAGCTCAGAGCCAAACACGCTGTTTTCACCCACATGCGGATTAGACCTGAAACGATGGTGGTAATGAACCTGAGTGTAAAAGGGGTGCTGCTGTCTAGGAGGAAGCAGTGCAAAGGGGGAGGGGGAAAGAGGGTGTCGGGTAAACAGGATCAAAGTACGTTAACATATATGTATGTGTGTACATGCATACATACATACATGAAGATAGCATAAAGAAACCTGGTACTGTTTGAAAAGGTGGGGAGGAGAAGGGGCTAAGGGAGTGTAACAGTGAGAGTGAACTTGTTAAAGTACATTGTTTGCATTTATGGAAATAACACAATGAAACCCCCTTGTACAACTAATGCATGCTAAAAACAAAACAAAAAAGTATCACCAACAAAATAAAATCCATCAGATCCATCTCTCAAGGATAGGGTTTAGGGGTATTTATGGGGTAAAGAAGCAGAGTAGTCCGAGGCTCAGGGAGCGTGACTGAAGGCAGAGGAGTGATGAGTCCATGGTGAGCACACACATAACCAAACTGCTCTGACGAGGCAGATGGGGTGGGGGAAGGGTTGAACATCTGATGTCAGAGGAACCACATGCGGGCCCAAGTGAAAAGTCGGTGGTTTCAGTATGACCCAGCAATTCCACTCCTGGGCATATATCCAAAGAAGTGTAAGGATACAAAAAAGACGTGCACATCTGTTTATTGCAGGACTCTTCACAATAGCTAAGCTACACCGCCCAGATGCTCTGTAAATGATGAATGGACTACGAAAATGTCCTGTGTCTCTTCTCTCAATATACATAGATAGATGACAGATATTACATACATAGACAGATATATTTTATCTATATAATGAAATAGTAGTCATAAAGAATGAAATTTTGTCATCCACAGGTAAATGGGTGGAACTGGAGAACATCATGTTAGGTGAAGTTAACCAGGTTTAGAAAGACAGGGCCGAATGTTTTCTTTCATGTGGAAGACAGATACAAATATAAATACAACATCATACACATATACATATCTACACACATACACAGAACACGTTTCCAATAGTGCAACTGTTAGAGGAGACGAGGCGAGGAGGGAAAGAAAAAGAAAATGATACAGTGAATAATATGGAAATACGTCACATCTGTGTAGGAACAAGACAGCGAAATGCTTGAAAACTGCTGAACGTACGGGGTGGGGGAAAGGTGAGGAAGAGTAATCGAGAGGTTAGGTGGATTAAACTGCAGCATATTTACAGGTAGAATGCCAGGCTAACTCCGCTGAACAGTGAAGAGATGCTTAACGAAGGACGGGTACAGAACAGGCCATGCAGGGGGAGGGTATAAATAGTGGAGGGGGAGAGTTAGGGAAGAGGGTAAAGGAGGGTGAATATGGTGGATGTGCATTCTATACATGTGTGAATGAATATGGAACACCGAAGCCTGTCAGTCATTTTAAGAAAAGGGGGGGAGAATAATGGAGGGGATGAACTAAAATGGTACATTGTATGCATATATGGAAATGTTACAACGAACCCCCTACAACTATATATACTAATAAAAACGTTAAAAAAATGTCAGCAGTTTCAACCAGTTTGAACCCCACAAGGCTATCTCCAAATCTCATGCCCCCAAGAAAACCAAACTAAAACAATTATTACCCAGATGACCACCACAGTAGTGTTATCTGTGGCAAGGCTAGCAGGTGTCTTATTACTTGGCTGTTTAGCTAAGCGACTTCTAAAACCAGTGATGAAGTCAGGAACTAAAGCAAGTGGAGCTGGAGGGTTGTTTAGATTTTCTCTGTGCTTCAAAATGAAGAACATGTTCTTTACTTTTTTAGCTTCAGGGAGGCAGAACAAGAGAAAACATTTAGTAATTTCATCGTGGAGACTTGGTTACAAGATATATGAATTTGGTGTGCACACGGAGCAACCCATCGATCACACCTTGTAAATGGAGTCATAGAGCAGAAGCTTAATTTTGGTTCCCAAGCAAGGCCCTATTATCTGACATTGACAACTGCGATGAAAGGATCTGATGCCAGTCTGTGTTTCTCTCCTGAGTGGTTTGGTTTGTCTGTATGGCTCTCAGCCATAGAACTGAGATCATAGAACCTGTCCCATGTGTGACTGGACAATAAGTAATGTCATCAAGGGATTGTAAGGTACACAGTTAACTATGGGTGACCTCACTTCAGACATCCAAGTTTATGTCTGCTCAAGTGAGAACAAGTCCTGTCCCTTCCATGATGGTGCCCTGACCCAGACATGACAGGTACCTCTGGAGTGAGCCCTACAGGCTCACAGTTGGTCTCTGCCGTTGTGAGCTGGGCACTCAGCAGAGGCCATGTCAGGCAGACAGGAGTGCATGGGAAAGAGCAGAGTAAACTGGGCCCCATAGCTGTCTCTCCCCGGCTCCAGGCCTCCAGGTGGTGACCTGACAGGGAGGCTGACACAGCCCTGCCTGGGAACCAAAGAACTGAGAGAGATGGTGAGAGGTAGGGGACATATTCCCACTTGGCTAGTGTGGCTACTGAAGGCCAGTCCACCATCCTGTCAGGCTAGCAGCCTCAGGGTGATGGAGGGTTATAATAGTAATCTCTTCCCCTGGTCAGAAGCAGTGCTGGGAGTGACCAAGGCACTCCAGGTACCAGGTGGTGGTGGTTTTCAAATTCACACCCAGGTGTATGTCCAGTCAGGTAAGAATAAGTGATTGTGCTGTGGCCCAGACATGACTGGAACCACTGGGGTAAACCCTGTGGGCTCAGGATTGGTCTCTGCCACTGGCTGGGCACTCAGCAGAGAGGCCATGCCATCCAGAGTTGGTGAAAGGAAGTCCGTGTTGTTGGGCCCATGTGTAACCTCCAGCCCTGCCGCCCAGGCCACTTTCTCAGTGAGCAAGGTGGGGGCGGCCTAGAGGGCTGAACATCTTGCCCCGATGCTAAGGTTCTGCCTCTGCAAAAGTGGCTTTTTGGTGAGTGACACTTTAGCTACAATGAACAATGGAGGAAGCTGAGTATTTCTCCCTAAGGTAGTTAGGACTGCTGAGTTACAGGCACGGAGAAGGCAGAGGCCCCTTTGCCTTTTCCTGCTTGTCTGATAGCAGGACAGTGAGCCACAGAGGTGGTAGTTTTCCCCTGGGGAATTTGCCCCTTGTCTTGTCACTCCTTAAAAAATGTACAGCACTTTGTTGAAGTGCTGTTGAAACAACGCTCCTAACCACTGTGGTGACAGAGAACTGCAGTACTTTCTTGGGAGAGCGGCTTCTCCCATATGAGGGACAAGACACACATAATAATGAAAAAATGACTAATGTTAATCTGTCTTGGGTTTTTTTATGGTACTGGGGTTTGAACCCAGGGCCTCATGCTTACTAGGCAGGTGGTGCTCTACCACTTGAGCCATTCTACCAGCCCTTAATATCTCTTTTGCTAACAGGAGTCTGTCTGTCCCAGCTAAGAACTCACAAGGTAGAGAAAATAAAGCTGTTTTTCTCCCTCCAGCAGCTTCCAGTGGATTTCCTGTGGGACTTGGTATGTTCTTTCAACCTGTAGCCGCAGTGCCTTATTGTAGGAACATCGTCTTGATTCTGCTCTCAGTGCTGGTCGGGTTTGGTTCTCTGCACAGGAGACCACATTTGGTGGTCATCAGGCTGCCCTTGCTTGCCTCAAACGCCTCTCACTTCCTTTTCTTCACTTCCTTGGCCCCTTTCAATCTGTGTTCTTTACTCTTTCTTCTGGCTCTGCCTGAGTTCTCTCGGCTGCCATCTCCCATTCTCTCCTGGCTACCCCCACTCCCAGGTGGTGCCCCCCCACCTCGAGTGCAGGTGGCCCTCCAGTCCATGGCTTCATCCTGAGGCAGGCAGAAGGTCTTGCTGCCTTACTCCTTTGCGGCTCATCTACACTTTCTATCTGCAGAGGTCGTGCCCTCTGTTTGTTTTCTTTTTTCCCCTCCAGTGTTTTTGCCCAGATTCCTTTCTTGTGTTTGGGTTAGCTAGGTTCCCTAGGTGGGAGGGTGTGGTGAGCGGAGTCCTGGGTGAGTCTCTTAGTTCCTTCAGGATGCTGCTGTGGCCTGGGCTCTTCTGCGGACTGGAGCCCAGCTGGGTCAGGAGCACTGCCACCGTCCTGAGCATCCCCAGGCCCTTCACTGTTGTCTACACGATGGGTCTCCGGTCCTCGGTCCTCAAACATGCCAGATCTGCCCCACCTCCCCCAGCACTCATTATTCACCTTCTCTCCACTTCCCCAGCACCTGTGCCACATCGGTGGCCTATCCCCACTAAAAACTTCTTCCTTGGGGTAAATGGCTAGGGGACTTCCACCTCCTCCAGGCCCTCTCCACACTTCCCCTGCTCCCCTGACACCCCCTCAATCCTGGAGCTTCCTGCACAGTCTGCTTGTCTCTTTAGACACCACTTGTTTATCAAATATTGGAGGTTCAGTAAGGCCAACAGGTCAGGAGCTGATCCATCAAAAAGACAGTTTGTCACTCAAAGTGCCCAAGAGGAGAGGCACCCACAACATGCAGGGCCACATGGTCGGGAGAAAGACAGAAGGGAGACACTGGTGGCAGGTTTCCATGGGAAGGACTGAACAAGCAAGGCAGGGTAACCTGAAAAATGTCACCATGGTCTGGGCCACTGGGGCTGTTCCCAATTGTCTGGCCTGGGGAGATCAGGGCAGTAGTCAGGGGCTCAAAGTGTAACAGCCCCCCAAAAGGGGTGGTTCAAGTGTGGCCTTGGAATGGCTGATTTGCATGTGAAAAGTACAGGTTGCTTACCATCTCCAGGAACAGCTAACTCTTGCAGGGAGGGATGTTCTTCCACGGCGAGGTCCAGAAGTCAAAACATCAGAAATGAAACTAAGTAAATTAAATATTCAATTCAAGATGTAAGGAAAAGGATGACAAAATAAAGGAAAAATGGCTTTGTAAAGACAAAAGTAGATAAAAATTAGAAATAAGGTTAGTAGCCAGGTGCCAGTGGCTCATGCCTGTAACCCCAGGTACTTGAGAGGCTAAAGTCAGGAGGATTGTGGTTTGAGGCCAGCCTGGGCAAACAGTTCATGAGACCCTTGTTAGAAATAAAGTCAGTGGTGGTCCATTTTCAAGGCGAGGCATTTAACCCTAGCCTTGCTTGTGTATCAGCTGGGGGAGGGCAACTGATAGGGGACCTTAAACTGTGAGGGGTAACTCATGAGAAAATAGGTAAAAACTATGTACATGCCAGAAGGCACATATCACAGACAGACCTTCCTGCTACAGGAGGAGGCAGATAGCACTTCTAAAATTTGGCCAATCCCAAGAGAGGCATATTTTAAAATAAACCAATAGAAATTAGGTGGCGTGGGGGTGGGAGCAGGGAATGTAAACTCCATAGTACACAACCAATGAGGAATTGGGGGTGGGGGGGACCCGCCCTGCGCACTAGCTATAAAATGCTTTTGTAACTGCTCTGCGTGTGCCAGGTTTGCTCCACGCCCGATCTTGCAAGAGCACCCTTAAAGTCCAGCTTCTGCTGTGTTTCACGTGTCTCTGAGTCCATTCTTTGAGTTTGGACAGGTGAGCGTATCTCTCACAGACACCATCTCAAGAATAACCAGAGAAAGATGGACTGGAGGTGTGGTTCAAATGGTAGAGCACCTGCTTTGCAAGCATAAGCCCTGAGTTCAAACCTCCCACAAAAAAATAATGTTAGTAAATGGAGAAGAAAAAAGGAATGAGAAAAGAAAAGATATCAAAGCATATGAGAAAATAACTGAGGAAATATAGAATTGTTAAAAGCATGCTTTGGTTTTGCTCTGTCCTATGCAAATGCAACTGAAAATCTGAACAAAATAGATCATTTTCATGGGAAAAATTTTTTTTGTATTTTTTTTCTTGTACAAAAATGATTCCGGAAGAGATTAGGTTAAAACATTGATTCTTTTTAAATTTTTTTCCAACAAGTTATCTTCCCCTCAAAAGAAAAAACACCACGTGCAGAATGGTCACAGAATTCTACCCAAAGCTTAAAAAGCAGAAGAATTTAACTGCTAATTAAGCTGTTCAAGAAGTAGAAAAAGAAATATTGCTTCTAAATTATTTTCACCAGTGGAGCATAATATTGACAACAAAGACAGCACAAAAGAGAAAAACACGCCAACAGCACTATGACCGGAGGACAAAAGTCTAGGATGAATTGTCACCAACCAAACGCAGGAGCCCGTCAGAAGAGTGATGTGTGGGCAACCGGATTCACTGCAGAAAGGCAGGGGTGCTCAACACAGGAGCTGTTTAGTTCACGGTATGAACAGACAGAACCCCAAAACTTACAATCAGCTCCTCAATGCTGGAAAGGCTTTGATTAAACTTAACTTCCGATCTTGGTTAAAAAAGAAATATAAGGAAACAGGAATGGGAGGGGTGTCAGCGGCTGCCAGCTGAGCCCCTGTTCTCTCCCTCCCTGGTGACAACCCCTCAGTTTTAGCTGACCTGTGTTCTCTCCCTCCTTGGTGACAACCCCTTGGTTTTTAGCTGGGTGCCATCTACATTTCGTAGCCTTCCCTGTAGCTAACTAGGTGCAGCCATGTAACCAAGTTGGTGAATTGGCTGCCAGCAGAAACGTGACTTCTGGAGCATTTTCTTAAGTCGGGGAGGTCCCTTCTCTGGCTCTTCCTCCTCCTGATGGAACATGGCTGTGGTGACCAGAGCTCAGCCTGGCTCTTCTAGAGGAGCCAGGTGCCAGCGTGGAGGAGCCCAGGCCCAGGTGCCATCGAAAGTCCTTCCAGCCAAGGCTGGCACTGTACACTTGGGCTCAGGAGGAAACTCTGCGTCTTGGCTCAGCTGCTCTGAGGAGAACCGAGCCACTCCAGTACCACGCACGCATCAGGCTTCATGGGAAGCACTAGCCATTCCCAGTGAACGAAGACCAAAAGCAGAGCAAAGTGCACACTGTCGCCTTCGATTAGCTTTGGTCTAGAGGCCGGCTGATGCCACACCTGGAACAGACGCTCGCGACTGGGGTCCTCTGAGTTCTGAGTCTACACCACCTGCCTGGGAGGTGGGGAGCTGTCTCACTTTGCAGCTTTTGTAACTGGCAGCGGTCTGCGTCCTAAGTGAGGACTTCCCTGCGCGTGGGAACGGAGTTCAGCAGCTGGGCAGCCAAAAGGAATCACCATATCCATTCTCCCTGGGTCCAGGAGAGAGGACCAGTCAGGAGAGACACAGGGGTCCCAGGCTGATGGCGAGAAATGCCTAGAGCAGGGAACAGAAGGTTCCAGAGGGACGTCTTCACAAAACAATGTTTCCATTTTTCCTGCTGGGTTTGATCAGATTAGGGGAAATTTACACTTCCACAGGTGAGTTTTGGGATGAATTGATGAGCAGTGGGTGCAAAATGAAATGTGTGAAAAGTTATTCAATCACTAACCTCATGAAACATGGGTATAACCCTAGACAGCCAGGAGAAAGGGTGAAAGTTCTAGTGTCTAGCGAGTGGGATTTAGGGCTGTGAACATCGGTGTCAGTGCTGAGTATTCATTCTTAGAAGTACTCTGGATGTTTCTTTTGGCACGGGGATCAAATCCAGTACCTTGTGCTTAGCGGGTGCTCTCCCACTTGAGCTATGCCCCCAGCCTTTTTTCTGGTAGGACTAGGGTTTGAAGTCAGGGTTTCCTGCTTGCAAAGCAGATGCTCTGCTTCTTGAATCACACCTTCAGTCCATTTTGCTCTGGTTATTTTGGAGATGGGGTCTTGTGAACTACTTGCCCCGATTAGTCTCAAACTGAGATCCTCCCAATCTCAGCCTCCGAAGTTAGGACTACAAATATGAGCCACTGGCAGCTGGCCTTGTTTTTGAGATAGGGTCTTACTCAGCCTTCCTAACGCAACTTCCAGAGTAGCTGGGATTACGGGTGTGCACCACCACGCCTGTTTCTTTAAAATCTTTTGTCAAACTTGAAAGGGCTTTCCTCTCCCTCAAGATTTAAAAAGTATCTGGGGGGCTTGGCTCAAGCGGTAGAACACTTGCCTATCAAGTGTGAGGGCCTGAGTTCAAACCCCAGTAACATTTAAGTAACATTTTATTCTGGTTTATTTACTTATGATTTGGGTTTTTAAAATTTTGAATAAGCAGTGAGGGCGGGGCGTCAGGACGAGGGCGGGGCGTCAGGGTGAGGGCGGGGCGTCAGGGTGAGGGCGGGGCGTCAGGGCGAGGGCGGGGCGTCAGGACGAGGGTGGGGCGTCAGGGTGAGGGCGGGGCGGCAGGGCGAGGGCGGGGCGGGGCGTCAGGGCGAGGGCGGGGCGTCAGGACGAGGGCGGGACGTCAGGGCGAGGGCGGGGCGTCAGGGTGAGGACGGGACGCCAGGGTGAGGGCGGGGCGTCAGGGTGCGCGTGCTGGGGGGCGGGGCGTCAGGGCGAGGTCGGGCGTCAGGGTGCGGGAGAGGGCGCGGCTCCCAGGACCGGTGGGTCTTGGTCGCTACTCTCGGAGGCGGGCCCCACGCGTCCTAGCCGGGCCTTGGGGTCCCCGAGCACCCCACCTCCGTCCTCCACCTCCCGGACTGGCTCAGCGCCCCCTGTTCCCTCGCGGGCTCTGGCCTGGGGTCGTAGCGGCGGGCGCTTCAGGCGAGATGTGAACGCCTCGGGGACACCCCGCCCCCGGAGGCTCCTGGCGGAGGGAGGCGGAAGGTGGCGGAGGGAGGCGACAGGTGGCGGCAAGTGGAGGCGCTGAGCCATGGCCGACCTGCGCACACTGGCAAGTGAGTGCGGCCGCGGCCCGCGGCGCGGCTGGGAAACGGAGGGCGCTCGGAGCGGTCCGAGGGGCCTGCGACCCTCGGCCTCGGGCCCAGCACGCAGGGCCGTGGTTAAGTCTGGTGGCCCCCCCCACTTCCGACCCCGAACAGGACGGGAGCTCCCAGCTGGACCTCCGGGGACCGGCAGTGGAGTCCCTGGGTGTCCAGCGCGGGACAGTGCTGCCTCGGCGGACCCCGAAAGCTCAGGTGCTGCCCACCGCGCCGTGGGAAGCGGGCACTGCGCCCCAAGCACCGAGGACGAAGAGCCGATCAGGGGGACGTGGAGACGTGGGTGACCGATGCAGGTGTGTGAGCCGGGTCGAGAAACGGATGAGACCCAGGGCCCAGCGCCCAGGCCTGCACATTTTCCTGACTTAGAGCACTGAAGTATATAGTCAGGTTTGGGGAGAGGCATGTTTGGGTTGCAACCAGGAAGGGGATGAAATTGGGCTTGATTGGTCGGGGACACGGGCCTACCTGGCTGTCCTGAGTAGGAACTGGGAAAAGCTCAGAAAAGAGTTGTGAGTCCCTGTCATCAACAACTGCCACCTTTGGTTAGTGTTTACTCTGAGCAGGGGCTGTGGTCAGGGCCACTGTGCTCTCAGAAAAGCCCTGGGAGGTGATTGTCCTTACCGAGTCACAGAATGACAGTTTGGAGAGATTCTTCCATCAAGGCCTGCCTCTCTCCATTGCTAATCCCTCCTGGTTCTTCCTTGTTCCTCTGTGGCCTTCCTTTCTCCTCCCTCCCTCCCCTGCCTCCCTCTCTCCCTTTCTCTTTCTCTCCTTCCCTCCTGCCTCCTTCCCTTCCTGCTCTACCACTTGAGCCACATTGCCAGTCCATTTTGCTCTGGTTATTTTGGAGATGGGGTCTTGCCAGCTGTTCACCTGAGCTGGTTTCAAACTGACATCCTCCCAATTTCAGCCTCCCAAGTCCTAGTGAGCGACCAGTGCCCAACTGAAGTGTACAATTTGATAACTGTTGCCACATGCAAACATTAACCAGTCACCCATCAAGATAACACTTCTATGGCTCCCAGAGTCCCTCGCTCTCATGGACTCTATTTAGATAGCTGTCCTCACGTGGGAGACTAGTCATTTTACCTGCTCTGCACCCTTAGAGGACCAGGGACTCAGAGCAGATGGCCATACCCCTGAGGTCCAGGACAGGGTCTGGCCCAGTTATTCTGAAGATTAAGGAATTCAGGATAACTGAGTTATTTTTTTGTTGTTTTTTTACACATGAATCTCTCCCTTTGTAAATTGGCAGTGTTACAACAATTTTCTACAGAGTTCTCTGCAGCGGTTCCCATGGTGTCCTCTCACCCTTTGCGTCTACAGCATCAGTCTGTTGTTGGTAAAGTATTAATTCCAGGAGTGTTTACTGAGTCAAATTGCATGGATCAAACTGGCCTGCCTGTCACAATATATCTGGAAGCAGTGAGTTTGGAGGGATTTTACTAGTCACATGTCACTGAGTGTCCTATTGCTTTTTCCTGAATTGGGCTGACTCATTGTCATTTGAGCTAGAAGTTCCGGTCTTTTGAGAAACCTGGCAAACTAGTGTCCCTTCTTCTCAGGTTACCCACTCATCCATCCGTTTATTCAGCCAGCAAATGCTCCTAGAACACCTGGTAAGCTTCAGTCAGCCTGGTGCTAGGAAGGAGAACTTCCAGGTGAGGACACAAATGAGGGGGCCCATGTATGCACATCTGGGGAATGAGTGTGCCCCAAAAGGAGACCCTGCCCCAGAAGTCAGTGGGGCTGCCAAGGAGGGCAGGTGCTGAGGCAAAGGCCATGGCTCCTGAGGGTCAGGAAGAGAACCCAGGCAACCTTGGAAGTGGAACAGGACACAGTTGGTAGATGGTAAGCTGGGCATGGCCCGCCCACCAGGATTTCTGGCAAAGGGCTGCACGACAGGTCTGGCTCTCCATATCATATGGTCTCACCAGTGGCAAGAAAAGGTCAAACATCTTACTTGGAATTTGTGTGTAACTTCAGAAAACCAGCTGTTGAGTCTGCTCTGAAGGCACCTGGCATCTCTTCCTTTGTCTTGGGACCAATGATCTGTGCTCACGGGCACTTTTTTAAAGTGGCTTTATTGAGGTGTAATTGCAAGACATTCACTTGTCTTAAATGCAATGTGCAGTTATTTTTGGTCAATTTCCAGAGATGTGAAATCAGTCTTAGAGCTTTTCCATCACCTCCCCCACCAGATGACTTCCCTTGTGTTCACTAGCGTTCACTCTCCATCCCTTCCTGTGCTCTGTAGCTTTGCTTTTTTCTGGATGATTCATATAAATGAAGTCCTTTTTGCAGCTGACTCTCTTCACTTAGGGCAATGTTTAAGAGGTCTGTCCACATTGAAGCAGGTGTCTGCATTTCATTCATCTTTATTGCTGGATGATGCTTCGTTGTGCTCACCCAGGTGTCTGCTGATAGACTTTGGGGTTGTTGGCACACTTTAGCTACTTGGAACAACTCTGCCGTGAACACTTTTGTGAAAGGCTTCCTGTTGACATGTGTTTTTATTTCTCTCGGGTAGACTCCCCGCAGTGGAATTGCTGGGTCATACGGTAATCAGCTTTAACATTTTAAGGAACTAATAAACTGTTTTCCACCCCCATCGGCAGTGTTGAGGGTTCCCGTTTCTCCACGTCTGCACGGTGCATGGTGCAGCCAACCTGTGGGCACATCATGTTTGGATTCCCATGCGCTCAGTGACATGATGGTGACATCCGTCATTTGCTTCTTAGCCATATGTGTCTTCCTTGGTGAAATGCCTGTTAAAACTTTGCCTTTTGGGAGTTCTTTATATATTCTCAGTGCACACATCAGATGTGTGCTGTCAGGTGTATTGCAGATAGTCTCTCCTGTAGCATGTCTTGTCACTTACTGGTGTTTTTGTGCACAGAAGTTTCCACTTTTAAATTCCAGTTTATCATTTTTCCTCATTGATTATGAATTAGGGTCAGATCTTAGAATGTGTTTAATCCAGTGTCACAAAGATTGAGTCTTAGGTTTTCTTCTAAGACTTTTCTATGTCTTTCTAAGAATCTGTGCCTGACATCTAAACTGTGTGATTTGTTGGCAAGTAGTTTCTGATCATTTTTCCTTAAAATCTTTTTAACTTCTGTAAGATTGGTGCTGGTGTCTTCTCTTTATTCTGATTTTAGTTATTTGTTTCAGTCTCATCAGAATTTGCCAATTGTGTTGATCTTTTCCGAGTATTGACATGTGGTTTCTTTGATTTTGTCTTTCTTTTCTGTTTTCTGTTTCATTGGTTTCCACTCTAATCTTTGTGGTTTACTCTTTCTACTCACTTTGGATTTAATTTTCTTTTTGTAATTACTTAGGATGAAAACTCAGCTATTGCTTTGAGATTTTCCTTTACTGTAGGCATTGCAGCTGCAAATTTCCCCTCAACACACTTTGGTTGCATCTTGTGAATGCTGGGACATTGTGTTTTCACTGTTGCTCAGCTCAGAACATCTTTGACTTTCCTTTTTGATCCACTGGTTGTTAGAAGTGTGTTTTCACTTTTCCTTGTGTTTGTGGACTTGCCAGGTTTTTGCTTTGATTTCTAATTTCATCCCGTTGAGTTAGAGAGCAAACTTGATGATGTGCATCCTTCTGAGTTTATCAGGACTTGCTTGTGGTACATTGCCTGTCTCGAGGACGTCCCTGGACACGTGAGAAGACCGTGGCTTTGGCTCTTGTTGGGTGGAGTGTTGAGTGAATATCCGTGAGGTTGGGTTGTTTTATGTGATGTAAAATCTTTACACAATGATTTCATCTTTATCTGTTCTGTCTGTGACTGAGAGTGGGGGAGTCTCTAGCAGCTAATGTTGACGTGACTGTTCCTTCACTCAGTTTGTCACTTTTTGCTCCCTAGGTGGATTTATATTTACGCTTGTATCTTGCTGGTGTAGCGACTTGATACCATTGTAAAACGTTTTCTTTGTGTCTAGTAACATTTTTTGGCCTCAAGTACATTTTGCCTGATGTTGTTTTGGTTATTGTTTGGCAAACCTCTTACTACTGCTTTGCTTTGGTCCTATTTGTGTCTTGGTTCTAAAGTGTGTCTCTTGTACACACCATATAGTTGATGCTTGTATTTTTTTAAAATCCATCCTGGCAATCTCTGCTGCCTTTTTCTGGTGCTGAAGACCAAACCCAGGGCTTCATGCTTGCTAGGCAAGTGCTCTGCCTCTGAGCTCAGCCCCAACCCAGGTCTCTGCCTTTTAACGAGACCGTCTCTTCATCTGCAGTGTAGTCACTGCCGTGGTTGGATTTCCAGCTCTCATTAGCAATTTGTTTTCTACATGTCAGGGTTTTCTGTTCTTTTGTAATCTTTTATTGCCTTCTTTGGTATTAAATAGGTATTTTCTGATGTACTGTTTTTATTCCATTGCTCTTTAAAAGTTATGTTTAAGGTTTTTTATAAGAGATTGGTTGAGGGATTGCAATATGCATTTTAATTTATCAGATCTACTTCAGATTACTTCTGCCTTCATTCAAGTAATGTGAAGGTGTTACTATTACTGAGTCACGGAAACTGCTCAGGGTAGATCCATCTCCTCCCTCTCGGGTATGTGGTGTCACTGTCTAAATGTCCATCTGTATATTACCCTGTGCTGTCACTACTGCTTTACACAGTCTTACTTCTTTTAAATTAAGTAAGGAGAAAAATACTTTCAAGTCTTTTATACTAAACTGTGTATTTACCATTTACTTTTAAAAATTTCTTCCTGTATATTTTAGTTATTGTCTGGCAACATTTCTTAGCTATAGTAAGCTTCATTTCTTCCTTGCTTCTTTGTACCTTTATTATCATAAAAATTTTGTGTGTGCGTGTGTGTGTTATAAACCCTGCGTCTAGCTTAGCAAGATCTCAGGATGCAAAGTCAATATATAAGTCAGGTTTTTTTTTTTCTGTAATGCTTACAGCCATCAATTGAACATTGAAATAAAAAAAAACATAATTTGTAGTAGCATCAGAAAACGTGAACTACTTAGGGATGAGTCTACCAAATTAGGATCGGTGCCTATACAATTAAGAGGACAGAACACTGCTGACAGAGCCTAAAGGACACATAAGATTGGAGAGATATACCATGTCCATGGACTGAAAGAGTCAGAATTAATCCTTAGAGTCTACATAATCCCAATCAAACCTCCAGAAGGAGTTTTTATAAACATCGACGCACTGACTCTAGAATGAATATGGGAATTCAGAGGTCCCAGAATAGCCAAGACAATTTTGAAAAAGAAAAATAGCTGGAGGCCTTGCCTGGGCTGATTCCAGGGTGTGTTTCACAGCTATAGACACAGTGCAGGTTGGTGCTAGGACGAAGTCAGTCAGTGGATAGAAGACAGTCCAGAAAGAAACCCACACATATTTCCCATAAAGTGATGTGATGGGAGAAGGAGTGCGTTTTCAACCCAAATGGCTGAACAGTGTGGTGTTGAGAAAAGAACCTCGTCCTTTACAACAGACACAACACCTTTTGATGTTTCTGGAGAAAATTCTTAGGAACTTGGGGAGGCAGGGCTTTACTACATGAGACAAAATGTTCAAATCATGAAAAAGATAAACTTTCAAAATTAAAACCTCTTTGAGGGATGAAATGAAGGAAATATGAATAGACAAGCCACAGTCCAAGAAAGCGTATGTGGTGCATATCGCTGACAAAGGACTTAACATCCAGAGCTTGCAATAAAACCCTACTGCTCAAGAATAAAAAGAGAAACAACCCAAAATAAAGATGAAGAGACTCGATTAAAATGAGCGAAAAAAGTGAACAAATACTTCTGAGAAACAGATGACCAACAAACAGACAAAAAGGTGGTGGGCCACAGTGACCCACTGCACACCCTCTGGAATGGCCGACCTGAAAAGGGATGACCAAGTGTGGGCGAGAACAAGGAGCAGCAGGACTTGTCATGTGAGCTGGTGACAATGGGACAATCCCTGACCACACGGACAAGCTGGCAGTTTCTTGTGAAGATAAACATAGCTGACAAATGACCTGCCTTTCACTCCTTAGTCTTTAGGAGAAATGCAAATGCCTGCATCTGTATTGCATGTGAATGCTTCTGGAAGCTTTGTTAGCAGTGCCCCAGACAGGAAAGCCACAACAAAACCTGTTGGCAGGTGACAACCAAGCTGCAGCATATTGCAGGGAGTTCTAGCCAGCAGTGACAGCACAGGTGAACCCTCAAAGCATTGTGCCGTGTGAAAGCAGCCAGACACGAAGGAATGTGTATGGCAGGACTCCACCTAGGCGGAGTGCACATCCTGCTGGGGTGGTGGCTCCCTGTTCCAGCTCTGTACCTAAAATGTGTACATTCTCATGGTGTAAATTACACCTCAGAGAAGCTGATTTTAGCTGGACACTGGTGGCTCATGCCTGTAACCCTAGCTACTCAGGAGGCAGAGATCAGGAGGATCTCCGTTTGAAGCCAGCCTGGGCAAATAGTTCATGAGACCCTATCTCGAAAAACCATCACAAGAAAACAGGGCTGGTGGAGTGGTTCAAGGTGAAGGCCCTGAGTTCAAGCCCCAATACCTGCCCCTCCACAAACCTGATTTTCAAAGTAATTTTTTATGGAACAATTTCTTCAAAACTGAAAGAGGATTCTTTCCACTTAGCTATCTACCATCTGCCAAAATGGCAAAAACACATTCAAGACTCAGGGTTCAAATGTCCTTCGTATCACTTGTTCCATGGCCAGAGGGTTTGGAAAGGTGGAGGCAAATGCAGAGCAGCACTATGAACAGGAAGGGGATTTGGGGAAAGAAGAGGGGTTCTTACTCTTAGCTGTGAGAATCAGGACTTTGATAAATTTAAACTAAACTGAGGGCTGGGGTGTGGCGCGGTGATATGGCACTTGTGTAGCATGCTCAAGGCCCAGTTGCTCCGTGGACACGAGCACACATGGGGCAGGGGGTACTTGGAGGAAGCTGGTCCTGGCCTCCCCTGATGGAGGCCAGCAGTGACCTCACAGTGTTCTTTTCTGTGTCCCACGGGAAGGAGGTGCTTAGTGGCACGAGGCAGTGGGGGGCCCAAGGTGACCCTGAAACTGAGCAAGGGATCAATTGCCTTCTCCTTCTCTGAGTAAGCAGAGGGAACTGAGATTGAGCTGGGTTTGGGGACGCCTTGCATACATGCCCTGCACTGTCCCCAACACGGAGGACCTGATGTCTGAATCTCGGGAAGAGACTGGTAAGGGGGTGGGCGAAGAAGGAGAGAGTGATTGGATTTCCACTGCTGTTTCCAGGAAAACTGAAATGCTCCTTGCTTCATCGTGGAACCCTTCCGCTAGCAATTCTTATCTTGGTCTTCTTTTGGTAAGAAACCAGGCTCGGAGGAGCAGCCCATCAGACACTTGTGGAGATCCCTAGCTGTCCCCACTCCCTAGTGTGACAGTTGTCATACTCAGCTCAGCTTAGGCTGGATGGAGTGTCCAGCCTCTGCTTGCCCCTTAGTTATGCCTCACCTGGGGCTGTTCATCTTCCCCTGGGGGTGTTTGTCTTCCCTTGCGGGGTGGGGTCATCTTTCCCTAGGGATGCTCGTTTCCTGTGGGGGTGCTCGTCTTCCCCTGGGGGATCATCTCCCATTTCTTGGAGGGTCTGGGGCTGGGAGGCTGAGTTGTTTACCTGCAGCTGCACGGCTGGGGCTGGGGAAGGTGAGGCAGGTGAGCCTGGGGCCAAGCTGCAGTCCCTTCCAGATACAGAAGGCCCTTGAACCTTAGCAAGCAAAGGCACCACCAGCTGTACTGGGGCATCAGTGGATAGCCAGGAACCACTCCCCAGGGTGGCCTCAGGCTGCAGGGACCTGTCTCTGTGGAACTTCTGCAGCTGCTGCCATTGTCCAGACACAGTCCCTGTCCCCAGGTTCCTTCCTACTGCTGACCTCCTAGTGTGGGATGTGGCAAGTGGCCTGGGCTTTGCTGAGAGCCTGCCCAGCCCTGTCACAAGACCTTGCCTGTCATAGGAAGTTCTGTGCTGACTGCACTGACTCCAGCTGGTGCTTTTAGGAGGGTGGGATGGACAGCAGGTCTCAGGTCTGTGTCTCAAGTGGCTGAGTAAGGCACACTTCCTTCCTGCAGCTATGGGTTCCTGAGCTCCAACAGACAGACGCTGGGAGACCTGGAAGCTGAGCCCAGGTGAGTGAGGGAGAGGGACTGAGCAGAGGAAGGGCCATGGGCTTCCTCCGCTGGATTGCCCTGTGCCCTCCATCTGGGTTCTTTGCTGCCCAGAGCAGCCTGACCACCCCACCCTGTTACCTTGAAGGGTCACTGGACACTTCTGCTCCACATCTCTGGCTTCAGCCCAGCCTCCTCTGACCTCCAGCCATGGAGGTTCCAAGGATGGCCTCTGCGCCCTCCAAGTGCCCCTCCACCTGAGCAGCCTGTTCAGTGCATGGCTTTGCTTTCTACCCTCCTGCCCAAGTTAGAGACCTGCCTCACCCCTACATGGGATGGACCCCACATCCCCACTGCCTGTCAGTGTCTCCACATCCCGGGCTTCTCCCTGCCTTCACAGCCTCCCTGTGGCCAAGGCTGACCTCACCTTCCACATCCTCATGCTTGTCTACCTGTCTCCTCTGCTGCCCCGACCCCTCTCTCCTCACAGCAGCTAGTGGTCCTTCAGGAATATAAGGTAGGAGACCCTCTGGTCTGATCCAGCCTGCTGGCCAGCCTCTCCAACCCTGTCCTGCCATGCCCCCTGTCCCCGTGAGCTCCAGTGCCTGCCCTGCAGTCCAGACTCAGGCCTTTGTTCCGCTGATCCCCACTCGGGTCAGTGTGCACTGCTCCTTGTGATGGAAAAGTCCCTTTCATTTTTGGGTTTTGGTGGCACGGGGGGCCACAACCCAGTCCCTTTGCTTTTAGTTTGGTTTTCAGGTAAGGTCTCCCGCTTTTGCCCGGGCTAGCCGGGGATCTTGATTCTTCAACCGCCACCTCCCAAATAGCTGGGATCACAGGCATGCGTCACTATCCCTGGCTTGTTTTTGAGATAGTTTTGCTAACCTTTTTGCTTGGGCTGGGCCTCAAACCATGATCCTCCTACCTCTACCTCTCCAGCAGCTGGGATTACAGGCATGCACCACCACATAGAGCCTAACACTCACGTTCTTGATGACTGTCCCTGTCTGGGGTTCCTGGGTTGACTGGGCCTAGCTGTGTGGGTCCCTTGGAGATTGCTCATGTTTCTGGTGAAAGCTCCCCCTCCACTGCACCTCTTTCACCTGGCCCCAGCTAGGTTCCATGCACTCTGCCCTAAATTCTGCTCCTGTTGTAGACCTGACTTCTGTGTTCTCCTTCTGCAGCGTGGCTGTGGGGAAGCTGGACGCTGGCAAGTTGTAACCTTGTCCAGGTATGATGTCTCCTGGTGTCCTCTGCCCCGGGATGTGTGCACCCTGGACAGAGTTGTGTGCCAGAGCTGGGGCATCTCCTCTGCCTGAGCTGGAGAGTGTGACTTCTCCCAGATCTCTGCTCTGGCTTTGGCTCATCCTTCAGCCACTGAGAGACCACAGGGAGCTGGTGCTTCATTTGGCCCAACTGCAGGTCATCTGGCTTTTAAAGAGGATGACCAGGCTGGCGTGCCTGGCTGGGACTCGGACAGTTTCCTGGGAGACGTTTCAAGCAGTCCAGGCAGAACTGGCCCCTCTCCTTTTATTTTTTTTAAATTGTGGCAAAATACACAAAACATGAAATTAGCATCTCACCATTTTAAGAGCACATTCGCACTGTGACCATCTCTACCATCCACCATCAGAACTTTACGTTTTGCAAAGTGGAAACCGTCTCCATGAAACACATCCCCCATCCCCTCCCCTGGGCCCTGACACCCACCTCCCATCTTGGTGCTGTCTCTGTGAGTGTGACCTCTGGACAGTAGCACCTCCTGTGATGGACTCCTACAGGATTTGTCCTTTTGTGACTGTCTTAAATCACTCGGCTGACTTCCTCCTTCTGAAAGCCATCACAGGAAATGCAGATTACTGCCATGTCTGGTGCTTGTCTCTTGGGGCTCTACATCTTTTGTGGGGGAGGGGAGGAGAAGACAGTCCACTGCTCCACTGCTCACACATTGTCACAGGTTTTACATGGACAGCATTTTATGTCACCACGGGTGCTGCCTCTGGGGCCCCATGCCCTGTCATGGAGACAGGGAGCCTGGACTCTGGGTGCCACCAGCCAGCCTCAGACTCAGGTGGGAGGGTCTGAGTATCTGATGACCTTTTCCTGGGAGTTACCAGGGACAGAGACCATTCAGCCCCCCTCTGCCCATCATGTACTAAAGGAGTTCTTAGGTCTCTCTCAGCCTTAAGCAGGGGAGTCCGAGGTCACTTGGTTCCTCTCCACTTATAAATACTGAATCAGACTGTTCCCAGATCATGGGTGACAGGCTGAGGTCTGAGCAGCCTGCGCAGGGTTGTTCCCCAGACTCCAGAGCCTCTGTGACAGCACCCGAGTGACTTTCATGCAGACTTGTGATGTGTTTGTTTTTGCAGGATGGTTTATCCCCAGCCAAAGGTGCTATCACCCGTGTGAGTAAATTTACTGAAATGTAAAGTGGTACCAGGAGCGTCTGTACAGATACTAAGAGACAGCTTCCCTGCTCTGAGGACATAGCTTCGTGGCAGAGGCTTGGCTAGCATGTGCAAGGCCCTGGGTTCAAGCCCAGCACTGCAAGAAAAAAAAAACTTCTTGCTTTAAATCGCAGTTTGGGCTTGCTTTGCCACCTTTTCCTCCTAGGTTTGTCTGAACCAGAAGACCCACGTCATACTCTATTTCTCTTTCCTGTTTTGTTGTTTTGTTTTGGTTTTTTTGTTTGGCAGTACTGGGGTTTGAACTCAAGGCCTCCTGCTTGCTAGGCAGATGTTCTACCACTTGAGCCATGTCCCAGTCCTTCTTTTCTGTTTCTTTGATTTGCATTCCTTCTCTCCTGTCCCTTTGCACATCCAGGAATTTGCAGAGGTTGTGGGTACTTCCTCCCTAGGGGAGAGGGATAGTCCTCCCCTTGCAAATCTCAGCTCTTTTGTAGCCACCAGGCCTGACTTTCAATGAGAGCTGCTGCTGACTGGCCCAGCTTGAGTCTGGATTTGCCTCTGGTTGCTTGCTTGGCAAATGCCAAGTCCTTCTGGAAGGGTGGTCTTGGGGGACGCTGAGGGCAGAGAGGTGAGGGTGGCAGGCAAGTGTGGTCCCCCTCCCCCTACTCACACATTGCGCATGGCTCACTCCCCATGCAGTAGGAAAGACGTCCTAGTAGTGACTCCTTGGCTGGCTCCCATCATCTGGGAGGGGACCTTCAACGTCGACATCCTGAATGAACAATTCCGGCTTCAGAACACCACCATTGGACTCACCGTGTTTGCCATCAAAAAGTAAGAGAGGACTGAGGGCAGAGGCTTGGGACAGCAAGGTGTGTCCTGGTTTGGGGACACAGGGACTGGAGGGTCTGTGTTGAAGTTCATTCATTCCCTCAAGAGACTTCCTGAGCTCTGGTGGGCTGACCAGGTGAATGACCCCAACTCTGTCTCTCTCCTAGGCTGCGCCTCACCCAGGGATGGCAGCTCTGAACTGCTGCCCTTTCCTCTTTCCCTTCTCTCTGGGGCACCCCTCAGTACAGGCTTCATATGGGTCCCCCTCACCCCCAGAGATGGCAGTAAGGGGTAATCTGTCTCCTCTGGGACCAGGAGAACATGACACCAGCTTAGCTGTGACCATTGCTGTGTGCTCAGATGCAGGATGGGGTGGACAGTAAGGGTCAGGTGACCCCAGGCCCTGGGGGCGAGGCAGCAGACCTGTGGCACCCTGGGATGCTGCATTGAGCTGACTTGAGGGGAGCTAGCGAGGCCCCAGGCACACCTTTCCCTGTGACAACCTGTGGAGAGCAGGGCTGGCAGGAGCTGGAGGCCCTGGGGATGTCCATGCACGCTCTGCTCACATGTGGGAAGGAGGCCGTGCTCAGCTGAGACCCAAGATGGCCCTGAGGCCTTTGCGCTGCCTCCACCAAGTGAGACTTGAGAGAGGTTTGATGCCCTGTGTGAGGGATTAAGAACAGCATGGGGCAGCCTGAGAATTCCTGCAGCTCCAGCCCTGGGACAAATGACGGTGGTCACCCAGCACAAAACACCGCAATGTGTGTGTGTGTGTGCAGCGTGGTCCCCGTCCTGTGTGGCAGGTGCTGTGCCTGCGGGAAGGAGGCCTGCCTCCCCTGCGCCCTCTTGGGGAACTGGCCCTGCAGTGGCCTGCTTGGACTTAGACCCTGGCAGCTGCCTGACTCACATCTGTCCTGCCATGTATGTCCCCTTGTGGGGGACTCACTGAGGAGTGAGGTGCAGGCACAGGTAAAGCATCCACTTGCCTGCTACAGATGCTCGTGTGTGGTGGAGGAGGGATGATGGCATACTTGTCAGACAGTGGAGATCCCTGTCCCCATGTTGGGCATGTGGCCCTGGGGGACCTCAGGAAGGCACCAGTCATCTGAGGCATTGGATAAAACTTTCGGGGCTGGGAGATGACATGACCTGGCTGTAAGCTCTTCCCTTGGGTCTGAGTTTTGTGGCCTTGGTAAGCCCATATGCGCCCCTTGTTTCTGGGGTGCCTGTCTCCCCTCCCAGCCCACCCTACGAGGAATCCCTGCTCTGGCAGAGGAGTTTGGGGGATCTTGGAACAAGACACCTCATGCTTCTTAGGGAGGAAGGGCTGGGGCATAGAGACCCTTCTTTCCCAAGATGGGCCCCAGGGAGAGCCATACTGGAGAGGCACAGGTGACCAGACCCTCAGGATCCCAACCAGCTCTGCCACAGAATGGAAGGAGAGCCCGGGGCCAGTGCTCCCCTTGTCCAGGCAAGGGTGGGCTGTGGCAGAGGGGAGGGGCTGCTATGGGAAGGGGACCCTGGAGGGGTTCCTATGTGGAGGGTGACCACAGAGGGTAGCTATGGGAAGAGGGACCTGGAGGGGTTCCAAGGGGAGGGGTGACCCACAGAGGGTAGCTATGGAAAGGGGGTCCTTCCCCACCCCCTTACCTCAGTCCTCCACAGATGGTTGCTGTATGAGGAGGGGCTCGTGGAGAGGTTGCTATGGGAAGGGGGACCTCAGAGGATTTTCCAGGAGAGGTGGCTGCTGAAGCAGTGACAGGGTAAACCCATAGTGGATTTGCCCCGAGCTCCAGCGGGGAAGGTGAGTCCCTGCCCAGCTCTGCTAGCTGTGGACAGCAGGCTTCAGGGCCTCAGTTACAGCTCTCCTTGCAAAAGCAGGGTGCTTGTGGCCCCTCCCGCGCCACCTCTGGTAGAGGAGGGTGAGGTGAGGCCTGGCCCACACCTCATGGCTCGTGGCTCGTGGCTCATCGCCCAGGACCGCTTTGCTTCTTGGAGTCTGGAGGAGCCGCGGGTTGCAGCGGTAGCCTGCGTCCCTGCGCCTCGTGCATCCAGACCCAGGCTCAGGACCCACTTCTCTCCCCGCCCCACTGTCCTGCTTCGCAGATACGTGGTGTTCCTGAAGCTGTTCCTGGAGACGGCGGAGCAGCACTTTATGGTGGGGCACCAGGTCACTTACTACGTGTTCACAGACCGGCCGGCCGACGTGCCGCAGGTGCCCCTGGGGGCCGGACGGCGGCTGGTGGTCCTGACCGTGCACAGCCACACGCGCTGGCAGGACGTCTCCATGCACCGCATGGACACGATCAGCCGCTTCTCGGAGCAGCGCTTCCTGCGCGAGGTGGATTACCTGGTGTGCGCCGACGTGGACATGAAGTTCCGCGACCACGTGGGCGTGGAGATCCTGGCCTCGCTCTTCGGCACCCTGCACCCCGGCTTCTACCAGAGCAGCCGCGAGGACTTCACCTATGAGCGCCGGCCCCAGTCCCAGGCCTACATCGCCCGGGGAGAGGGCGACTTCTACTACATGGGGGCCTTCTTTGGGGGATCGGTGGCCGAGGTGCTGCGGCTCACCAAAGCCTGTCATGAGGCCATGGTGGCCGACAAGGCCAATGGCATCGAGGCCGTGTGGCACGACGAGAGCCACCTGAACAAGTACCTGCTGTACCACAAGCCCACTAAGGTGCTGTCCCCGGAGTACCTGTGGGACCAGCAGCTGCTGGGCTGGCCGGCGGTCATGAAGAAGCTGCGATTCGTGGCGGTGCCCAAGAACCACCAGGCAATCCGGAACCCATAGTGGGGCTTCCCGGAGGGGATGGGGAGGCCGAGGACCAGCAGCCTGGCCGCGCTGAACTGGAAGGGTCCAGAGAAAGGGGTAGGGCCGCCCCTTCCTGTGTTGTTGCTGAAATTGCTGAGGTGCCACCCATCACCCACCCAAGATTCAACAGGCTCAGCTCCGTGAGAACCACAGAGGGTCAGGACGGTGTCCCCAGGTGCCCCCACAGACTCAGCCCCCAGTCGGGCTTCCCAGCAAGTTCCTGGAGCGGCCACCTTCCACTCCCAGTGTGTAGCCAAGCCTCTTCAGCTGGTTGAGGCTGGAGGTCTCAGCCCCTTCCCGCAGGGCTCAGAGGTGAAGTCTTCCAGAACAAGGAAGAGGCCACTTCACAAACCACAGGGCCTGGTGGGTGCGCACACCTTCAGCTTCAGGCCCGTCCCCTCTTCTGGGAGGCCTCGGAACAGGTGGGCGATTCCTTTATGAGCGGGCAGGAGAGGAGGAGACGAGACCCTACCTGCTGGCCTAGGGTGTCTGGCTCCTGTCCCCCAAGTGAGCCCGCCCCCCCCCCCCATGTGTGCTGGCCTCCGTGTAGACAGTTCTCAATTCGTTTGGAGAGCACGGAGTGCGATGCTGGATTGGAGGGTAGACGTGTGCTCAGTTTCGTGAGAAGCAAACCATGTCTCCCTAAGCGGCTGCCCTGTTTTGCACTCCCACCAGCACTTCAGTGGCTCCTGGTTCTGTCCCATCCCCAGCATGGGGGTGACCTTGGACAACTGCCTACATTCCTGGTAGGGAACAGATGTACCTTGTTCTTGTTTTGACCTCTGGTGGCTCCCAGTAGTGCTGGCTCAAATGGTTTACTCTTAGCTCAGTTAACTTGGGATATATAGTGAGGCAGATACGGTTAAAGCCACATGCTCGTCTCTGCCACCCAGGGTGATAGATAGCAGTTGGAGATACTGACACCGTAATCAGAGAAATGGAGGAAAGCTGGGCACTGGAAGCCGAGATTGGGAGGATTGTGGTTCGAGGCCAGCCTGGGCAAATAGTTTGCAAGACCTCCCATCTCCAAAATAATAAGAGCAAAATGGACTGAAGGTGTGGCTCAAGTGGCAGAGCCCCTGCTCTGCTAGTGTGAAGCCTGGAAGGCAGGGAAGGAGGGACAGAAAGAAAGAAAGAAAGATGGAGAGAAAGAGGGCAAGGTGGAAAGCAAGGAGCTTGGAAGAATAAGAGCCTGTGAGGCTCTGTCATACTTCTGGGAACCTAGAAGTCCACGTGCATACAGCTGGTCACATGCTCAGGAAAGACCCAGGACGGCCTGAAGCCTTCACCTAGGTTGACTTAGGCTCTGTGCAAACAGGAAGTGAAGACCAAGGCAGAGTTGAAGCAGCCTGGTGAGCACTATCAGCATCTCCAAGCACATGAAGTCCTAAACACAGAAGCCAGCAGCTCAAAGAAATAAAAATAATATTAGAAAATTCTTTGAAATAAAAATGAAAGTGTAACACATCAAAATACTGACTGCAGTTGTGTGTTGGTGGCTCATGCCTGCATTCCTAGCTATTTGAGAAGCAGAGGTCAAGAGGATGGTGGTTTGAGGCCAACCCCAAGCAGAACAGTTTGTGAGACCCTATCTCTAAAATACCCAACAGGAAAAAGGGTTAGTGGAGTGGCTCAAGTGGTAGAGCACCTGTCTAGCAAGCATGAGGCCCTGAGTTCAAATCCCAATACCAAAAAAATGTGGACTCCATCAAAAGCAGTGCTCAAGGGATAATTTTTAGCTGTAAAAATATTAAAAATAGAGAAAAGATCTCAAGTCATTGATCTAATTTTCCATTATAAGAAAGCAGAAAAATAGGAGCAAATTAAACCCGAAGCATTTGGAAGGAAGGAAAAAAAAATTAGAACACAGAGAAATGAGACAGAATAGAAAAACAGCAGTGATAATTAATGAGACCGGCAGTTGGTTCTGGAAGAGATCAACAAAATAAAAACCGTTTAGCTAGACTAATGGGGGTGGGGGGTGGGGAGGGAGAAGATGCAAATTACAAAAATCAGAAATGAAAGTGGAGACATTACTACCAACCTCACAGGAAAAAAGAAAAGATTGTAAGAGTACAACACACACAGTCGTGTGCCACAGACATGGCACAAACTTGTACACCGTGCTCATAAGCAACCATTTTGATTGACAAGTAAATTGTGTATATTTGTGGTATGCTGCGTGGTGTTCCCAAGTATGTGTACATTGTGGAGTGACTAAATGGAGCTAATGAGATATGCATTATCTTACATACTTCGCTTTTTGGGAGAAAAATTTCTCTTAGAACTTTTCAGTAAACTGCTCACCCCATCGTGTGACAGAAGTCTGGAACCTATTCCTTCCATCTCACTGACATCGTGTATGCTTTGACCACTCTGAGTTCAACTTTTAGACCCCACCTACAGGTGGGGGTATTTGTCTTCCTGTACCTGGCTTATCTCACACAAGGTCCTCTAGGTTCATCCATGGTATACAGATGTCAGAATTCCCTTCCTTTTAAAGGCTGCCTACTATTCCGTTGTGAATACATAGCACATTTTCTTTGTCCATCCACCTGTTCGTGAATGCTGAGGTTGATTCAAAACCTTGGGTATGGTGAATGATGCTGAAATGAACACGGGAGTGCAGCTTCTCTCTCATAACCTGACTTTGTTTCCTCTTTGGACATACACCCGGTCACCACAGACCACCATGGGCCACATGGCAGCTCAGGAGCTTGTGCTAAGTTACATTCCCAACTTTGCAAGGCTCCCTTTCCTTCACATCCTTGTGACACTTGTTGTCTTTTGTCCTCTCGTGACGACCACTCTAACAGGCTGAGGTCACTTCTCATTGTGGTCTTAACCTGTATTTCCCTGACGATTCATGATGAGCACTTTTCATATTCCTGTTGGCCATTTGTATGTCTTTTTCTTTTCTTTGAGAAATGGCCTTTGTTCATTATTGTAAGGTACTGCCGAATTAAGTCCACGCCACATTTGGAAATGAAAGGTTTATTGGTCCAGACTGCAGGGCCATCACTCTTGTCGGGGTTCAGAGTGAGGCAGCTTGGCTGAATTGGGTAGTGGGCTTTATAGGAGGGGCCAAGCCACGAGGGAGGGAGAGAGACTCTGGTCTCTGATTATCTGCGATCACCAGATGGAACAGGTCGCCATGCCTGGCTAGTTGAGGAACTGGAAGTTCCTGAGTTGTTTTTCAAGCCGAGAAACCATCAGGCAGGGAGAAACAAGTTGTCATAAATCAGGGGGTCTGGTTTTAAGGTGAAGCCTCGGGGCCTCCCGCCCACCCCAAGAATGCCAGGGACCTAACAATTATTAATTAATTTATTTGTTTAACTTTTTATTTTTTGGCGTTACTGGGGTTTGAACTCATGGTCTCGTGTTGCTAGGCAGGCACTCTGCTTCTTGAGCCCCACTCACACTTCTTATCTAGGTTCTGGAGGCTCGATTCATGTTCTTCAGGTTCCCCTTGGAGACCTTGGGTTCTGCCAGGCTCTCAAGGTTGTTTTAGGTCAGGTCCTAAAGTTCTGTGCCTGTCCTGCAAGCATTGGGAAGTTTTTAGAAACAGGAAAGTTGCTGTTTTATAGCCCAATTTTAACCTGTAATTGAGATTTTGACACAGAGCATTGACTCTATAGAACGCTTTGGGTACAAAGTATCAACATTTTAACCACATTAGTTCTTCCAGTCTGTGAACACAGGATATCTTTCTGTTTATTTGTCTTCATTGTCTTTCATCAACATTTTATAGTTTCAGTATGGTGAAATCTTTCCTCTCCTGGTTAAATTTTAGTATTCCCCTTTATTCAGGTAGCTATGATAAATGAGGTCACTCTGGATTTCCTTTTGGGATGATTTGTTGACAGTGTGTACAAGTGCTGCTGGCTTGTGTGTGCCAATTTTGTACCTTGCAGCTTCACTGAATTCATTTATTAGTTCTGGAGTTTTTTGGTGGGGTCTTTGTGGTTTCCTGTATGTAAAACCACATCACTTGTAAACAGGGACACTAACTTCTTCTGTTCTGATTTGGGTGCCTTTCCTTTCTTTCTCTTGCCTGATTGCTCTGGCCAAGATTCACTTTGCTGGGGATTCTTTCTGCCCATTGTATGCTGGGTTGCTGGTGGGTCCAGGACAGGCAGGGATAGCTGTGGGAAGAGGAAAACCCAAGAAGCCCCTGCCTTATCCTTCCTCAGGTCCCAAGGTCTCTCCTGTCTGCCTTTCTCTCTGCTCCTCTCAGTGTTGTCTACGCGTGTTCAGTCGATGTCCAGGGAGCACAGCTGTCCTTAGAGGGAACATGGGAACATGCACGCCGCTCTGCCCTGTCTTGACCACAGTCTTCTATAGATTCACTAGGACACGGATATGACAGTATTCCTGGCTCCCGGCAAGGTGACCCCACCACAGTCTCTCACCCCAGTCCTTCAGGGCCATCTCTAGAACATCAGCAGGCACACAGGTGCTAAGTCTCAGTTGTTGGGGACAGGAGTGCAGCTTCCTGTGTTCCGCCCAAGGATCCCCTCTCCTGTCTCCAAGCAGGGCCCAGCTTAGGCTGCTGGAATGACAGGGGAGGCCCAGTAGCTCTCAGTGCTCCTGCTCGGGGGGCCACACGGAACTCCTTCCTGGCAGAGGCTGGTTGTAACCAGCCTGGAGGACAGGAAGGGTTTTCCCCAGCATAGAGCCTGGTGCCAGGATTCACATCTACTGGTTTCCAGAGTGTTTACAGTTGCCTGGGAGGGTGTGGACGGCACTGAGGCAGTTCCTGGTGCCCAGGAGATCCGAGCCTCCAGGGAAGGGGTACTGCTGGCTGGGACTCCCCCAAGGGAGAGGCAGGGCTGGCAGAAACACTCTCCCTCCCCCAGACTTGCCTTGGAGATGACCTGCCTGCCTCTGCTGCTGCACCTGATTGGTGCTCGGGGGATCTGAGTGGCGTTTCCTACAGATGGGACCAGCTGGCCTAGGCCAGGGCCTCCCTCCAGTGC